TGTGTCTGTGTCTGTGCTGTGTCTGTGCTGTGTCTGTGTCTGTGCTGTCTGTGCTGTGTCTATGCTGTGTCTGTGCTGTCTGTGTCTGTGCTGTGTCTGCTGTGTCTGTGCTGTGTCTGTGTCTGTGCTGTGTCTGTGTCTGTGCTGTGTCTGCTGTGTCTGTGCTGTGTCTGTGCTGTCTGTGTCTGTGCTGTGTCTGTGCTGTCTGTGCTGTGTCTGCTGTGCTGTGTCTGCTGTGCTGTGTCTGTGCTGTGTCTGCTGTGCTGTGTCTGGGTCTGTGCTGTGTCTGTGCTGTGTCTGTGCTGTGCCTGTGCTGTGTCTGTGCTGTCTGTGCTGTGTCTGTGTCTGTGCTGTGTCTGTGTCTGTGCTGTGTCTGCTGTGTCTGTGCTGTGTCTGTGCTGTGTCGTGCCTGTGCTGTGTCGGTACTGTGTTTGTGCTGTGTCTGTGCTGTGTCTGTGCTGTCTGTGCTGTGTCTGTGCTGTCTGTGCTGTGTCTGTGTCTGTGCTGTCTGTGCTGTGTCTGTGCTGTGTCTGTGCTGTCTGTGCTGTGTCTGTGCTGTGCAGTGTCTGTGATGTGTCTGCCCTGTGTCTGCTGTGTCTGTGCTGTCTGTGCTGTGTCTGTGCTGTGTCTGTGCTGTACTGTCTGTGCTGTATCTGTGCTGTGCCTGTGCTGTGTCTGTGCTGTGTCTGCTGTGCTGTGCCTGTGCTGTGTCTGCGCTGTGTCTGCTGTGTCTGTGCTGTGTCTGTGCTGTGTCTGTGCTGTGTCTGCTGTGCTGTGTCTGTGCTGTGTCTGTGCTGTGTCTGTGCTGTGTCTGCTGTGCTGTGTCTGTGCTGTGTCTGTGCTGTGTCGTGTCTGTGTCGTGTCTGTGCTGTGTCTGTGCTGTGTCGTGTCTGTGTCGTGTCTGTGCTGTGTCTGTGTCTGTGCTGTGTCTGTGCTGTGTCTGCTGTGCTGTGTCTGTGCTCTGTCTGCTGTGCTGTCTGTGCTGTGTATGTGCTGTGCTGTGTCTGTGCTGTGTCTGTGCTGTGTCTGCTGTGTCTGTGCTGTCTGTGCTGTGTCTGTGCTGTGTCTGTGCTGTCTGTGCTGTCTGTGCTGTGTCTGTGCTGTGTCTGCTGTACTGTGTCTGTGCTGTGTCTGTGCTGTGTCGTGTCTTTGTCGTGTCTGTGCTGTGTCTGTGCTGTGTCGTGTCTGTGTCATGTCTGTGTCGTGTCTGTGCTGTGATGTGTCTGTGCTGTGTCTGTGCTGTGTCTGTGTCTGTGCTGTCTGTGCTGTGTCTGTGTCTGTGCTGTCTGTGCTGTGTCTGTGTCTGTGCTGTCTGTGCTGTCTGTGCTGTGCTGTCTGTGCTGTCTGTGTCTGTGCTGTCTGTGCTGTGTCTGCTGTGCTGTGCTGTCTGTGCTGTGTCTGTGCTGTCTGTGCTGTGTCTGCTGTGCTGTGTCTGTGCTGTGTCTGTGCTGTCTGTGCTGTGTCGTGTCTGTGTCATGTCTGTGTCGTGTCTGTGCTGTGATGTGTCTGTGCTGTGTCTGTGCTGTGTCTGTGTCTGTGCTGTCTGTGCTGTGTCTGTGTCTGTGCTGTCTGTGCTGTGTCTGTGTCTGTGCTGTCTGTGCTGTGCTGTGCTGTCTGTGCTGTGCTGTCTGTGCTGTCTGTGTCTGTGCTGTCTGTGCTGTGTCTGCTGTGCTGTGCTGTCTGTGCTGTGTCTGTGCTGTCTGTGCTGTGTCTGCTGTGCTGTGTCTGTGCTGTCTGTGCTGTGTCTGTGCTGTCTGTGCTGTGTCTGCTGTGTCTGTGTCTGTGCTGTGTCTGTGCTGTGTCTGTGTCTGTGCTGTCTGTGCTGTGTCTATGCTGTGTCTGTGCTGTCTGTGTCTGTGCTGTGTCTGCTGTGTCTGTGCTGTGTCTGTGTCTGTGCTGTGTCTGTGTCTGTGCTGTGTCTGCTGTGTCTGTGCTGTGTCTGTGCTGTCTGTGTCTGTGCTGTGTCTGTGCTGTCTGTGCTGTGTCTGCTGTGCTGTGTCTGCTGTGCTGTGTCTGTGCTGTGTCTGCTGTGCTGTGTCTGGGTCTGTGCTGTGTCTGTGCTGTGTCTGTGCTGTGCCTGTGCTGTGTCTGTGCTGTCTGTGCTGTGTCTGTGTCTGTGCTGTGTCTGTGTCTGTGCTGTGTCTGCTGTGTCTGTGCTGTGTCTGTGCTGTGTCGTGCCTGTGCTGTGTCTGTACTGTGTTTGTGCTGTGTCTGTGCTGTGTCTGTGCTGTCTGTGCTGTGTCTGTGCTGTCTGTGCTGTGTCTGTGCTGTCTGTGCTGTGTCTGTGCTGTGTCTGTGCTGTCTGTGCTGTGTCTGTGCTGTGCTGTGTCTGTGATGTGTCTGCCCTGTGTCTGCTGTGTCTGTGCTGTCTGTGCTGTGTCTGTGCTGTGTCTGTGCTGTACTGTCTGTGCTGTGTCTGTGCTGTGCCTGTGCTGTGTCTGTGCTGTGTCTGCTGTGCTGTGCCTGTGCTGTGTCTGTGCTGTGTCTGCTGTGTCTGTGCTGTGTCTGTGCTGTGTCTGCTGTGCTGTGTCTGTGCTGTGTCTGTGCTGTGTCTGCTGTGCTGTGTCTGTGCTGTGTCTGTGCTGTGCTGTGTCTGTGCTGTGTCTGTGCTGTGTCTGCTGTGTCTGTGCTGTCTGTGCTGTGTCTGTGCTGTGTCTGTGCTGTGTCTGCTGTGCTGTGTCTGTGCTGTGTCTGTGCTGTGTCGTGTCTGTGTCGTGTCTGTGCTGTGTCTGTGCTGTGTCGTGTCTGTGTCGTGTCTGTGCTGTGTCTGTGTCTGTGCTGTGTCTGTGCTGTGTCTGTGTCTGTGCTGTCTGTGCTGTGTCTGTTCTGTCTGTGCTGTGCTGTGCTGTGTCTGTGCTGTCTGTGCTGTGTCTGCTGTCTGCACTGTGTCTGTGCTGTCTGTGCTGTGTCTGCTGTGCTGTGTCTGTGCTGTCTGTGCTGTGTCTGTGCTGTGCTGTGTCTGTGCTGTGCTGTGTCTGTGCTGTCTGTGCTGTGTCTGTGTTGTGTCTGTGCTGTGCTGTGTCTGTGCTGTCTGTGCTGTGTCTGTGCTGTGTCTGTGCTGTCTATGCTGTGTCTGTGCTGTGTCTGCTGTGTCTGTGCCGTGTCTGTGCTGTGTCTGCTGTGCTGTGTCTGTGCTGTGTCTGTGTCTGTGCTGTCTGTGCTGTGTCTGCTGTGCTGTGTCTGTGCTGTGTCTGTGCTGTGTCCGTGCTGTCTGTGCTGTGTCTGCTGTGCTGTGTCTGTGCTGTGCTGTGTCTGTGCTGTGTCTGTGCTGTGTCTGTGCTGTTTCTGCTTTGCTGTGTCTGTGCTGTGTCTGTGCTGTGTCTGTGCTGTCTGTGCTGTGCCTGTGCTGTGTCTGTGCTGTCTGTGCTGTGTCTGTGCTGTCTGTGCTGTGTCTGCTGTGTCTGTGCTGTGTCTGTGCTGTTTCGTGCCTGTGCTGTGTCTGTGCTGTGTCTGTGCTGTGTCTGTGCTGTCTGTGCTGTGTCTGTGCTGTCTGTGCTGTGTCTGCTGTGTCTGTGTCTGTGCTGTGTCTGTGCTGTGTCTGTGCTGTGTCTGTGCTGTCTGTGTCTATGCTGTGTCTGCTGTGTCTGTGCTGTGTCTGTGGCTGTGCTGTGTCTGTGTCTGTGCTGTGTCTGCTGTGTCTGTGCTGTGTCTGTGCTGTCTGTGTCTGTGCTGTGTCTGTGCTGTGTCTGTGCTGTCTGTGCTGTGTCTGCTGTGCTCTGTCTGTGCTGTGTCTGTGCTGTGTCTGCTGTGCTGTGTCTGTGTCTGTGCTGTCTGTGCTGTGTCTGTGCTGTGCCTGTGCTGTGTCTGTGCTGTCTGTGCTGTGTCTGTGCTGTTTCTGTGTCTGTGCTGTGTCTGTGTCTGTGCTGTCTGTGCTGTGTCTGTGCTGTGTCGTGCCTGTGCTGTGTCTGTACTGTGTCTGTGCTGTGTCTGTGCTGTCTGTGCTGTGTCTGTGCTGTCTGTGCTGTGTCTGTGCTGTGTCTGTGCTGTCTGTGCTGTGTCTGTGCTGTGTCTGTGCTGTCTGTGCTGTGTCTGTGCTGTGCTGTGTCTGTGATGTGTCTGTGCTGTGTCTGCTGTGTCTGTGCTGTCTGTGCTGTGTCTGTGCTGTGTCTGTGCTGTACTGTCTGTGCTGTGTCTGTGCTGTGCCTGTGCTGTGTCTGTGCTGTGTCTGCTGTGCTGTGTCTGTGCTGTGTCTGTGCTGTGTCTGCTGTGCTGTGTCTGTGCTGTGTCTGTGCTGTGCTGTGTCTGTGCTGTGTCTGTGCTGTGTCTGCTGTGTCTGTGCTGTCTGTGCTGTGTCTGTGCTGTGTCTGTGCTGTGTCTGTGCTGTGTCTGCTGTGCTGTGTCTGTGCTGTGTCTGTGCTGTGTCGTGTCTTTGTCGTGTCTGTGCTGTGTCTGTGCTGTGTCGTGTCTGTGTCGTGTCTGTGTCGTGTCTGTGCTGTGTCTGTGCTGTGTCTGTGTCTGTGCTGTCTGTGCTGTGTCTGTGCTGTCTGTGCTGTGTCTGTGCTGTCTGTGCTGTGCTGTGCTGTCTGTGCTGTGCTGTCTGTGCTGTCTGTGTCTGTGCTGTCTGTGCTGTGTCTGCTGTGCTGTGTCTGTGCTGTGTCTGTGCTGTCTGTGCTGTCTGTGCTGTGTCTGCTGTGTCTGTGTCTGTGCTGTGTCTGTGCTGTGTCTGTGTCTGTGCTGTGTCTGTGCTGTGTCTATTCTGTGTCTGTGCTGTCTGTGTCTGTGCTGTGTCTGTGCTGTCTGTGCTGTGTCTGTGCTGTGTCTGTGCTGTGTCTGTGCTGTGTCTGCTGTGTCTGTGCTGTGTCTGTGCTGTCTTTGTCTGTGCTGTGTCTGTGCTGTGTCTGTGCTGCCTGTGCTGTGTCTGCTGTGTCTGTGTCTGTGCTGTGTGTGTGCTGTGTCTGCTGTGTCTGCTGTGCTGTGTCTGTGCTGTGTCTGTGCTGTCTGTGCTGTGTCTGCTGTGCTGTGCTGTCTGTGTCTGCTGTGTCTGCTGTGCTGTGTCTGTGTTGTGTCTGTGCCGTCCGCTAGGGGCGCCGCGCTTGTCCGCGGCTGCGAGAAACAGCGCGCGGTGTCGCCTAGCGACTAAGGACGCGGCTAGTGCGAGCAGCCGGGTAAGGCCGCGCGTCTCTCCTCCGTCTCCCTCCTCCTCTGTCTCCCTCTCCCTCCTCCTCCTCGCACGCCTCACGCGACGATGGGAACGATGTCCCAATGGTTTTGTGGCCGGGTCGGGGGCTTCTTCCTCGTGGCTACAGCCGTAGGCCCGGCACGACCCCAGATGCGGACCCGCGGTCTCGGTCTGCTGCTGCTGCTGCGTCTCCACTGGCCCTGTCGGTGATCGTCTTTGCTGTCCCTGCTGCTTTGGGGGTCGTGAAGTTTGTTGTTGGCATTACCCGGCCATTAAGGGCATGAGGAAAAAACTGGTGAAAAAAACCTGTTATCGATGTGCCACGCATTAAAAAAACCATATCGAGCAATAAAACCTGAGGGAGAAACCAAAGAAGCTGCCACATTGGGGTTGATGGTCATCACGGAACCTGCAATTCTCAAACTAAACTAACATTGTAGTTTTATTTTCTATTTTACCAGGTAAGGCCCACTGAGCTCTTTTTCAGAAGCGACCTGGCCTCAACTGATATCTCAACGAAGTAACTTATCACTGCGGGAATGTATAGCAGCCAAATACCCTAAACGCACGTTCCTCAATGCGGAGGGGAAAACCGGAGGCCCCGGATAAAGATCCACGCGGCCACGGGCAGAGGGAGACACGCAACCTCCAAATATACAGCAGCAGCAGGCATCGTCAGGGTCGGGATCGAACCCATGACCTCCTGCGTACCAAGCGAGGTAGTTAACATCTCGAGACCAGAGGTCAATGGTTCGACGCCGTTTGACTCAGTGGTGCAGGCTTCTCGAGCCGTCGTGCACTGCCCCTGTTCACCCAGCAGTAACCACTTGCTACTCCACAGTGCGTCCAGTATCGGCAATTCGCACGTGGTGGGGTTAAGTGGACGAGTAGACCAAATACCCTCGAGATCTCACGCCAGTGGAGGCTCTTCTGTCGGCAGTGGCGTGAACCGGCAATTTCAGCCCTGAACCTTTACCTTTAACTGAGAAACGAGGGCAAATGTATTCAATAGAAACCAGAGCACACAACATAACCATTGTATTTATTTACCATGATAAGCCATTCATTTTATTTAACGTTGAGCTATGCTTGTGCACTGATTTCAATTAGTTCTGCAAAGCAGCTGTTTTTGCTCTGATTTATAGTTGGTTGACTTTTCTGTTGTTTATTTTTAGTTGCTTTTGCTCAGATTTCTGTTTGGCTGCTTGTTGTTCTGGTTTCAATTAATTGCTTTCACTCTGACTTCTATCTGCTTCATTGTTGGACAATACAAGACTCCAGGTCCCTCTTGAAAATGAGACTCATGCTGCTCTCTTGAATTTTCACCACCTGGTGAAGCAAACTCAACTTGAAACCGCTGCCTTCTCTGCCTGTCTGCCCGTGTCCGTGCAGTGTCTCTTTCGACGCAGGATGGGTAAGAAGGTGAAGAAGTCGGCGGAAGGTCCCCCGAAAGACGCGGTGAGTGGAGACAGTGGCTCTGCGAGGGGACGGGAGGACATCGGGCATCAAGATGAGGAGCAGGAGGATGAAGGCTGCTGGCTAATTGCTTGACTCCTTGGCTAACTGAGAAATATGTCCGGCTTTGGTCTGTGGAAAAGATGTAATGGCTTGGTCAAGTTGATGTAGACTGTGGCACGGTCTGCTGATGTACCCGGTGACATGTATTTTTTTATGTCTGATTATATATTTACATTTATTAAAATATGCAATCTGGAATATCCCTTGAGATGGAACTTCTTATTTGCAAAGGTTTGCATACAAAATCACCATGTATAATGACATGCATCAATACAATCACACAAAAGAGAGAAAGATCCCCCGTACACCCTTAGTAGACTTGGGGCAAGTGCCGTTAATGACTACTATTGAGGCCACAGTGGCATACGAGGGGCTGGGTGGCTGACATTTTTTAAAATCTTTAACTCACACCATTTGCGTTTACACAAGAAATATCTCATCCAGTCAAACACGTAAATACAGAACTAAGTGGTACACACAGCAGGTTCACGTCGAATGCACGCGCCCTGTGGCGGTTGCAGACATTGAATGGTAAGCGAGTTTTAATCACAGATTTAAATCAGCTGGGACTGGCAGCAAGAGTTGGTGGGTCTGGGAGATGGTTCCATGCTGAAGCAGCTCTGAGCGAGAGTGTGCCTGTGCGGGTTTGGTGACGGCTAAACTGTTGTGCCTGTGAGGTCAAAGAGTGGAGTTATTGTTGGAGTCAAACGAGAGATGTTGAGTTGAGGAAGAGGGTGGCATGTCAATGAAATGATGATGATGTCACCGCCCGTGCGATCAAACCCGCATAGGCACAGTGTGCCTGTGCGGGTTTGATCTCTAGGGATGATTAAACTTTTGTGCCTGTGGGACCGTGGAGCAGAGTTATTGTTGGAGTAAAACGAGAGATGTTGAGTTAAGCCACATGGGACTATTGTACATGTGAGAGTTATGTGATGTGTTCTGACAAGGGGCTGACAATCCCGTTGATGTAACAGTTTGAGCCGCTGCCCATAGAGAGCCACAGTGTGGCCACGGTGGTGCTGATGCTGCGTTCGCCTGAGCCTGACGTCTTGGCCAAAGCTTGCGATGCTCTCCACCGCTTCGCTGGCAAATGTATGTCCCCAGCACACACTCTCGCACACAATTACACTCACAGACGATTAAACACTCACACACCATCACATTCACACACCGTCACACTTACACATGATCCCACTCACTATCACACTCAAACATCTCACGGATCTCACTCATGGCATTGCACTCAGGGGAAATTATGGCGATGCGTTCATACCAAACGCTGTATGCAACACAAACGTATCTTTTGTATCATTGTTGAGAATATAAGTAGCAATAGAATATCATATCTGATCCTACACATAGAAAATAAAAGTATTATTTACACATTCCATCAGCCACATAGTCCTGTGCGACTGCATAGACACTGAATGTTGAAACCAGTCCAGAGTTTAGCTTTTTCTATACCCATGCTGCATAAATTATGCACTCCCAGAAGACTGTGGCTGTGTGGAGGGACAAATATGAGGAGCTGAATTATTTATTGTTTGCTTGTTTGATACTTTTATCCTGTGTCACCGATGAGTGTGCAACAATGTGTTTGTGCTGGGTTTGTGCCGTGGATATTTCTGAGTTTGTTCTGTGGCTTTTGCTGGGTTTGTGATGGTACTCTCGCTGGGTTTGTGCTGTGGCCCCTGATGGGATTTTCCCGGCTGTTTGATTGTCAGGCGAGGGAAACAGAGCGATGCTGATGGACCTTGGGGTTGTGGAGCCTTTGGCCTCTCTGCTCACACAGGACGACAAGACCGTTCGCAGGAACGCCATTGTGACCTTGGGCACGCTGGCATCAAATGGTGAGGTCATATTATTAGGGTTGTTAAATGACAACGGGTAAACTGGTAACCATGGGAGGGGAGTGGCAGTGGGAGAAGGTGGGAGAACGGGGGGGGGAATTTAGATTGAGTTCTCAGTGTTAATTAACGTGTCTAACAGTCATCAGTAAGCCGACCAGGGCTCCCCTCTGTTATCTTCTTGGTTCTTTCGGTAAAGTCACGTAGAATGAGAATAAAATAATAAAAATAAAACATAATAAGATAAATTCTCACGACGTTTCGGCCACAACACAAGTAGCCTTCTTCAGGTGAAGAAACAGGACTGTCTAGAACACAGCGCTCGAGTGAACACTGCCAAGCATGGGCGGCGTCTTTTAAGCTGTGTGGGAGGAATGAACATATGAATTAGCATGTTAAGGTGAGAGACTCGATAAGCTGAGCCTTCTTATCCCGGAGTTTGTTGAAGGATCTCAAAGTTATGTGGAATCCCTCCCCGTAGAGGCGGTGAAATTTCGATTTAAAGCTTTCGTGACTGCAGGGATTCATCTCCTTGGTTCTTTCGGTAAAGTTACGTGACTTTACCGAAAGAACCAAGGAGATGAATCCCTGCAGTCACGAAAGCTTTAAATCGAAATTTAATCCCCTCTGTTAGTCAAGCTAGCCAGGGTTTCCCTGTACACGCAAAAAAAACATTAAACAGATTTGATTTTATATCTTTTGAATTTTGAAGGAAACCTGTGTTTCTGTGTTTCTGTCTGCAGTTGCTGTGAGGAAGATCCTGTTGAATGCAGATGTCGTTTCACCTGTGTTAAAGCTGCTGTCACCTGAAGGCAGGTGATACACATCCAATGCAACCCCGACACTCATATCTAACAGACAGGGTCTCATGTCTAATATAGAGGTCTGTGCATATAAACATCTGGCAGTTCACGTGCATTGGTTCAAGCAAGCCTTGTGTAAAAATACTTGTCTGCTTATTTATTTTGTAGGCTATAATGGGATTGGTTCTCAGGCTTATTGTGTTAGTGTACGGATAATATATTTTGTATTAGCCATGTAGTGGGTTAAAACATTTTCAGTTTTTTCAGTTAAGGTCAGAAGGTCAGGAGGTCATCGTGGCCAAAGCTGTTCATACCACCGCACCTCCTCGCCAGCGCTTTCTCCCCTCCGCCAAATCCCTCAACTGTTGCACGGTAGATGTATGACCTCAAAGATCTACCTTGCCAGTCTCCCACCATCTGGCCTTAGGTCTTCTCTTCCCTTTGGTCGCCTATCTCAGCAATCGGCCCTCCTCCGTCCTGCCAATCATATCTGCAACACTTACTAACCATGTTTTCTTCCCAACTTTCAAGTTTCTTACCCTATCCTCGCCCTAACCTGCACACATCCACAATACTTCCCTGCCACGTTCTCTTCTGGACTTCTGCTCTGCTTATCTTGACTAGCAACGAAATTCCTAGCATGCGTCGCAGTCACCCATACTCAGTCCTTGCCTTTCGGCTAAGGCCACTAGAGTCATGGGGTAGGTATGGCTGACTTGTGATTTTCTCAGGGAAACCAGAACGATGTTTCCTTGCGTTTGCAGAGGAGGTGGTCTGCCACGAGTACGGCAGCCTTGTGCTGGCATGCCTGGCACAGGAGTTTAATGGCAAGGCAGGTGTGGTGGCACAGGGGGGCACCGCCTGTTTGGTCCGCCTGCTCACCAGTCCCGACCCTGATGTACAGAAGAACGCCGTGGAATGTCTCTCCCTGCTCGCGCAGGTCAGTCAATGAGCGTGTGTGTGCGTGCACATATACGTTCATTTGTGCAGAGCCGGTAGTGTCGTGGTCAGCGCACCGTGTTACGAATTCGACGACCTCAATTTGATTCTCGCTTACGACCAACATCGGTGGTAAATATGGGAAATGGTCCTGGACCTTCCTTAGGTCGACTCAGCCTCAAATGAGTACCTCGTGCAGGGTGTGTGTATGAATCAGCACGAGGGAGACAAAGGCTACTCTGGTGCCAGCCTTCATAGTTGCACGCTAACAGCAATTGCCCCAGTAATCTCTTAAGGCTGGCTAGAAGGGGTATCTTTGTCTTTTGTGTTTGAATGCCAAACAATGGTAATGTGTAACTCAAATACAGCCTTATTATTTTTCTCCTTTAGTCAGGAAAGCATCACCGAGTCTTAAAACTCTTTTTCATTAATTGGTGGTATAATTTTTCAAATTTGTAAAAGTTTTGACCATCTAGCCGGCACACAATGGCCTCTGCTCTTCATCGAATGACAGCATGTGATCTTTAATGTCTACTATGAAAGAAGCACACGGCACGTAGTACAGTTAACATGCCTTTATTATTAACCAGGGTGGCTTGCCAGATTCGAACTGCGAACCTCTGCTACAAGTGGTGAACGCGTTACCACTGGGCTGCGTTACCACTGGGCTGTGTCACTACACAATGAGACAATTTTAATTATTATCCATATCCACACCCTGCATATAAAACAATATACATATAAATCATTTTAATTTGGTGTATATCCACGACATAAACCCTTTCGAAAGATAGGCCAAGTTTAGTGTTTGGGAGATTATTGTTTTAGACAGGGATAGTTTCTGTTACTGCACGGGCCAAAGTTTCTGGCCTTTCCATACAGCTCCAGAAATAAAATTATATGAACATCACAGCTATAAACGTCATGGCAAGGTGAGCAACTTAGGAATCGGTTTGTTAAAAAGAAATGTCCATCACCACACTTGTGGTGTTTGCGCTGTGCAGGACACGGAGGGGCGCCTGGCATTGCATGCTTCACATGCCGTGCCGCCTCTGCTGGACCTTCTGGCTTCGGAGTTTCCAGTCATCCAGAAACTCGCTCTGGACACGCTGGTAGCGGTGGCACGCGACGGGGAGGGGCGCGGCGCTTTGCGCCAAGGGCTTGACCGCGTGGTCGGCATCCTGAGCCAGAAGGTGAGAGACCAACGTGGCCCGGGAATAGCGCTTTCGCCTTTTGTTGCGGTAGTTTGCAGTTAGTATCTGGCAGGCCACCCTGGTTATTATTGCGGTTGTGTGTATTAACCATAAAACACTACGCGGAGTCTGCTTCACTCACAGTGGACGTTAAAGATCTGCTGACGGCATTAAAAAAACTCAGCCATTGTGTGGCGGTGTCACGGTGCAATGTTTGCCAAATGAGAGAATTTATCCAGAAATCACTCAATCACATGCACAGTAGCAATAAATACTTCCTAACGGTAAATTATTGGCTACTTGCAGGCCACAAACTGAGTCACAGTGTACCACACAGCGACAGCTGCCACTGAGTGCCCTTTAAAGAGTTTGGCATGCTGTGTAATGGAAGCCGCTAATCTTAGGTAAAATTCCTCTGGGACGTCACAGCATGAAGGAGGGTGGCTCTGTCAAGACCAGCTCTAGATCGCGACTTTCACCATAGCTGCTGTCCCTGCTATACGGAGCTCGAGAGAGAGGCCCCTCGAGAGGGCATTGTGGCCTGAGATACCCTGAAAGAGTCAAAGTGATTTCCTGCTCAAATGAGCCTTGAAGAGGTGTTTATCTCCTGTTTATAGCCCTGAGCCAGCGGTGGAAATTCCACATTCATATGACAGGGTCGAGTCTATAGAACAATTAATGTTGATTTCCCCACATAGTGGTACCTATTTTATTGACCTCGGAAGAGAGGGATGATGGGCCAAGTCAACCTCCAACCAGGATTTCATCTCGCACCTCCAGACTGCAAGCCACCCGCCCTGCCACTGAGCCATCCGAGGGGATATTTTGATGGAGAGCACCGTGCTCTAGAAGAGGATGGCTGTATGTGGCGATAATGCGAGTCATGTAGTCACGGTGGTCTCCCGCAGGAGTGGATGGATCTGCACGCACAAGCGCTGCAGGTGTTCACGCTGTGCCTGGGAGACGTGGAGACTATGAGGCAGGCGCAGGGCAGTGGCACTTTGGAGACCATGCTGAGCTTCGTGACTGCCTCCAGTCAACCTGACCTTCAGAGCCATGCCACTCGTGCCCTTGCCCATATGGCTGGTTCCGGTGAGACACAATTTAGTTTTTTTTCACACACACAGTTGCTTAGCGCTACCCCAAAGGGGCCGTCCATAAATGACGTCACGCACCTGGGGGGGGGGAGGGGGTCAGACATTTGTGACGATGTGTGATGGGGGGGGGGTGAGAAATGTGACGTCACATCAAAATGCGCAACTTTAAATAAATATAGACAACACGTTCTACTTAATTAAATAGGCTTTTTAATAAATGTTTTCTCCTACAACATCAGAGTGCAGCGCCACATTAAATACGCACTACAATGACAATAGTTTAAAGCGATTTGAAGCATGTTTATTTTTTAGGGGGGGGGGCAGAGCTTTGTGACGTCATATTTGAGGGGGGGGTCTGACTTATTGTGACGCCGTGTGACGAGGGGGGGGGTCAAAAATCGTCTAAAATTGCGTGACGTCATTTATGGACGGCCCCAAAAGCCCAAAATGTCAAGCGGCCAGCAACAAACAGCACCATATAAGTTGTAATAGGTACAGAGTTAACACGCATCTTGAATTCAGCAAGTTTATTGTAACAGCTTGGGGAAACATACGATGGGAGGGAATTCCAAAGTACAGCAGTGCGCACGAAGAAGCAGAAAGAAAAGTGTTGTGACCTGCAGTGTGGCGGCTGAACACATCGTGGATGAGAGGAAGTAGTCTGTGTGGTAGACCGAGTCCTCAACGTGGGTGGAGGAATCAATTAGTTGAGTTAACGGGAACAGAAACCATGGTAGTAGCGATAGTAGAGTGATAAGGAGGCGACTGATTGCTGGTGAGTGACTCGAGTGAAGGGGCGAGTAGTGGATCATCTATCACCCCGTCTGCTGCTTCACTCTGAACTCTATCCGGTGCAGCGAGGTGGGAACTGGGTGCTCCACTCCAGCAGCAGGGCTCCAGCTTTGGCTGGATGTGAGCTTTGTGTCGTAACAGTAGGAATTACTCGGAGTTGAAGGAGGATTTGTCACTGAAAAGAAAAAAACGTGTAGACATGCATAGAAGAACTTGCTTGGTGCAGCTGTGTCTATCACCTTATTATTAGCATGAGCCTATCTTAATAGAACTGCATTTGTGATGTGGGGCTGTGAGTTTGTGCTCGTTGTAGCATAGTCCTTGTTCGTGTGTGTGTGCAGTGTGTCTCGCGTGGACTTAAGCATTGGCATCGGTGAGACGGACATGGCGCTGTAGTGGTTAGCAAATTGCCCGGGTTCGAATCCCGTTCACGACCTACATCAGTGGGCAATATCTCAACTGGTCCTGGGCCTCCCCTAGGTCCACTCGGCCTTAAATGAGTTCCTGGTTCAGCGTGTTAACATCAGCACTGGGGAGACAAAGGCAGCTGGGCATGGCCAGTCACCCCCTCGTGTGCCGTGCCGGCCGTAATATCACTTTCCCCAACAGTCTGTGAAAGGCTATATGGGGATGTTTGTCTTTGTCCCTTTGTGTGTGATGGCAATACGTATGCGAGCAGTTCTGCATGTTAATGTGCGGTTGTCTGGCTGTTGCAGACGAGAGCTGGGGGATTCTGCACGAGCAGGGTGTGGAGGCGGTGATGGTGGCGCTCTTGGGCTCTGCTGCCGGCGGCGATGCGGTCCGATCGGCTGCAGCTCACGCTGTGGCTGCCATGAGCCAGCGCCAAGCTGGTGCCATCGCCATTCACAGTCACGGTGAGCCTCGCTCGGCCATTCCTCCACCCGTCCTGAGGGCTCGCTCGGGCTACCAGACGGTTTTGTCTCATCCATGCTGTAGTCAACCACCACACTGCAGGTCACAACTACACACTCACTCAAGCACTAAACCACTCACTCACCCACCCACCCACTCACTCACTGACCCACTCACTCAATAACTTACTCACTCAACCACTCACTCACCTACTAACTAACTCACCTGTTAACTCACCCATTAACTCTTCTATAACTACCACCATGGTTACTGTCCTGTGAACTCCACTTGTTAATTACTCGCACTGCTCCGCTTTGGAAATCCCTCCCATTGTCTATTTTCCCATTATTACCTTTCTTAGTGCAAGACACGCATTAACGGTCATTTGTTACAACTTTAATAGTGCTGTTTATTGCTGTCTGACGTTTTGGGCCTTTGGGCCTCTGCTGAGCAACTGTGTAAAAAAATAACGCAAGTGTCTGCATCACTCTACAAGTTATTCTTTTGTCCAGAATGCAGTCTCATCAGCTGCCATGTAAACGTGAGCAGGGTGTTTTCGTGGTGCGAGGGGGCGGTAACACGACCCAGTGTTAGCGCGATCGCCGCTTTTTGCAGAAGTTTCGAGTTTACACTGCGGGAGTATTCCGTGACATCATTTGACACGAGTAGGCCATTGCATGCTGGTATCATGGACACATTTTAAAAATAAAAAAATCCCTGCAAATCACTCATGTATCACTTGATATCACACATCGTGCTAACCATCACCCCTGACTGGCAGACTAATGTGAGGAGTGCGTGTGAGTGCAAAAGTGATTGTAATTCCAAGTGCTGATGGTGACACGTGATGGTGGCTCTCTACAAGGGGGCACTGCCCAGCTGGTGCGGCTCTTGTCCAGTGAGAGTGCGGATGTACGGGAGACGGCTGTGCTGGCGCTCGCAAACCTCACGAGCACCCTCCCCGACACCTGCGGGTATCGCCGGGGCACAGGAACGCATACACATGTCTATGTGGTTTATTTTGTTTAACTGGGCGCCACGGTGGCGAGATGTTAAACTCCCTCATCTGGTATGCAGGAGGTCGTGGGTTCGATCCTGACCCTGACGCCTGTATATTTGGAGTTTGCGTGTTCTCCCCGTAGTCGTGTGGATTTTTCTCCGAGACCTCCAGTTTTTCCCTCCACATTTAGAAGAATGTGTTTAGAGCATTTGGCTACTATACATTTCCATATGATAAGCCAATTCCTTGAGCTATCATTTGTGGCCAGTCGCTTCTGAAAAAGAGCTGTGTAGCTCAGTGGACCTTGCCTGCTAAAATAAAAATTGTTTAGTTTAACCTGGGTGAGAACTGGCGAGACCAGAATATGGTCTCACTTGCAAAAGTGACCTAGATCATCAAAACGGAAAAAAGCAATTACATAAAAACAAAGCACAGCAATGAAGCGAATATAAATCGGAGCAAAATCAACCATATTACAGAAGCAATTTAAAACTGTGCACAAACATACATCGATATAAAATGTAATAAACTTGCTGAAACGAAGGTTGATTCAGACAAACAAAAGCTGCTTTGAATGTAGTAATATTGCTATGTTTGTGGCTTCCGTGCAGCACAGCGGCAGAAGGAGTAGAGGCTCTGCTGGGGCTGCTGGCTGCTGGGCGCTTGGCTGTACAGGCGGGTGCCAAGACGAGTCCTGCCGCCCATGCGGCTGTGGTGTTGGCAAACCTTGCCGGGCTAGAGCACCTGGTGCCTGGATTGCTGGCAAGCGGGGCTGTCGAAGCCATAGCTGCGCTTTTGTCTTCCCCAAATCCGCAATTGCAGGGCAAGGCTGCGCTGGCGCTTGCTGGCTTGATGTGCAGTGCCGAGGCTCGGGCACAGGTTGGTTGGGATGCTGCTGTCTCTGCCCCGCATGTTTAGAAACGTGGAGAATGTACACACGAGGTGGCATGCCGAGAGGTGGCATGTCACTTAGGTGGCATTTTGCTCGGTGGCTTGTCAATAGGTGACATGTTAGGTCCAAATTTTGATTTAAAGCTTTCGTGACTGCAGGGATTCATATTCTTGGTTCTTTCGGTAAAAAAGTCACGTAGAAGGGAAACAATACAATAAAAAAATATATAAAACAATAAAATTCTTACAACGTTTCGACTGCAACACACCTGATGATGATTGCTTGTGTTGCAATCGAAACGTCGTGAGAATTTTATTGTTTTATATTTTTATTGTTTCCCTTCTACGTGACTTTACCGAAAGAACCAAGAATATGTTAGGTCCACTTAAAGCCAGTAAAATTTCTGGTTCAGAGTTCTTGAATGCTCCAAAGTGAAATTGAATTCCTGCTCAAACGAGCATGGTAGCAGTACTATGTTTGTGTTTTTATTTGCCGTGCGTGGCACAGCTACGTATAGTGGGCGGCCTTGCCCCGCTGGTTCAGATGCTCGACTCAGACACGGTGGAGATACGCCGCACGGCATGCTGGGTGGTTTTCCTCTGCGCTGCGGACGAGCCCACAGCCATGGAGATCTGCCGCCTGGGGTGTGTGCCTCGGCCCCATCACAGCAGCTCAGGGCATTAGCGGATCGAAGGGGTGCGGGTGGGGCAGGGCGGTGATGTTTTGTTGATATTTACTGGAGAAAACACAATTAATGATTATATTAATTACTGTAGGGTCACCCCTTGCTGCCTCTGGCCTAAGGCTGTGCACAATCACTGCTCTCAGATCTTGTGCGTCGGCCTCAGCCGCTCTCTGCCTCTGCTCCTGCGTGGATTGTGAGGTTTATTTATTTATTGATCTATCCCTTGCGATGGAAATCCCATTTGCAAGGGTGTTCAGGGTGTCCATCCATGCACGCATAACAAACGCATAATGATGTCATGTATATGAACCTATAACTTACAGTTTGCCTTTGTATTGTATTTTAATAAGTTAATACATACTTGATTTGAAGCTTTCGTGACTGCAGGAATCCATACTCTTTGGTTCTTTCGGTAAAATCACGTTGATAGAAATGAAATAAAATAAAAGAAATCACGACGTTTCGATCGCAACACAAGCAAACTTCATCAGGTGGGACAACCACAGCAAGAAAATGCTGAAGTCGGCAGGAGAGCTGCCTTTGACTTTACCAAAAGAACCAAAGAGTAATACATACTTTAAACAATGCCCAGAATAGGTATATTGCTCGTTTCAAGTTTCAAGGTTATTTGTTTAGCCAGGTGAGAACTCCAGAGACCAGCATTGCGTCTTAATTTCAAGAGTAACCTGGGTCACCAAAATGACAAAAACAGAACATTTAAGAAAAACACAACTATAAAGCAAATTAATCGCAGCCAAAAGAAGAAATTGAAAACAGTGCACGGCCATAAACGATATTAAAATATATTATATTCTTAGTTCTTTCGGTAAAGTCACGTTGAAGGGAAACAATAAAATAATAAAATATATACTATTTATTATTATTTTTAATATATTTTATTATTTTATTGTTTCCCTTCAACGTGACTTTACCGAAAGAACTAAGAATATGAATTACTGCAGTCACGAAAGCTTTAAATCAAGATATTAAAATACATTTACAGACACAAATGTTGGCCAGGACAAATCTTTCCTACAAGCCACTCGTAGTGGAGTCACGCGACTGAAACAGCAAAATAGATCCTGGTTGGTTGTTGCATGAGACGTAAACGGGCACGGGTAGATGTCAAGTACGTGCCAAGTACCGAGGCGTTCACCTCCCGTATACCTCTTGGGCTGGGCGCCTGCGGCTTCCTCAGAGGCTTGGAGATGCTGCAGAGGCTGAACGAGTCGGAGACGCGCAGGAGTCGCTTCAGCGAGACGGCTCTGGCGCGCGTGCTGGACAGCAACCTCCCGCTCAAGTACAGCCGCACGGGGCGGCTGTCAGCACACAACACCATCGCCGATGGCTTCTATGATGCTGGCCCGGTGAGAACCCGTACTGAGCAGTTAAACCTGGCAACCGTTGTTTTGTGTGTTTTTCACACAGTTACTGGTGTTGTGGAAGGTTTACCATCATCATCATCAGACATTAGCAATCCATTGTTGGATGAACCCTTTCCCAAGCCACTGCCACATCTCGCAATTCTGCGATGCAACAAATCCATCCATAACGTGTGCATGAGCTGTATCATCGCTCCATTTCTTAGTAGGCCATCCTCTCGGAGGCGTTGCGTTCCTTGGTTATTAGTCTTGACCACCCTCCCTTCTAGCCGTGATGCATCCCAACCCCAGCCCACTTGGTTTTATTAACAGTTTGGATGCTATCATTAACCTGTATATTTCTCTTATCCATGGGTTCCTCTTGCTGTCTCACTGCAATTCCAAACATGCATTAGTCCATACTTCTTTGTGCAATTTTCAGTTTTTGTTCCATATTTCCCGGTAAGGCTGTCAGGTAGTTAGGAGCAAATATAGCTGTTGGTACACCGCAGTTAAGTCGATCAGTGGGTTAAGATGTGGGTACCCCCACGTCTTCTAACGTGTCCGGTCAGCGTGGAAGAGCGGACTGAATGAGAGTCCGCCGGCAGTGGCCGGAGCGAGCGCTTGCAGGGCTGCTCCTGTAGCTTCCCGCGGGCTGTGTGGTGTGCTTGTGCGAGCTGCGGCAGAGCGAGCACCGGCGCTCTCTGGAGGAGCTGGCGCGGACAGGGCCGAGCCGAAACCGCGCAGTACTCCTCGTCAACACGGCCCCTGCTGAGCAGTACGTGATCGTTCGCACTGCTCACTCACTCACGCTCACTCGCATTCACACCTCACTCGCGCTCACTTGCACGCACTCCTCCTCACTCACGCTCACTCGCACGCACTCCTCACTCACGCTTGCTCGCATTACTCACTCGCTCGCATTACTCACTCACTTGCACTCCTCGCTCGCTTGCTCGCCTCCACTCGGCAACACGTGAGGCTGTGTGCCATTGCACACACAAAAGCTCTCAGCCTTAACCGGGCCACCAGCTCAATAGAATTCGGCTTCACATGTGAGCGAGTGGGCTCACATGGCAACATATTTGCGCACGTGTTTTTATTTCAGTTAAAGCATTCCACGTGGATAATACCAGGGAATAGAACATCTTGTTTACAAGGGTGTCCAGGGTGTCAATTGACACATGCATAGCAAGCACAATTACACACACATACAGAGACAATACAATCACACACACGCAAAGAAACGACACGATTACACATCCATGCAAAGACATACACTCACAAAGACCAAGATCCTCCACTTTAGGCTTAACAGACTGTTGGGGAAAATGGTGTTAGAGAGCACCTATTAAGGCCAGCACGGCACACAAGGGGTGGGTGGCCAGCACCATGCTCATTATAGGACGACATAGGGCAGGCCCCAGAAACCGGTTCAGATATATTCATATTCTTAGCTTTTTCGGTAAAGTCACGTTGAAGGGAAACAATAAAATAATAAAAAATCTATATATAAAACAATAAAAATTCAGATATGTCAGTGACCTTGGTCACAAGCGGGAATGGAACTCGGGTCGCTAGGCTCATTGTGCAATGCGCTAACCACGGTACTACCGATCACTCAAGAACAATGCGATCTCTTGGTGAATTTGAATGCGTCGTTGTTTGCGCTCAACGCACTTGCTTTGCTCCATTCTGAATATGCCTCACCCGCTCCATTGCTACAATGCACGAGAGTGTTTTGTCTGCGTGCACACTCGTGCAATATTCACCCAATTCCATTTCAATGTTTCTTTTAACTTAATTGTACTTTCAACGGGGTTTTTTTTTAAGTAATTTCCTCGCAGGAAAATAATGCAACTTTTCGTGATGTTTGTTGCGCTGTTTTCAATTTATTCTGGAGCATGATTGTTATTTTGCTCTAGGTTGAAATTGGGTGTATCTGCTCCAATTTATATTTAATTTATTTTGCTCGGATTTCTATTTGCCTCATTGTTATACTTTGCCTTTACGTTATTGCGTTTGTCTTTTCGATAGCCAAAGCCACGCTTGTAAATTAGATTTTATCCCACCCTCTTTGAGTTTTGAACAGGGTAAGCAAAATAAACTTGTAACGGAGTTTGAGCACAAGCGTGGCACTGTCGGTGCAGGCTGAACGTGGTTGATCCCCTTGTGGAGAAGCCCCCAGACCCAGCGGCAAGTGGGCGTGTGTCCTCCCTCCAAGCCAAGGGCTCCAAGACTCCCAGGTGAGCTGCACAAAGATTGTTGATTGCTGAAGCAGCACTCACGGATTCACTCCAGTCACTCGGTCACCAGTGGTCAGTTGCTTCCTTATCACTCTTCGATTACTTCTACCACGGTTACCATTCCCGTGAACTTTGCTCATTGATTTCTTCAACCATATTGGGTACTCGGTCAACCAGACTTTGTCTCATCCACACTGTTCAACCACCATACAATAAACCACACACTCACCCACTGACTCAACACACTGCAGGTCACATTACTTTTCCTTTCTGCTGCTTCCCTTCCACCGTTCCACTTTGGAATTCCCTCCTCTCCCCTCTTCACCCAATCTCTTATACTAACTGTTATCTATATTCTTGGTTCTTTCGGTAAAGTCACGTATAAGGGAAATAATATAATACAAATAAAACTATATTATTATTTTCCTTCTACGTGACTTTACCGAAAGAACCAAGAATATGGATCCCTGCAGTCACGAAAGCTTTAAATCGAAATTTAACTATCTATTACAACTTTGGTTAGTGCTGTTTGTTGCTCGCTCTTTGATGTTTTAGGGCCCTGTGCTCAGAAAATGTGTTTTAAAAAAATGCAAAGGTTGCACGACAATACGGAAATATCGTTGCGTTACCCCACCAATCGTTCAACTCTTACAGTAAGACTAAGACCAAGGGACGGAAGGAGGAAGAACGGGCGCCGGAGGAGGAGGCCCCTGGGCCCGCCATGCGGATGGAAGGGGCCACCATTGAGCAGCCGCCATGGCAGCTACCCCCTGACCCCGAGCTGCGGGTGTTTGTCGAGGAGGCGATTAGAGCGGTACTACCCTTGGCCTGCCCGCGCCTGCAGGCCGCCACTCTCGCCAGGTAATCACAATTACGATAGAGCGCTTGACACACGATAAGTGACTTACACCGCATCCCAGTGGCAGCTGTCTCTGTGCGGTACAAGGTGATAGCACCTGCAAATGGGCATGAGTCTGTCAATAAGGGACGATTATTGCTATGTGTAATCCCAATTGAGTAATATACAGGTAAAAAATGTTTATTGGACTCTCTAATGATGTCCTGGGATCTGTAAGGTCCTCTGCGAAGCAGAGCGGCCTGCTAGATTCGAACTGTGAACCTATATAACTTCTATTTCACCCGCGTGACTCACCCCTCCTTAATCTGTGCTCAGCTTCCCATGCCGCCCACCCACCTTCACTTGTTGTTGCACCACGTGACACAGCCCTAGCTGATTCCTGAGCTTAATGTGATGGCGTGTGCTTGCGACGGTACCGTAGGCTTGTGTCTGATAGGATGGGAGGCCCGGTGGAGCGCGACTCTCTCAGCGACTTCAGCTGGGAGCTGCACGTAAGCCAGCTCAAGAACGAGCTCCAGTCCAACCTCATCCCGCTGGGCCGCATCCAGAGAGGAGTGCAGCCGCACCGAGCGCTGCTCTTCAAGGTGCAGCCCAGGGGCTCGGTGGCCGTGTGGCGGCGTGAAGACCCTCGTGTTGTGAATGAGGTTTATAACAAGGGGACTCGCAATTGGAAGGTTGCGAGTTCAAAGGGAAGTTGAGGTGGGATTGCTATCTGTATTGCTGTGGATAGATTTGGACACAAATTAAGCTGCTTTAAAATACGTTGTTGGCCTATGAGCACAGAAGTCGGAGATGAATGCTAGTGAGTGTTGTAGATGTGATTAGACAGGATTGGGTAGAGCTGATTGCCAAAGCAGGTATTGGAGTGGACTCCAATTCGGTAACCACGGGGAAGACCTAAGAGCAGATATGATGGTGGGATGCTTGAGCCCAGACCTTGGAGGTCACGTGTCTACTGTGCCGTAGTTGTGGGATCTGGCGGAGGAGAGAAAGTGCTTGTCGTGAGGTGTTGTGGCATCAACGGCTTTGGCCACGCTGACTTCTTGATCTTGATCTGTATGCCGACGGGGTGTACGCCTACACGCAGGTGGTGGCCGATCGCCTGGGTGTGCCCTGCAGCCTGGTCAGAGGTCCCTATAACCATGCCTGGAACGAGCTGCTTCTGCCGCCCGCGCCACCCCAGCCGGCGGTGCCTGCGGACGGCCTCTCTCATCCTGCGTCTAACGGCCCTCTGCTATTGCCCCCTCAGCTGCACGTTGTGGACCTCATTCACAACGTAGGGGCGCTGCTCCATGCCGACAGTGCCGAGGCCTCCAATTACACGCATTTGTGAGGTCACGTCTCCCCAGCCCCAAAGAGGAACCTGAATGCACCAGTCACTGCAGCTACCATCGCGACACCATGGGTGACGGTCTTGCTTCTCATGTTAGGGCAGATATTAGGCACCAAACAATTCTCCACATTCAGCTGATGCAGTCAGGATTTGGGGGAATGATTCACGAATATCTTTCATTGGCGTTGTGAATTATATAGAACATGTGGAGGTGGTAAGGTACCCACGAAACTTTTTTTTTACGACCCAATCGTTGACTGCTGTTCGTTTAAGCCAGAAGTGCCGCTTACATGTACAATTCTCAGCACTGTTATGAATGTAATCATTTGTATTTCACGAGTTGTCACATGCCTAGAAAGTCTAAGACAATGGAAACTGGCAGACTAATGCTCGCTGGCAGGCCATGGTGTTGACATTATGCAACACAGGGACAGCTGCCACTGGGAATTCCCTTTCAAAATGTTTGAGATGTGACGCAAGTCCATAATCGTGTGAAGGGCGCTCATCAAAACAAATGATCAATATTAATTGTACATGCCGGGAGTGTTAACTAAAGGGACATTGCCACTCAATCTCATTTTGTTCAATTTCATACAGAGACAGTGGAAAATGAGGCTATGCAAAACCTGCGAAGTTCCATTCTTCGGTATCAATGCAAAAGAAATGTGCACACGAGTGGACCGGTTTTGTTATACATGTTGCCAAATTTTCTACCAACTCTCTTCGCATGTACGAGTATACATAACACAATACAAAACTGACAGTTGATGTTTTATTTGAATGTACATTATGAAACAACATTGCAGTACAATACCAAACAAACGGTACGAACCTAAAATTCTGAGTATTTACAGCTCCGCCAGAGGTGATTGTGCTGGGCAACATGAATGTATAAAACTTACGGTGTTGCAATATTTCTGATTTTATGTCAAATTGCTGTGAAAAAAATGTTATTCTCCAGAACCTTTGTTGGACTAGCTAGTATTTTCTTCACAAAGCTAAAGTACAAAAAAGCATGGTAACAATAGTGGTTGCAGTTGTTTATCTGATAAAGGTTTCCAGAAAATTAAGCACTCAATATTCTTACATATACCAAAACATGAAACCCTTCTAAAAATATCTGTTCCCCAAAATTTTACTCATGACAAAAAAATAATTTAATCCATTATTACAGAACTGCAACTTTAAACTTGACCAATGAATTTGTTACAATAAAAAATTTCATCTGGAAATATCCCTTGAGACGGCAAGTCCAGGGCTATCAACTGGCACGTGCATAGCAAACGCGTAATGGCACGCACACACGTGTTTAGGGGCAGGTCTAAAATTTGTCTGCACTAAATTTTTCCACCAAAATTAAGTATTATCATCATCATCAATGCCTGGGTAAGGCATCTGGATTTCTGTGTGGCTCTTGTAGTACCACTATCATTACTGCAGAGGAAACCTCTGTATCAAATAGGTGCGCGTCTGTCCAGCCTGCCCCTTGCACCACGTTGAATACTAAAGGAACGTTGGCTCCAACCGGACGCTCAGCGCCGCATGAAGTTTTTGTCGAGCGCAGCAGCCGTGCGCTGGATGGAGTGCACCTTCCGCTTGACTCGGTCTTCTACGGAGGACGAGGCAGCGCTCTCCAGCTTCATGGCACTGGTGACAAAGCAGACAGGGTCACTTATTATTATCACCATGCTTATTTACCCAGGAAAGCCTCACTGTGGATCAGCTCTTTGTTATGAAGGTTCTGAAGTTCCGGCAGGCAAGACAATTGCTGTGTTTTTTTCCAAAGTAATTTGTGGATAATTTGGATCATGACGCCAGCACATAATGGCCTCCTCTTCCAATGACGTTGCGGGATCTTTAACGTCTGCTATAAGTGAAGCAAACTGTATGTGGTATTTTACAGTGAATTCACACAACAGAATTAAAAAGTCAGGGCGATTGATGATGCAGCACTAATTCACTGCATTAACTCGACCACCCAAGGCCAGTCCACCACCTTAGCACTCTTCTATCACTACTACCATGGTTATTGATCTAGTGAAGTTCAAGGATTGATTCCTCCACCCATGTTGAGGATTTGGTCTACCAGACTGTTTTGTCTCATCCACACTGTTCAACCACCATACGTGCAGGTCACAACAACACACTCAACCACCATATTGCAGGTCACAACAACACACTCAACCACCATATTGCAGGTCACAACACTTCTCGCTATGCTTCTCTTGCACTGCTCTGCTTTCAAATTCCCTCCCATCGTCTCTTTTTCCAAGCTCTGATAACAGGCTTGCTTAATTAAAGAAAAATTCAAACTTCTTTCTACAAGTCTATGCTCAGCAACTCTTCAGTAAAAAAAAAACGGCGGCATCTCATATTGGAACCGCGAGCTTCTGCAACATGCAAAAAACGCACTACCGCTCAGCCACGTCGGCAAGCTCTACTGTCAGCCAGCGAAACGGAAGATTTCGATGAAGGTTGCTCCTGTGTGCTAGTGGCTATGCTAGGGGGACTGAGGGACTGCGTGAACTTACTGCAGGAAGCGGCCATCGCGCTTGTCGCTGCGCTCACGCTGGCGCTCACGTTCATCCTCCTGCCGGTACCGGTTCACGTTCTCCACCCTCTGCTCATCTCGCCACTTGGCATTCTGCATCATCTCCTCGCGCCGTTTCTCCAGCTCTTCCGCTGACAATTTGCTGCAAGGTAGTGACACAAACTAAACACGTAAGTCTTCACAGCGAATGTTAAGCTTTGTACTTTATTTTTGAAATGGGCTGTATAATGATCTGGCCAAACTTGTCATTAAGACCCCACATCACCTCACAGTCAAACAAATTCAACTGTCACGTGTACAAGTATTTAATGACACGCCAATTATTATTGTTCCAGTCATTTTGAAATCCTGGATTTTATTGACTTCCTGGACCTTGTCCTGAAGATACTTGGTGCAGTTTCAAGCAAATTGTCGTATATAATTGCAAAAGTTGGTTGCGAAACTTGTCAGAATAACTAGAAACAGTAAAAATTGGTGTATAAAATCTTAAACACATAAAAAAAATTTGATTTAAAGCTTTCGTGACTGCAGTAATTCATATTCTTAGCTCTTTCGGTAAAGTCACGTTGAAGGGAAACAATAAAATATATATAAAACAATAAAAATTCTCACGACGTTTCGACCATAACACAAACGGTCATCATCAGGTGTGAAAACCAACGGCAAGAAACATTTGGTTTTCACACCTGATGATGACCGTTTGTGTTATGGTCGAAACGTTGTGAGAATTTTTATTGTTTTATATATTTTTTATTATTTTATTGTTTCCCTTCAACGTGACTTTACCGAAAGAGCTAAGAATACATACAAAATTGTTGGGTGGTGGTGGGTCCTTGTGACAGAAATTTGTCGAGATCAATGAGTGGCCAAACCCAAAAAACATGTTTCTAATAATAGTTAAATGCAATTATAAGGAAAGCTCCAAAGCCCAAAAGCCCACAGGTTCACTTGTGGGTTGGTTGCTAAAGTGTTATTTTGATGTCGATCTGATTTAAAGTTCGGTAATTGTCCAAACCCAACGTAAATGAAGCTGTTTTACTCAAGCCAATGACATCCACAACAGGATATGGGACTGGAGGTAAAGAAACCCAAAGTATGCTTCACACAGCAATTCATACAACGTATTTGGAGTTTACGGATGTTTTTTTTGTTATACTCCACTGGTATTTTTATGGTGCGATGATAGACCATGGAAAATGAACAAACAGGACGTTTAAGGACCTAGAGGTGTGTGCAGGTGGGCGACGCTGATAAGGGGCTGGAGGAGTTGAGGTTCTGCATCTCTTGCTCACAGACTCGGCCGCAGCATTTCTGTCAAGATAAACATGCACAATGCACAGGTTCAAATGCCATGGGCTGCATTTAATGTACTAAAATCAAAGTGATGCTCAAATGGGCATTGAAGCGGTGTTCATATCCTGTTCATAGCCCCGAGCCAGTGGTGGATGTATACATTTCCATGGTGTGGGGAAGTCTATCCATAGGATCACTGCTGACTTCTCCCCTAACAGGTACGAATTTAATTACCCTCGGAGGGAGGAATGATGGCCGGAGTCAATCTCCAACCAGGATTTTAACTCACAACCTCTTCAGTGCAAACCACTCAGCCACGGTTATTGAAATTATTTTCATTCACGGAATATTTTCAATGAGTAAAATGCTAATAAAGAATTAAAGCTTTCGTGACTGCATAAATTACTCATTGGTTTTTTCGGTAAAGTCACGTATGTAGGAATACCATAAAATTATATCAAAACAAATCAATCACGACGTTTCGACCGCAACACAAGCGATCCTCATCAGGTGTAAAAAACAAATCACGGAGGTAAATACGAAAGCTTTAATTCTTTATTAACACACTTCTACGGGGAAGTTACCTTTGCAATTCTGTCCTAAACGTGGTGTGCCCCTTACTTGCTCCTGCCCCTCCCCCCCGCCTCTGCTGCGTTGCAGCCCGTGCTTCCTCCTGCTCATCCCCCCGCTTCTGAGGCTGTGCCCTTTCTCTCTGGCCCCTCCCCCCACCTTCACTTCTTATTTAAGGCTTCTGTTCATCCGACTCTTTTTCCTTGCTTCTCTGTCCGTCCTTGCCTCTTGGTGTCTCTGTATATGTATTTCTGACTTGTACCTCGTATTTGTTCACTCTGTCTACGCTGGTATGTTCAATCCAGAGGTTGAACACGAAATTTAACACTCGTCTGAAATTCGTGGTCCATCAGGTAAGTGTCTAACTGTGTTGTTGACCTGACTGGTTGTGCGTCACATATTTTTTCTTAGGTTTGTTGAATTATCGTCTCTCATCTTGTTGTATTTACCTCATTGATTTGTTTTTTACACCTGATGAGGATCGCTTGTGTTGCGGTCGAAACGTCGTGATTGATTTGTTTTAATATAATTTTATGGTATTCCTACATACGTGACTTTACCGAAAAAACCAATGAGTAGAGTAAAATGCTCTTTACCAAACTGCACTGACCAGCATTATAATGTACTGTATAGCCATATACTTCATATACTTCATAATGCTCCAACGTCCCACACAGTGGATTTACAAAAGGTGTAGAACGATGCATCCTTTACTCCTTCCAAGGTAAATAACGCAATGTAACATTCTGGGTTTGCCGACATGTGCACAACGTGCGTGCCAATAAGCCATCTACAATACTTACATTTATACACCATCTGAAAGGGACTGCCTGTCAAGATGCTGATTAGCGAGCTCACCTCTGTGGGTTGGCTGCCATGTGGGACTCTGGAGCCGTCTCTTTGTGCCGCCCGTGGTGAAACTGGCCATCAGGGGAGACGGAACTTCTGGCTTCCCGAGACGACACAAATGTATCTCTGTGCCGCTCACGGTGATGTTCTTTTATCTGCAATGGTGGAGTCAAGTGCAGTTCATACAATTACAGTAAAACCTTGGATTGCCGGTAACTTGGTCTGCGAGTGTTTTGCAAGACGAGCAACAATTTTAAATAAATATTAATTTGATAAACGAGTGAGGGTCTTGCAATACGAGTAGTACGTATACGCTGTGTCTGCCGAGCGTCACATGATCACAACTGATATCCGAGTGCTTTTATATACGAGTGCTTTGGATTACAAACACGTTTCGGAACGAATTATGCTTGCAATCCAAGGTTGTACTGTATACAGTTAGGATTTAAATATGCTCTACATGCAACCACAACGTAGAGAAAAAAATATCGGTGGGCATATACATTTTATATACACAAAGAAGTCAAAGGCAGAGGAAAGTCTTAAGCTTGTACTTGAACAGCGGCAGGGAGTCAACAGCATGGATGTCTGGGGAAAAGAATGTTCCAAACTATGGACGCAGCAGAGTAAAATTGAGTGATCTTACACTGAGCAAAGGTTGACTGTGAGCTTTTATAAAGCGCTGGCTACTATAACGGATTGTGTGTGGAGGGGGGGGAGCATTGTGATGAGAGAAGACAGAGGGAGCAGAGTGCGTGGAGGGGCAGAAGAGTTAGGGACCAGTCTATGCAGGACCATGAAGATGTTGAGTGTAATCTAGATGTTATCTGAACAAATTATTTGATGCTGCTGCATTTGGCAGCGGTACACAAGCAGTTAATCTCACATTCGTCGATACCGCTGTGGCGTTTTAGGCAATGGCCATTTTTTGCAGGACACATTAGATATTCATCTGACATTTGTCCGAGAGCCATCCATGAGGGCAACGTGGTCTCATATATGGGTGTGACTGGGCCATGTGGCTGAGCTATGAGGCAGCGGAATTTTGGATATATTTGGCAAGCTTGGTGAAGAGGAAATTGTGTAGTTTATCAGTTTTAACAAGGCAGCCTACACGAGAAGACTAATACATGTTTAGTTATAAATAAGATGCTCACCTGAAGGCCGTAATCGCCCCTCTTATACTGAGACTTTTCACCGTGGGATTCTTCTTGCGATGGTTTCTTATGATTCCTAAAGGAGCACAAAGCGTTATTTAATAGCAGAACGCATGGCGGTCGACGTGACACTTGCTGGGTGACGCTGTAGGTGCCGGAGTTGCTGCACGAGCGCTGCCTCACCTCGATCGTGCCTCCCTGTCGCTCTCACTGCTCGACTCGTGCCGCCGCCTGTGCTTGTTCTTCTTCTTCTTCTTGTTCTTCTTCTCTTTTTTCTTTTCTTTCAAGATGTTCTTTTTCAGCTGCAAAACAACACCACGACCAGAAATACTTTAAAATAACTTTACCAATAAAATATTGAACATGGAGATTTTCGTAGGCAATGATTCAAAATACATTTTGGGTTGGGCTACGTAATTATCTGGTCATGCATTGTAAGACCCTCCACCACCCAATATAGCCAAACAATGCAGTTGTCCAGTGTACAAGCATTTACACACCAATGGTTATTGTATTAGCTCACCGGTACGTTGAAGAACGGGTCTCATTACTAAATTTATCAATCAAAATATATGACATTTGGTTTGAGGCTGCGTCAAACATCATCAGGGCAAGATCTAGGAAGTCATCACCAAACTCACTGAATTTTGTCCTGAAGACGCTTGACGCACTTCAATCGGAATGTTGTATCTAAGCTTTACAGGTCTTACCATTTCTTTAATTTTCTTCATTTTCACAGGGTTCTGAAGGACCTCCCTCTTCTTCTGTTCTTCTTTTTTTCTGTGGAAATGGCAGAGATTAGTTAATGATGTGCCAGTTGACCCACGCTCACTGCAAAAATGTAAACGTATAAGTGTCGCTATGAAACCTATTCATCCTGAAGCCAAAGTCCACTGACACAACAGCTGCAATTCGCCACTAAGTGGCAGTGACATCACCACAGCAGTTGTGCCGGGCAAGGTGCACTTGAAGCCACGTGAAGTGTCCAAGGCTTAGGTTTGCTGGCAGGAGGTGACGGGAGAGACGCAGATGTTTTGGGTTGACTGAGATGACTGGCAGATGCACCACCTGTGCCCTCTACTTCGCTCGTTGTGAGCGTTGCTCATGTGCCCTCCATTGTTGCTCGAGAGGGACTGCGTCCAAATTCCCAGTAGCATTCTTGACGAGCCTCCTCCATAAAGGTGATATTGAAGTCCAATCAGCTCCAGATCTTCCTATACGACATCAGCCCACCTCTTCTCTAGACCGTGCCTTGCCCATTTAGCCCCCTCTATCCAGCTAAAAAGCTGCTTAGGTATGCGGTGGCTGGACATGCGGGCTATATGAGCCAGCCAATGCAGCTTTGCTTGCCGGAAGAACTCACTGATGGGACTGTGTTGAGAACTTTATAGGCTCTGCGAGTTCTTCATACAATCCAGCCTGGTTAAAGCCAGGAAGGACTGTTTGTAAGCAAGCCAAACTGAATGTTTCAAACCAGTGCAGATGTTCCTTATGAGGGGTCCAGGTTTCGCAAGTATAGAGAAGGGCATAACTGTGGCTGAGAAGACCTAGAGCGTTGTATGGCATGACAGGCCAGGTAGCTTCCACAATGTTATACAGCCATTTTTTTTGTCTACGTGGCTTTACCGAAAGACCCAAAGAATATAAATTCCAGCAGTCACGAAAGCTTTTAGTCAAGAGTTATAAAGCCAATCACATACACTCTCACCCTGTCATTACTCGTATGGGAAACATCGTAATATAGAAATAAGAACCAATGTATAAAATGCCGGTATATGTGGTTTGTATTCTTAGAAGTGACGGTATGGCCTACCGTCGTATACCTGTCCAATCGGCCACTGCCCATACCTTTACATGGTTTACCCATCCTACGAAATTACAGGGCAGTCTTGATTTGAAGCTTGCGTGACTGCAGGAATCCATACTCTTTGGTTCTTTCAGTAAGTTACGTAGATAGAAAATTAATAGATCACAACGTTTCGATCGCAACACAAGCAATCGTATTCAGGTGTCAGAGAGAAAGCTACTGAAACAAGGTCTTATATAGGCCTAAGATGGGTGCAGCCTCAGGGTACAGGGCAGCAGTGTGACACAGTGGTAACACTTGTAACATGTGCCACAACAACAAATAGTTGGGTTAGATATCCCCTTGTTATGCATGGGTTTCCTCCCATTCACTGGCCAAACATCCCAATGTAGCAGGACAATCCTGAATAAAGAGTCTCAGACTCTGTGCGGCTTTCCTGAGTAAAACAAATAATTAGCATTATTACATGCATTAATATTCCCACTTGTTGGACATCATACTGGCCAGGATTTACAATTTACCTGATGAGAAAGAGTGGGTCCTCCCGGATTTTGGCAGCCATGTCATTGGCAGAAAGGGGCGTGGTGGTGGCCGCGAAGATGGATCCAGTCGGGAGCCCCGTGCTGGTTGGGCCAGGAGGTTCCTCCATGAGCTTGTCACTCGCGTATTTGTCAATGGGCTTTCCCAGCAGGTACTCCTCGCGATTCACGAGGCTTCCAGGACCCTGGTACATCCAGTCCAGACGCGTGTCCTTCTTCCTGTTGGGTCACACATGACCGCGTTAGCACATTCAAATAAAGAGGCATTGGTATACGTCAAAAGAACGGGAGAGCACATACAAGCAACGCTTCCTATAATACGGGAAAATCCTCTGCGCTCTCACTAATGTTTATATCAGAACGTTTTCAGAACCTGTAGACTGGAGCAATCCGATGAGCTATGAAGCTCTTTTTCACAGATGTCCAGTCGAGCGGTGGGTACAGAGAATAAACAGCATTAAATTACGCAAATTATCATCACCGAATACCTGGCTACAGGTCCTAAGAACTACAGTAGTCATGTTGAGTTTTAACAGTGGCCAAGTCACGTCTGTGGGAGGGGACGCGGTATGGTTGGCGTGTGGGCAACCCGCACGTTATGACGCCGCCCTGCTCGGCGTGACGTTGGATGTCCTCCCGGGATCGCTCCTCCGCCAGCTCCTTCTGGAGCTCATCGATCTTCTTCTGCTCGGCCTCATGCTTCTGCTCAGCCTTCCACACACGCTCGATATTCCGCAGTGTCTGTGGATGCCAGCTCTTCTTCAGATTCTGAAAGCAGCAGACACAATACACTGCATTGGTTAGCTTGTGGATTACTCAAGGCAGATTGGCTGTAACCATAATTCTGTAAGGATAGGGTTGCAGGGGGTTGATGTGTTGATCTCTTGATTGTGTACGCGCACTAAATCACGTAATCATCAGAATCTTTAGTTAGACTGTAGGAATCCGATGAGCTCTGAAGCTCTTTTTCCATAGATATCCACTACGTAGGCAATTTAAATTATGGAAAGCGACTCTGCCGGACACACTAGAGTACGTAACTTAAAGTAATCATGAGCATCGTTGTGGAGAATTTAAGTAACAAAATAAATAAGCAGACGCTATTTAAGTAAAAGAATCTCCACATTTACGGAGTGGCTTCCGGGCCTGGTCGCTAGCGGCCAGGCCCGAATCGGGCCCGGAGTAAATCGCCGCCCGTCTCACCAGATCGCCGCCTCCCATCGCGGCGGGAGAGGAGGCGAGACGCAGACGACGACGAGAAGGGAGCGCAGGGGGAGCACAGGGAGAGGGAGACGGGGAGAGGGAGACGGGGAGAGGGAGACGGGGAGAGGGAGACGTGGAGAGGGAGACGGGGAGAGGGAGACGGGGAGAGGGAGACGGGGAGAGGGAGACGTGGAGAGGGAGACGGGGAGAGGGAGACGTGGAGAGGGAGACGTGGAGAGTGAGACGTGGAGAGTGAGACGTGGAGAGTGAGACGTTGAGAGTGAGACGTGGAGAGTGAGACGTGGAGAGGGAGACGTGGAGAGGGAGACGCGGCGAGCTGCGACCGTCTCTGATGGCGCCTCGCTACACCGGAAACCAACTTTTCACCGCAGTCCCTGACCTCTGTGTTAAACCCCTAAACAGTTGCACCGGGAGTGTTTCACCGCGGACCCGAACCCCACCACGTGATACTGACTGTATTGGGACTGGAAGAATCCGATGAGCTATGAAGCTCTTCTTTCACAGACGGCCCATTGCCAATACGTCCAAGTGATGGGAGTTTACGGTATACTCGTTTTGTTACATGGATGATCTCATTTATCCAATCGTCCGGCGAATTTCCAAGGGAGATCTGTGAGCACAGCAGCAACAAAATGAATACATCATTATTGGAATAGAACGAGGTATTTGAGGAAAATTGCACAACCAGCAAACGAGGTATTTGACGGTCGTAAACGAAACACAACAGTTACAAAACACAGTAATTCGGCCCGTCCCACGGGTGGGGGCGCATCGGGTGGCGGGAGCTTTTGGCAATGAATGGGACCCCAACAAGCCCATTTTGGGCCCAGGTGGCTCCCCCACAAACCCACTGTGGGCCCGGGTGGGACCCCCACAAACCCACTGTGGGCCAGGGTGGCACCCCCACAAACCCACTGTGGGCCCGGGTGGCACCCCCACAAACCCACTGTGGGCCCAGGTGGCACCCCCACAAACCCACTGTGGGCCCGGGTGGCACCCCCACAAACCCACTGTGGGCCCAGGTGGGACCCCCACAAACCCACTGTGGGCCCAGGTGGGACCCCCACAAACCCACTGTGGGCCAGGGTGGCACCCCCACAAACCCACTGTGGGCCCAGGTGGTACCCCCACAAACCCACTGTGGGCCCGGGTGGCACCCCCACAAACCCACTGTGGGCCCAGGTGGTACCCCCACAAACCCACTGTGGGCCCAGGTGGCACCCCCACAAACCCACTGTGGGCCCGGGTGGCACCCCCACAAACCCACTGTGGGCCCAGGTGTGGGCCCAGGTGGCACCCCCACAAACCCACTGTGGGCCAGGGTGGGACCCCCACAAACCCACTGTGGGCCCAGGTGGCACCCCCACAAACCCACTGTGGGCCCAGGTGTGGGCCCAGGTGGCACCCCCACAAACCCACTGTGGGCCAAGGTGGGACCCCCACAAACCCACTGTGGGCCCAGGTGGGACCCCCACAAACCCACTGTGGGCCCAGGTGGCACCCCCACAAACCCACTGTGGGCCCAGGTGTGGGCCCGGGTGGCACCCCCACAAACCCACTGTGGACCCGGGTGGGACCCCCACAAACCCACTGTGGGCCCAGGTGGCACCCCCACAAACCCACTGTGGGCCCAGGTGTGGGCCCAGGTGGCACCCCCACAAACCCACTGTGGGCCCGTTTGTGGGCCCAGGTGGCACCCCCACAAACCCACTGTGGGCCAGGGTGAATGGGAATGGGCTATATGAGAGGACTCACGTTCACTTCTGCTGATCTGTTCTCATCGATCGCAAGGAAATTAAGCGGTGGTGCAAAAACACTTGACAAGAATGTGCTCAGTTGTATCTTGGTGTCTAAGTGTTTGTGCCTCTGTGTTTGTCTTTATGTCTCTGTGTGTTTGTTTCTGCGTGTGTCTACGTATAACTGCGCGTGTGCGACACGGCCCATGGAGAGGGGAGTGCGGAAGGTTGGTAGGGATGGAGGCTTGAGGTTCTTTCCTATAATACCAACAATTCCACGGCAGCACAGCTGGGACTTCCACACCGATTGAGAATTGCGGACTTAGTTGATGGACAACAGTGCTGCACAAGGGGCTGTTTTGGTTGACGTGAAAGCTCCATTTGGCCTGATTTTCCTTGGTGACAGTTCAATAAAAGATAATTATGGACAAAGCCCTGGGACAAATGAAATTCATTTGGCTGAGTAATGAAAACGATATCTCTCATAGTGGCTGGAAGCCTACAAAAACATGCATGGCAGAGCAGCGAATGTATCCTAAATACATACGCATCACATAAAAAAAATCCTGCTGACAGTGGGGATTCAGATTTCAGTAGAATTGCTTGATATCTACGTAATGTTTTCAAAATCATCCTTACAAACTGTACACACAAGTGACTCGTAATCAATATCTGGAATCTACTGCAGTTTTTGTTATTTAACAAATGTTGTTTTGCAGAGATCACTATATTGAAATAAAACATTACATGGGTCTGGATAATTCTGGATGTGGCCTTGCATGGTTGGCTTGTGTCTAGAGACGAGTTATAAATGTCCGTATTTTCCCTGAAGGAGGATTATTTGCCTGCCCAAAATGGAGCGGGTTCTTGTACGGAGGTCCCCAGGAGAATGGGCAGCACCTGCCATGTGACGAGGTTCGGTGGACCGAAGGAGCTGCCCGGGACACACGGACTTGGGAGTGGATGGATGCATGGAGCCTGCGAGGAGGACACAGTGAGGTTGGTCAAGTGCAAGTGAAGGACTCTGGGTGCTTAACAGGACCTCGCTGACTTCAAAGTGCTGAGTAAATCCTCACACTGCGGTAACCCCTGCTAATATATCAAGTTGAGTACTAGGTACGAGATAATTTTATGTCTATAAAGTTGTTCTTATCGATGCTCTTGGTTTGACAGATAATGTACAAAAAGCGGTATATATTTTAAAAAATAGATGTGAAAAGAAGTTGTATTAACCTCTTACGTTGAAACACCTTGTTACAAACTAAAGACGTTTGGCGATGCTGCTGCAATAGAAGTGGTGCATATGCACAAGAAAAAAAACTCAACACATTCGCTTTAACATTGTGGCCTTGAAAGGATAAAAATATATATAATTGGTAACATTTTGAGCAATCGCCTAAAAATATTTCTGGCAATGTGCTATGGAGAAGGTCCATTGCCCGTAGTGTCGCCTATTGTATTATTTTCCTTTTGAGGCTACAGCATTTTTATGAACGAATGTGTTGAGTTTTTGTTCGAAAATAATACTCGCTTATGCTTTACGGTAATGAGTGTGTCCTTTGGAATGTACTGTTCTCAATACTTTTGACTGCAATTTACAAGACTTAAATACTTGGAAATGTGTATTTGATAAAGAGATAAAGATTTTAGTCTTCTTGCAGTCCTAGATATTGAAAGGAACTGCTGCTATTGTCATGACAAAGCTAGTGGGACAAGTACACAAGAACGTTACTTTAAATGCATGTTTTGTGTAAACGTTGTCATGCCGGGCAGTATAAAGATATGTCAGAGTCATTAGATGTGGCGATTAGTGGAGTGGGAAGAGGGGGCTCAGTGAGTGAGGATTGTGTGGTTGTGGAACGCCAACAATATAATTTGACAAAAGTATTTGTGCTAATGGACCAAGTGCTGACAGGTTTCTTTGTTATTCGTTTGTTCACGTGACATGTGGGCCGCTCACTGGCGTGTGTCTTCGGTCCTCGTGTATGGCAGGAGGCTGATAATTATTTGTGTGCGTGTTGCATGACCTAGCAGTCGCGCGTTCGCTGCATGTTGCATCAGTTTGCGGTTTTAATCCGACAGGCCACCCTCGTTATTACTGTGGGTGTATTAATAGTGGATGTTGAAGATTGCCTGACGTTATTCGAAACGAGAAAATTGTGTACTGGCGTCATGGTCCAAATTTTACTAATTCAAATTTACCCATAAATGAATAAATTTGGATTACACGTATCATCTCCATTTGCTGGCAAACAAATGCCTCCGTGTTGGCTAAGCGTTGAATCACAGGGGCAGCTACCACTGGGGATGCACTTTCAAATGTGTGAGATGAGATGTCCGTCGCTAATTGTGTGTAAAGCATTTTGAAAATGCTTGAAGGGCGATGTATTAAAACCAAATCATGATGTGGTTGTAATGTGTGTGTGTGATTGGGTGCAATTGTCCTTCCTGCACCCTAGGTTGGGCTGCACCAACATGTCTCGCCGCGTGGGCGAGTATGCGGTCACAGAAGAACACATAGAGGAATACGATATCGATTCACCTGAGGTATTGCGGAACCCAACGTCTTGTATACACACCATTGTTTCCGGTGATTGCAGCAATAGAGTGGTGGCAGCAGACATCGTTGTGTTAAAAGGGGGCTCTGAATTTTGATAAATTCACACTGCCCATTTTCTGGAGAGCCCACCTTCGGAGGATTTCCATTGCCTCTAAACACTGATACCAGAGTTCCCGTAACAGTCGGATTTGGCCACATAGGCTCAGGAAAGATAAATATTCAGTAACACTGAAAAATGTACAGCCCTTTTGTCAATCCACTGGTGGCTACCTCGTGCTATCAGCCATGGGGTTTGTATGGCCATATTTCACAAGGCTGGTGGTCAGTGCGGATTGGTAAAGGGGTACCAGAACCGGTTCAGATACTTCTCACGACTGATGATAGCTGTGGCCAACAATCGAAACCAGGTCACCGGGTTCACAGCACGTTACACTAATTACTATGCCACCATTCCACGTACTCCAATGAAATCCCTCTATGTGGGATAGTCTTCCCATAATGTTTACCTTTCCTACTGCACTATGCATGTACAGGGCTGGGATAAAATGTCTATGTTTAAGTCTGAAGTGAAAGTGACCTTGAAGTGCTTATGTGTGCGCTGGGCAAGGGGAGAGGGTGGAAGGTTTTCGTGGATAAGAGCCATAAGGTGGTATGCAGACCCTTGGGATGTGTCAGCTGGTCACACTGTGATCTCTCCTGAAGAGACTAAACACGCTAAGCCTCCTCCATAACTTGCACGAATCCTAGTCCCGCATTAACTCAATGTCTCAACTTTAACTGGCACCATTCATGTATATAACGCAATACAGATTAACATCATTGTGGAGAACGTAACAAAATGAATGCTAACTTCCATTATCTGTCGCTTCACGCAAAACAAGTGTTTTTCACGTAGAAACTATTCAACTAAACTATTTTTATTTTACCAGGTAAGACCCACTGAGCTATATCGCTCCTTTTCAGAAGGGACCTGGCCACAAATGATTGTTCAATGAAGTGGCTTATCATGTGGACATTTATAGCAGCCATATATTTTAAAACGCATGTTTTAGAGTATATGGCTGTGGGTCCTCCGGAAAAACCGGAGGACCCACAGAAGAATCCACGTGACCATGGAGAGAACATGAACACTCAAAAATATACAGGCATCAGGGTTGGGATTGAACCCACAATCTATTGTATGCCAGGCAAGATAGTTAACATCACCACCACCAGCGCCTTATCCGGCAGCCACACGGCCTTCTGGGATTGCATAAATTCAACAGCATCGGCTCAATACAAACTCTGGACCTGGTTTTGATATTCTGTGTCTCTGCTGGTGAATTGCCAGATGGGCAAGGATCCTCTCTGTTAGATATGCTTAGAAATATCTGACTGATGATGAGACACTAAATATGGAGAACGTTGCAGTGTCTTCTTGTGTTAGACCATCACAGTTGAAATTATGCACTCCCAGAAGGCTGTGTTGCTGATGAGAAGTGTAAATAATACTTTATTTTTTCACGTGGAGGGCAGATATGGGAAGAAGTCGGATTTGCTTAATGTATTCTGTGCAGGTATAGGTTTGTAGCGAACATTGATTCTTATTTCAAGTAGTGAGACAGTTGTTGATCAGATTGAGATGGTGCGTCATGACAATTCTTCAGATGGAGCTTTAGACACGAGGCCGTTGGGATTGTCCAGCTCATAGGAAACGCACGCAGCTTGAGTCAGCGCCGCGTGGCCAAAGTAGGCCGCTATTTATTGCTCACACCCTGGGGGGGTGTCAAATGGGGCCTCCATCCCAACAGTGAGAGAACGCAACCTAATGAGAGGCATGCCTTTCCTTTGCTGTCAGAGGCATTTACCGAGTGAAACAACTTAGCCTACTCATTAAGTAACTACCAAAATAAACCTCCCTTTTCATTTTACACAGTGTCTTATATTGATAATCATTTGTGGTGTTACACACAAAGTGATACTTATATATGCGGCTCATTTTAATTAACATCTAAGGCAAATGTAAAAACTAATTATCAGCCGTTACTCCTGTATACCAACCAACATGCTGTGTAGCAACAGCATGGGATTGTAATTTACATTGAAATGTGAAATGCAGGGCAGTGTCGAAAGTATATATTTTTTATTGTCAAATGAGAAAACACTGTTTGACTGAACATTACACAAATAACATTTTTGGTGCTTGTAACCGTTACATAATTAAACTTTAATGTTCTGCTTAACAAATTCATTATTCTCACGGTATCTCCTCAAATTATGTGCACCATATATTCGTGGTGTTTTGTGGAGTTGGCCGATGATTAACCAGGCAATGGCGGCTGTGCTGCACGTGGCTGCCTGTAATCCAGCACTGTGGAGGCAACAAGGGGTTAGTGGACCGCACAAATGTTGTGGAACTCCCTTCCCTTGGGCGTCAAGGAGGTGCCACGCGCCGTGATGCTCCAGGAGAAGGTGGTACAGAAATCCCTTGACAACTGCAAGGGTGAGGTTCCGGAAAACCCTCACGGTTGATAAACTTAAATCCTTATTGAGTTAGGCGAACCTAACCCCATAAGGATTTAAGTTTGTATAAATCCCATATACATATTTTTTACGTTCACTAAAATTAACCAATGAACACAACACACCAAATAAAGAGATTTTCAGTGACATTTAAGACGTTTAATTCAGAAAAGTACAGGAAATTAAATTAAATTTATCTTTGATGATGATGATGATGATGGTGAGGAACTTACATCAACAAAACTCTTGCAAATCACAAACATAAAATATACAATTATTTCATGCGACGGAGCATGAATCCCACCGATGGTGAAGGTTGCAACGTGGAGAATAAAGAGGATTGGGTAGCGACAGACCCAGAGGTGCCTCCTCGCATCTTCTCGCAGAAGTCTGCGAGACAACATGGTGGATGCTGACAAGAAAGGCCCTCGTGTTGTAGCTGCTCACTCCGAGATATAAATGCCCTGAAAGTGGCCATTGTCTTTGTGCTGTTCGCCTTTTGGCATTCTCTGGTCTAACACTGTTTGAGAATAGGCCAGAGTAAAGGCTGTCTCTGGTGTAGACCAATCAGTTTCAAAGACAATGCATACATTACCAGAGCATGTTTCGGTTTACATGTTCACCACAAGTATGTGTGGTTAATGCAGAGAGGATTCCTTGCGAAAGGTTCATTTTTTTAATATATATCTTAACACAACTGTTTTATTGCCAGAAAGGGTAAAACCTCATCTTATGTGGCGGATGCTACGCGGAGGCGCCAATTTTGATTTCACGACTTGACGAGAAGAGCGATTCACGGATCACTGAAACCAAGATGCTCGCGGTTGTTAAACAAGTAGTATATGGAAGTACATCCGCTTATACTGAAATCCCGTGGTTGGCAAGGAATTAGTGTACAGCAAAGTGCAGACTAATATCATCTGTTTCATCTATATGAGATAAGCGTTTTCCCCCCGCATGCGTGAGTTTTCTGTGGTTTCTCTCACATGTATGAACACTAATCAATTGGCTGAAAACATCTTAATATATAAAGGATGGCAGAGCTTGTGCGAGTGTGGGTAGCAATGGCAGACCACCTAGCTGCTGCCTTCCAGCTCACCTGTAGTTCCTCGGCAATTGACAGATGCAATTTGCATGAATAATGATGCAATATAAAACTGCACATTATTATTATGATGAGCAACATGTGTGTGAACTAACGCTCTTCTTCCCTTCCTGTAGACAAAACATGAACATAGGCTGAGTCGACAGCACGATACAGGATATGCAAAGACGAGTCATAAAAACGATTCATACAAATCTTACCCATAACCCATCTAATGTTAATAGTGTATGTGTTTAAAGGCAGCAACTTGAATTCTGGATTAAAAGGTCAAAGTGATTTCTTGCTCAAATGAGCATTGAGGCGGTGGACAATTCCTATTCACCGCTCTGAATCTGTGGTGAAAATTCCACATTACTTTGACGGAATGTGAGTAGATCCATAAGAGTTAACCCCCAGCAACGGTTTGAACTTAGCCACTTGCTCTACCTACTGAGCCACCTGGGTCGGATTATTCACGCATTAAGAATAGATTTTACCCTTTCTGGCAATAAAACAGTTGTGTAAAGATGTTAAAACACCAAACAGAAACCTTTTGCAAGGAATTATGTCTGCATTAACCACTCATACTTGTGGTGAACATGCAAGGAGGTCCCATGATGTAGTTGCTCACCCCGAGCTCTCAATGTCCTAATAGTGGCATTGTCTTTGTGCTGTTCGCCTTTTGGCGTTGTCCTCTGGTCTAGAACTGTTAGTGAGACTAGGCTCTCAAGAAAGCTGTCTCTGGTGTGGACGAATCAGTTTCAAAGACAATGCATCATATGTTACCAGAGCATGTTTTTTTGTTTTTGTTTGCATGTTCAACACAAGTATATGTGGTTAATGCAGACATAATTTCTTGCAAAGGGTTTCTGTTTCGTGTTTTAACATCTTTACACCTGTTTTTTTGCGAGAAAGGGTGAAACCTATTGTTATATTTTGATACTGGCAAAGGAGGTCCCATGATATTCGTGCATTGTGGATTCAGAAGAGAAGGTTCTGCCTTGCGCGCTTAGGATGTCCTGTCTATGTGTGTGTCTGATGTGTAAAGTGGAAAACAGTAGGAAAATCCAAGTCTTATGAAGAGTTTGAAGAGGAGGTTGGAGGCTACACGAAGATAACAACCGTCACAGAGACGAAGCTCACCAAACAGCTTCCAGGAACGGTGACGGAGCGTACCATCATCACCGAGATCCCGTACGATGAGGGGGGAGAAGAAGAGGAGGAGGAGGAAGTGGAGGAAATTGTAACCAAGAAGGTACTCCTGACTACTCCCTGCCTGTCGAGCCACCTCACGCACACATGCTTGCAATCTATGTTTTGAAAAACCCTTTGCAGAATTGCATTTCACAAATGTGTTAAACTTTTTCTGGTGCATCCAATGACTGTCAAAATTAGATAAAAATAGTTGAGAATCATTGAATGTAATATGCGCGGTGGTTTAAATCTGTATTTGTGCTACATGACTTCTACGTTCACAACCTTTGACGTACTTTTCTGTCAGCCCAGGCCTATTATTAAAACTGCAGATTACTGCAAAAACGTTTAACATAATAACAGCACCAGATATCGGTACAAATAAATTCCTGCTGCCACTTAAGCACACAAATGCAGTTTGCGTGCTGTATGGGTTAAACCACAGTAGGAAGCGATCCCAGTGGTTTCCAATGGCTTGACCGTGTTACTGGTTTGTTTCGTACCGTACACGAAAGAGTGACGCCTCTGTGTGTGTGGGTGGGCAGTTCGGGGCAAGCGATGGACCCAGAAGCACCCAGCAGAGCAGGCCAGAGAGGAAAGCAGCCAAAGATGTCAGTGCAACTCCGAGTGAACACCTCACTGTGGATCTTCTGCACAGCAAGAAAGCACAAAATCTCTACAGCACGGTAACGTTCTTGCTTAAGCTGTGAGTTCATCAGGGGTGCTGTGCGGTCTTGTGGAAGAGAAAAGTCACGAATGCAGTTGCTACAAAAATATATGAACCCATCAGCGCCTGGGACAGCACCCTTAACAGATATGGGAAGGTGGTGTATCATCTGCTTATTTATTGTGTAACCTAGATTGTCCACATTAACGCTCATTATTTTTGTGTTATGCATTATATGATTCTGCGTACTATAAAAAACTATTTTTATTTTACCAGGTAGGGCCCACTGAGCTATATAGTTCTTTATTCTTTGGTTCTATTCGGTAAAGTCAGGTAGGTAAAAATAAAATAACAAAAATCACGACGTTTCGGCCACAACACAAGCGGCCTTCATCAGGTGAAGGGACCGGACTGTCCAGAGGACAGCGTTGGAGTGAAGACAGCCAAGCCCAGGTCGCGTTCTTTTTCAGAAGTAACCTGGCCATAAATGATAGCTCAACAAAGTGGCATATGTAGAAATATATATCAGCCAAACATGCTAAATGCTTGTTTCTAAATGCTGAGGAAAAAAACGTTGGACCTAGATAAAAATCCACACGACCACAGGGAGATCATGCAAACTCCAAATATACAGGCGTCAGAGTGGGGATCGAACCCACGTGTCCTGCATACCAGGCGAGGGTGTGAACTTCTCGCCATGGCACCCTTGTTATATAGGACCCATGTCCTATATGACATATAGGGCCCAAGTTTAACCGAGAGGGTCCTTGCCTATACACATCTGGCAGTTCACCAGCATTAGTTCAAGCAAGCCTGACTGCTGATGAGACACTGAATGTCAAAAGCGGTCTAGAGATTGATTTTGTTGTGAACCAATGCTGCTAAATTCATCCACTCCCGGAAGGTCATGTGGCTGATGAGGATGTATAAAGAATACTTAGCTTTTTTACGTGGAGGGACACGTATATCAAGGGAGAAAATTGTCTAATATATTCAGTTATATTTGGGGTCAATACTTGCTTCTCTAGAAGGACCTGTACAATATACTGTACCAGAAGGGCATGTGTTGTTCGTGTGCACTCATTCTACGGGTTGACATATGATAGGGTCATTGTTGCTCAGGTCATTGTTGTAAATAACACTTTCCTGATTTTTTTATTTTTCACCTTGTCAAACAAAATTAAACTAATAAAATCCTAAAGCTATTTTTTTATTTTACCAGGTAAGGCCCACTGAGCTATATAGCTATTTTTCATAAGCGACCACGCCATAAATTGTAGCTCAAGGAAGTGGCTTATCATATGGAAATGTATAGCAAGCAAAAGCTGTAAACGCATGTTTCTAAATGTGGAGGGATAAACCGGCGAACCCGGAGAAACATCCACGCCACCTTGGGGACAACATGCAAACTCCAAATGTACAGGCATCAGGGTCGAGATCGAACCCACAACCTCCTGCACATCAGGTGAGACAGATAATATCTCGTCACTATAAACTTGACCTGGCTATGCTGTGTTTGTTTGTGGACGTGCCGTGCACCTTGTGGTGGTGTAGTTGAAGTATAAGAAGGACTACGAGGAAAACAAAGCCATGGGATTCAGCATCGTGACGGACACTCCTGAGCGCAAGAGAACCAAGCGGGCACAGGACCAGATCAGTGAGGTATGATACACCGACTGATTTGAACACACAGTACACATTGGTTGGATAATAACTCATCATCTATATACAAAAATACGTCACATAACCATGGAGAGGAACCATTAAGTGCTTGCTACATCACATATGTGAGCCAATAAACTCAGTGGCAGAGTGAGCGGCTCCAACTCATAAGATTCCAATTTCAAATGCTGGTTGGGGCTTGACTCAGCCCATCAGCCCAGGGCGAGTGGCAGTGTGGTGCAGTGGTCATACTCATGCCTCACAGCAAGAAGTGCCTGGGTTCGATTCCCAACTGAGGCACCTTCCTGTGTGGAGTTTGTATGTCCTCTCCTGTTCTGCATGGCTTCCTCGGGGTTTTTTCTGGCTTCCTCGTATAGCTAAAAAAAACATACACTATAGCTGGTATTGGCCAAAAATGCCAATTCTGAAATATTACTTTGCGATTTACTCAATTGGGATAACACACAGTAGCAACATCGCCCCCTCCTGTGAAAACTTGGCAGGACCCTCCTGACAAAATATTGAGACTCAGTGAGGCTTTGCTGGGTAAATACGCGTAAGAACAATAATATAACCCCCCGGGGTCGATAACATTTGAAACATGGTGTGGGGAAGTCTAAACACTGGTTGCCCAATGAAAGACTTGCCTTCGCCATAGGTTAATGTGAATTATCCAACCCCTTGCTCAGTGCTATAAACAGGAGATGAACACTGCCTCAATATTCATTTGGGCAGGAAATCACCTTGGCTTGATTGCACTGGGCTGAGGTTGACAGCTGCTACACACCCTGCTCCACCGCCGCTTGCCTGCCTTACGAGCCCCCCCCCCCCCGTGTGGTGCCGTGCAGGTGAAATACCACAAAGAATGGGAGAAGATGAAGAACGTGTGCCACCTAGACAACACCAGCCGAGATGTGGAGCATGCAGCCAAAGTGTCCAAGATGGTCAGCAAGGTACTGCTCCCTGCTAGGCAGCAGCCTGTCCGCCAAAACACTGAGTGAAATTCACAACGGATGTTTTTGTTCTCATGCTTCTGCGCTAAAAGCAGTGTGTGCGTGCCTGGTCTTTACAGCACAGATTTTGTGTCACAGCTGGAGGTGAGAAACGTGGTGTAAATAAGCCGTGTACCTGAATTTTTTTTTTTATATATATATATTTGTGTGCATGGCCAGATTTTGTACAAAGAAAAATATGAAGACATGAAGGAGCATTTTCAACTACCTCCTGATGCGCCCGAGTTTGTACACGCGCTAAAAAACTCGGCCCTCTACAGCAAGGTGACCCAGCACTCGAGATACACAATGACCATCAGCAGCCCTCACTTCAAACTCCAAGCAAGAGTACCTTGCCACGGTGGCGAGATCTTAACTACCTCGCATGGTATACAGGAGGTTGTGGGTTCGATCCCGACCATAACACCTATATATAGTTGGAGTTTGCATGTTCTCCGTGTGGTCGTGTGGATTTTTCTGCAGATCCTCCGGTTTTTCCTACACATTTATAAACATGTGTTTCGAGTATATGATTTTGATACATTTTCTATTATTTGTGGCCAGGTCACTTCTGTTAAAGAGCTATACAGCTCAGTGGACCTCACCTGGTAAAATTATAAAAAAATTAGTTTAAAAAAATTGGTTGGCAACCAGCTGGGGAAACCACACAACTGCATTTGTGTTGCCACTGGAACGATCATGACCACATTCTCTCACCCATAGTTAGGGCTAAAGCTGTGGCCTTTTATGGTTCTGGGAACACTATTTCCTTAGAAATTCATGAAACTCCGAAAATCCACGCTGCGTGGTTCATGGCCACTCCCGTAATCTCCGGGGGATAAAATCCACATTTTTGTCGTGGATTTTTGGATCTCTACCAGGAGTGGCTAATTCCTCCCATAATCTGAAGCACAGTACGACGACTCGAATATTTAGTAGGTCCCCCGAAGTTACCACGAATGACCAGATTTCTTCTCTATTTGCAAATGTTATTCGTGTGTCCACATGTGTGTGCGTGTGTTGTCGTGTGTGTGCGTGCGTGTGAATAGAATGCGTATAAAGCTGAATACGAAGACGAGAAAACGACCTTCTTCCCGTACGCCGACAGCCCGGAGCTCCGGCGTGTCGCGTCCGCACAGAAGATTTTTAGCGATGTATGTGGCACCGTGTTATTGTGCAGATGGCTCAATGGAACTGTCATTTAAAAGCTGGCTCACAAAAATCGTTCAGAACGGAGCACTGTTGCTGCAAATAAGCACTCCCAGAAGGTCATACGGCTGATGGGATGTGTAAAAACAATCCTTTCCAGTTTTTATCTTGGAGGACAGATATGGGAAGGCGGTGTATTGTCTACTAATTTTGTTAGACATTTATTTAACTGATTTATTTAACTAAATACTTTATTTCACAATTGATGAATTAAACTGAACAGTTTAAGATTTCCCAGCCATATTGCTGGCCAATTGCAATGCGAGTTACATCTGTGTGTGTGTTTGTGCATGTCTTTGTTGCGACAGATTCAATACAAACAGAAGGGCCATGCTCCATACACATCAGTGGCAGACACCCCTGATGTGCGGCAGGCTAAGAAGAACTTTCTGCAAGGCAGTGATGTCAGTAATGTTTTGTGATATTCACCCATCACCTGCGCCACCCTTTCACTCACATTTCTCTCCGTTTCCCAGTTGGGTTACAAACGACCCCAGTTTTAGCCTCTTGTCTCTTTCTTTTACTTTTTTCTTTAATCGTTTTGTTTGTTTATGCAAAACAGGGCCGATGGAATGTCTCAGTTTGGCATTGTCAGCTGCTACAACGCACAGCTAAATGCTCGCCAACGTGCTAAAGAGAAAGATTGATTATATCCCTGTTGTTCGTGGTTCAGAGGTTGTTGCCGAGCGTGTGTGGAACACAAACACGCATAGTGTATGCTCGGGGGTGCGTGTGTCTGTGTACACAGCTGAAGTATCGCGAGGCCTATAACAAGGACGTTAAGGGAAAGTGGGCCGAGACACCCTACGTGGACATGGCAAACGCCAAGATCAACGCGCACAATCTGTCTCAGGTGAGCTGACAACTTCCACAACTGTGCTTAACAGGCAGAGCCATGTGGGAGGCACTCGCCTGTCGAGCCTGTGGTGTACACTTCAGGAATTCCAATTGCTCGTGCCACTCGAATTACATCCGTTCATTTTGTTGGAATGACCGATGCACGTGATTTTAATGTAAGATTCTTCATATGGTCGATATTTATAAAAATGCTACTCTGTCATCACCGAGTATGTGGTGCATGGCGAGTGTGAGGTGAGTATCTGGTGTGTGTCATTTGTCAGATGAGTGGTTAGAGTGTGGTGAGTGGTGTCTAGTGAGCAGTTAATGTCTGGCAAGGTGTCTAGTATGTGTCTTTTGAGTTTTCAACGTTTGGTGAGTGTTTAGTGTCTGGTGAGTGGTGAGAGTCTGGTGAGTGGTGAGTGTCTGATGTGTGTCTGGTGAGTGATGAGTGTCTGGATTGTGCCATTGTCTGGTGAGTGATGAGTGGTGGTCGGTGATAGGAGAAGGTCTGATGAGTGTGTTATGCATGGTGAATAGTGAGTCGTGAGTATCTGTTTAGTGTCAGTGTCTGTAGAGTGATGCATGTCATATGAGTGAGTGGTGAGTGGCTGGTGTGTTGTAAGTGGTATCTGGTAAGTGGTGTAAGGTGAGTGATGAGATTGAGGCAGTGACGCGAACAAAGCTAGTTTTTTTGTTATCATTGAGGGTCTTATGAGTTGGTACTCGGCACAGGGCCTGAAGGCTGTTACATATGCGTGTATGTTGTCATGTACAATCAAAGCATTATACAATGCTTATGAGTGGGGATTTCCTAGCAGAGGCCATTGTTGCACTGCTGTGTGTTAATGTTGGTGCTGTGGCCTCTGTGGACTTGTGCAGATCCAGTACAAGGCAGACTGGGAGCACATGAAGGACAAACAGTGTGGTCTGCAGAAGGATGCACTGCCACTCAAGGTGGCCAAGGCCCAGCGCAAGATTGCCAGCAATGTGGGTTTTACACTGCCCTGGTACACACCCATTGCTCTCACACGAACCAATGTTTTCATTGATTTATAGCCATCTGGATTTGCGGGAGTGTCTCTGACCTTGAGCTGGTGATTCGTTGTGCTGCAGGTGGAGTACAAGCGGGCATTCGAGCAGGCCCGAGGCCAAGCGGCCTGCATGCAGAGCGTGGATGATGATCCCAAGATCCGCCATTCCATGAATGTTTCCAAGAACCGCAGTGAGGTGGGTGCATTGCCTTCGGTGCGCTTGGTCCACATCACTATGCATGACGCACATGCAAGAGAAAGTTACAGCTGAATTTTGATTGTTTATTGTGAACAAGCGTAGCAAGCTCGCAAGTCACATTTCATCACGATCCAGGTTATCCGCAGCCTGCCATGGCGGTGTTTGGTGTGTAGACACGTGCATTATGTTAATATATCTTGATTATATTCTCACATGGTAATACAAGCAGGAACATTTTTCTTTAGTTCCAGCTCCCCATGTTGTGTTATGGGGGGCCCAATTAAGGCCTTGTTTGATTGATTGTATCATCTGTTTAGAATCTGTACAAGAAGGAATATGAGAAGAACAAGACTAAGTTTCACATGCCGGCGGACAGTGTTCACGTGGTTCAAGCCAAAAATGCGCAGGAAATGGCCAGCAACTTGGACTACAAGACAAGCCCACATGGCTACGTGCTTCCCCCTGACTGTGTGACGTCACAGCAGGCCCGCAAGGCCTACGACCTCCAGAGTGATGTACGAGCCACCACTGACACTGAGCACTGCACTTTGATCGCACGGGCGGTGACATCATCATCATTTCATTGACATGCCACCCTCTTCCTCAACTCAACATCTCTCGTTTGACTCCAACAATAACTCCACTCTTTGACCTCACAGGCACAACAGTTTAACCGTCACCAAACCCGCACAGGCACACTCTCGCTCAGAGCTGTTTCAGCATGGAACCATCTCCCAGACCCACCAACTCGTGCTGCCAGTCCCAGCTGATTTAAATCTGTGATTCAAGCTCGCTCACGCAATGTCTGCGACCACCATAATGCTAATGCTTTCTACATAAACCGGCCAAGTGTATCACTTACTTCTGTATTTACGTGTATGTTTGACTGGGTGAGATATACATTGCATGAATGCAAATTGCATAAGTTGTACATGTAAATGTGTGTACATGTGTCGTGACAGGTTTTTTATGTACGTGTGAGTTAACACTCGGGACACCGTTGTAAACAAGGCATACCGGCTCAAGGGATGTTTCAGCGGAATATTTTAATTGATCAATTAATAAATAGATGTCCCTACAACAAGAGGTGTGTGGAGACAATGTGACGTGATGGTGCGTATGTCGTACGAGTCATGTGTATGTTGTGTTGCGCGCTACATATGTGCGTGCTGCAGAATTTGTACAAGTCGGACATGGACTGGATGCGTGGGGTGGGCTGGGTCACCTCGGGTTCCGTGGACGTTGAGAAGGTCAAGCGTGCAGGCAGCATCCTGAGTGAGGTGCGTCACCTCCCCTATCTCCGCACCTGCATGGTCACCAGCGACGGTGCACACCTGTACAAGGGCAGACACCGTCGCCCGTGCTCCCACCGACTGTCCACAGCCTGCGCTTCTCTGTGCAGAAACGAGGTGCTGAGATGTTGCTTTGCTGCTCCCACAGAGGAAGTACAGACAGCCAGCTCAGCAGCAGCCCTTCACCCAGGTGGAGGACACGCCAGAGTTGGTGAAGGCCAAATCCAACCAGCAGCTCTGCAGTAAAGTACGTGCCAGAGTGTTCCGTTCTGCCGTGAATGACCCTCCTGCATCATTCATTTTCAAACACCGTTTGTTATTCTTGCTGATGGCTCTGTGCGTGTACATTTGTGTGTGCGAGCAGCTCGTGTACAAGGCAGATAGCGAGAAGCGCCTGCACCAGTACACCATGGATGCAGATGAACCCCAGCTGCTGCAGGCCAAGGTCAACAGCATCAATCTGAGTAATGTAAGCAGCCCATTACTGTCACCACCTCAACGCCTGTCACGTGGGGTAATCACTCATTCATTCACCACTTCAATACCAATCATAGGTAGTGATCACTCAGAGTTTCACACTCACTACCACAACTCTCCTCTGCTTCTTTGCCTACAATAATGATACTTCTAACAGCCGGTGTATTAACCATAATATAAGTGCCTTCTGCTTAACAGCGGACGCTAAAGATCCCGTGACGTAATTCGAAATGAATGAGTCATTGTGTGCCGGCGTCACGGTCCAAATTTTCCATTCAAAAGATTCTCCGCAGATTACTCAATTGGGATTATACATAGCAATCATCGCCCCTACTGGCAGACTACGTGCAGGCCAGCTGGTAAGTCAGCTGCGCCACACAGGGAGAGTTGCCACGGGGGGTCACCCTGGAATGTTTGAGATGAGATGTGACGGAATTTGTTTTAAGTTGCTGAGGCGTTTAAGAGCCATATGAATGCACAAATACAGCACGACATCACCCAAGTGATGCCTTTGATTGTGGTCGGTATTGCAATGCTTTCTCACCAGAAATGCTACCAATTTGACTATGAAGAAAACAAGGCCACGGGTTATGAGCTGAAGGCTGATGCCATTCCTTTCCGTGCTGCAAGAGCTTCCAGCAACATCGTGAGCGATGTGAGTAGCAAGCGCCCACACACAGCAATCACGCAAACAATTGCAGCGCATTAAGAACCAGAAAGCAAAGGTGGCCCGGTTATCTTCAGACATCTCACAGTGCTTGTGGCCGTGGTGACTGTGGTGCAGCGCAAGTACAAGAAGGAGTACGAGGCAGACAAGGGCAAGCACATCGGGGCCCAGAGCCTACAGGACGACCCCAAGATGGTCCACTCAATGCGTGTGGCCAAGATGCAGAGTCAGCGCGAGTACAAGAAGGGCTATGAGAAGGGCAAGACCAGCTACCACACGCCGATGGACATGCTGCAGGTCGTGGAGGCCAAGAAGGCCCAGGCCATGGCCAGCAACTTGGACTACAAGACGCGGCTGCACAGCTACGTGCTGCCACCCGACCACATGACGGGACAGCACGCCCGCAAGGCCTACGACCTGCAGAGCGACGTGAGGAACGTGCAACGAATGAGTCCGATTCTCGTGCTCAGAGGGAACCATCTGGCAGTGCTGATCTGAGACTCCAGTTCTTGTTCACTATCCACACTGTATTACACTTATTTTTCTTATTCTTGAGTGCCCTTCTGTCTTTTTGTCACGACAATGGGGCCCTATGAGGCCATTCTGCCTGCTCCTGTCTTGCACCAGCTTCCTTCACTTGTTGCCCTTTCCGCTTGAGGTGTCGTTCTTCACGGTCACAATGCGGGACACCTTTGCTCTCTCTCCATTTCGTGTTCCTTGTTCTCTCATGTGTAAAGCCATGTTTAATATTCTACATTATACTCACCTCCGATTAGCACGGTTGGCTACGTACGGTAGTTAGAGGTTGATGCAACTCACAAATGAATTGTCCCTGCTTTGTTCCGGGCCATTGGGCATGAGCACGCAGCTTTATTATCGACGAAAAATACTTGAAACTCAAAAGCAGGAGGTTGTCTATTGGCATCACTGCACTGACATTATATTTTGAAATGTGGGGCGATACTACAGTGACAACATTACTGAAGTGATTTTAAAGGATTTGTTTTTTCCTCATGAATTACATTTTGAACTAGTATTGGGCAGCTTGGGACATATTCCAGGTACATTTCCACAACATAGAGCAGTTTGTGTTTTGTGCTGTGTCTTTCTCTCAGAGCCACGATTGATAAAACTCAAGTTTGTAAAAAAAAATCCATTTATGGTACCCAGATATTGAGTCACCCAAGAGAACATGTCCCAGAATTCCTGTCAAAGCACTGTCATTGGCCCCTGCCTATTTAAAGCAGTCGGGGTGATTGATAATTATCCCTCACTCGCTGATTCACTCCACTTACCGACGGTCAGTCTCCTTATCACTCTTCTACCGCTACTACCATGGTTACTCTTCCCGTTAATTCACTCATTGATTCCTCCACCCATGTTGAGGACTCAGTCTTTTAGTCTCACCATTTTGTCTCATCCAGACTGTGTTTAACCACCACACTGTTGGTCACAACAACACACTCACCCTCTCACTAACCCACCTCACTCACTTGCTCACCACACCGCAGGTCAACTCACTTCTCTTTACGCTTCTTCACCCGCACTGCTCCACTTTGGAATTCCCAGCATTGTCTCTTTCCCCAGGCTCTAATAATAACCTCGCTCGATTCAAGAAGCGTGTTAATACTTACCTGTTACAAATTTGATGGTGCTGTTTGTAGCTGGCCGTGTGACGTTTTGGGCCTTTGGGCCTGTTCTCAGCAATTATTTTTAAAAAGACATTGAGACACCCCCAGCAGCCACAGAATATAGGCGCCATTTCGTGGGTGACTTGAACATGATGCGGACATGAAGCCGAGTGTCGTGCGTCTGTGCCATTTAAGCTGTGCTATGCACCCACGCAGCGGAGTAGCCATCCTTGGCGACTTGTTAAAATGAAGGTAGCTTAGGGGATTTACGTGGTTTCAAAGTGACAACGGTATCCTGCACAATGAGCATTGCAGCGGTGCTCATCGATCGTGTACCTCCCTGAGCCAGTGGTGGGAATTCCACATTTCTGTGTCGGGATTCAGATATCCATAGGACAATCACTGTTGACTTCCCCACAAAGCGGTACTAATTTGATCAACACCAGAGAGATGATAGGCTCAGTCAACTCCCAACAAGAATTTTAATTCGCAACCTTCCAATCACAAGCTCCTTGGCCTACCGCTGAGCCACCTGGATGGATTAATATCTTGCTTGGCCTATTTGATTTAAATTAAAAGAAGATGATTTTGATTTTAAACTATTCAAACATGTGCGCGTTAGTTTTTCCTGTTTATAATGCATCACAGTTTAGTCTATTTAGAGACACGTGTGTGGTAAGAAGTGTGTGCAGACAATGTGACGCGATGGTGTGCATGTCGTACGAGTCATGCGTATGTCGTGGTGCACGCTACTTATGTGCATCCTGCAGAATTTGTACAAGTCGGACATGGACTGGATGCGTGGGGTGGGCTGGGTCACTTCTGGTTCCGTGGACGTTGAGAAGGTCAAGCGTGCAGGCAGCATCCTGAGTGAGGTGCGTCACCTCCCCTATCTCCGCACCTGCATGGTCACCAGCGACGGTGCACACCTGTACAAGGGCAGGCACCGACGCCTGTGCTCCCACCGACCCAGTGATCCGCCCATCCTGTCCACAGCCTGCGCTTCTCTGTGCAGAAACGAGGTGCTGAGATGTTGCTTTGCTGCTCCCACAGAGGAAGTACAGACAGCCAGCTCAGCAGCAGCCCTTCACCCAGGTGGAGGACACGCCAGAGTTGGTGAAGGCCAAATCCAACCAGCAGCTCTGCAGTAAAGTACGTGCCAGAGTGTTCCGTTCTGCCGTGAATGACCATCCTGCATCATTCATTTTCAAACACCGTTTGTTATTCTTGCTGATGGCTCTGTGCGTGTACATTTGTGTGTGCGAGCAGCTCGTGTACAAGGCAGATAGCGAGAAGCGCCTGCACCAGTACACCATGGATGCAGATGAACCCCAGCTGCTGCAGGCCAAGGTCAACAGCATCAATCTGAGTAAAGTAAGCAGCCCATTACTGTCACCACCTCAACGCCTGTCACGTGGGGTGATCGTTATTACTCACTGACCACCTCAAAATTGATCACCCACGGTTTCACACTCACGACTACAACTGTACAAAAACAATATCGCCCGAGTGAAGTCTTTGATTGGATTTCGATTTAAAGCTTTCGTGACTGCAATGATTCATCTTCTTTGGTTCTTTCGGTAAAGTCACGTAGAATGAGAATAAAATAATAAATTGATAAAATAAAATAACACAATAATATTCTCACGACGTTTCGGCCACAACACAAGCGGCCTTCATCAGGTGAAGGGGGGCGAGACTGTCTGGTAGGACAGCGCTGGAGTGAGAGAGCCACGTTCAGATCACGGCTTTTAAGCTGTGTGAGAGGAACAAAGAGCCTTGACACAGGAATTAGCATAAAATTTAGCATTGAAATGGCTGAATGATTAGCTTGTGACTGGTCACAGAAATAGCTATGTTAAAAGTTAAAGCATACACATCCGCAGAGGCACCCATTGTTAAAAGGAATTAGCATAGAATTTAGCATTGAAATAGCTAAGTTAAGGCATACACATCCGCAGAGGCACCCCTTGACAATGGGATTAGCATAGAATTTAGCATTGAAATGGCTGAGTGATTCGCTTGTAACTGCTACAGAAATAGCTACGTTGAAGTCAGAGCATACACATTCACCGAGGCACTTAGTACAAATCAAACAGGAGAATTTAGCATTGAAATAACTAGGCGAATTTAGCATTGAAATAACTGGGTGATTTGCTAGTGACTGGTCACAAAGTCCCGGTACCTGACACCATCGCTATCATTGAAGACCTGGTTCATCAAGGACTGCATACTGATGTACCCCCCCTGGTGAGACATTGCTTAACCAACACATACTTCACCTGGAATGGAACTTTCTACAAACAAACTGAGGGCACCCCAATGGGCTCCCCCCTATCTCCGGTTGTAGCCAACGTATTCATGGAAAAATTTGAAACTGACGCCATCCAGACTGCCACTCTACGCCCGACCTTATGGAAGAGGTACGTTGATGACACCTTTGTCATCTGGCCACATGGCCAGCCTGCTCTAGACCAATTCCGCGACCACATCAATTCCATACACCCAGCCATCAGATTTACCATGGAGGTCGAAAAAGATGGCAAACTACCCTTTCTGGATGTCTTAATTAAAAGGAGACATGATGGTTCAATGAGCCACTCTGTCTACAGGAAAGCTACCCATACAGATGCTTACTTGAAACCGGATTCCCACCACCATCCATCCCAGAAGAACTGCCTCATCAAGACTCTATACCATAGAGCCCAATGCATTTCCGACCAGGAACACATTACCAGTGAACTCAAGCACGTACACCAGGCTCTCAGGGCTAATGGCTACTCCGACTACACAATCCGCAAAGCCATCACTCCAGTCATGAAGAAGGATCCTCTTGTGGAGCCACTCAAAACCATCACCTTACCCTACATTGCAGGGGTCACTAAAAAGATCTCCAAAATCCTGAATAAACACAAGATCCAGGTCCGATTCAACACAGTACACAAAATCCGTGATTTAGTTCCATCTGTAAAAGATGCTCTTCCAGACATACAGTACCCAGGCGTTTACAAACTAAAGTGCCTCTGTGGTAGTAGCTACATTGGAGAAACCAAAAGACATATCTCGGACCGCATCCGCGAACATAAAGCAGACTTGAAACACGGTAAGACGAACTCCTCTGCCGTGGCAGACCACTGTTACAATTCAGTGGGCTCACATGACATTGACTTCTCCAAGACGGAGGTTCTTTGCAAACCAACCGGCTACCATGAGAGATTCGTTCATGAGGCCATTCACATATACAAGCACAGAGACAATTTCAACCGAGAAGATGGATTCAGGCTTAGTAACCACTGGAAAGATGTGTTAAATCATTTCTGTTCTTAATTAATTGTAATTTTACGATGTCCTTCAGACCGCAGCTCTTTCGCCAGCATTGCCTCTTAATACCTCTCACACCACGGTTAATGGTATGGTTTACAACATGGAGCATACTAGGGCCTCGCAGCTGTCTCTCTCCCCCTCCTCTGTTCCGACCATGGACGAACTCGTCCGTCTGAACGGGGCCCATAGCTATCCGTGGTACGGAAATTTGAGGGTAAGAATCCACCCATTTTTTCGCCATATAGCATTGTGATATATAACGACTTATGGTTGGTAGCTTAGCTGATTGGAGAATATAGAGTTTATTGATAACATGAAGGTAATTTATATTTTAGTTTTTATTGGTTCACTATATAGTACTGTGAATAGCTCAGATGTGTAGTCATTTCTGTGACCAGTCACTAGCAAATCACCCAGTTATTTCAATGCTAAATTCGCCTAGTTATTTCAATGCTAAATTCTCCTGTTTGATTTGTACTAAGTGCCTCGGTGAATGTGTATGCTCTGACTTCAACGTAGCTATTTCTGTAGCAGTTACAAGCGAATCACTCAGCCATTTCAATGCTAAATTCTATGCTAATCCCATTGTCAAGGGGTGCCTCTGCGGATGTGTATGCCTTAACTTAGCTATTTCAATGCTAAATTCTATGCTAATTCCTTTTAACAATGGGTGCCTCTGCGGATGTGTATGCTTTAACTTTTAACATAGCTATTTCTGTGACCAGTCACAAGCTAATCATTCAGCCATTTCAATGCTAAATTTTATGCTAATTCCTGTGTCAAGGCTCTTTGTTCCTCTCACACAGCTTAAAAGCCGTGATCTGAACGTGGCTCTCTCACTCCAGCGCTGTCCTACCAGACAGTCTCGCCCCCCTTCACCTGATGAAGGCCGCTTGTGTTGTGGCCGAAACGTCGTGAGAATATTATTGTGTTATTTTATTTTATCAATTTATTATTTTATTCTCATTCTACGTGACTTTACCGAAAGAACCAAAGAAGATGAATCTTTGATTGGAGTCGGTATTGCAATGCTTTCTCACCAGAAATGCTACCAATTTGACTATGAAGAAAACAAGGCCACGGGTTATGACCTGAAGGCTGATGCCATTCCTTTCCGTGCTGCAAGAGCTTCCAGCAACATCGTGAGCGATGTGAGTAGCAAGCGCCCACACACAGCAACCACGCAAACAATTGCAGCGCATTAAGAACCAGAAAGCAAAGGTGGCCCGGTTATCTTCAGACATCTCACAGTGGTTGTGGCCGTGGTGACTGTGGTGCAGCACAAGTACAAGAAGGAGTACGAGGCAGACAAGGGCAAGCACATCGGGGCCCAGAGCCTACAGGATGACCCCAAGATGGTCCACTCAATGCGTGTGGCCAAGATGCAGAGTCAGCGCGAGTACAAGAAGGGCTATGAGAAGGGCAAGACCAGCTACCACACGCCGATGGACATGCTGCAGGTCGTGGAGGCCAAGAAGGCCCAGGCCATGGCCAGCGACGTGGACTACAAGACGCGGCTGCACAGCTACGTGCTGCCACCCGACTACATGACGGGACAGCACGCCCGCAAGGCCTACGACCTGCAGAGCGACGTGAGTGTGCATTCCCACCGGCTTCGTGCGTATCACTGAGAATCATCACCAGAGGTGAGTCACAGTGGATTCATGAAACAATGTTTTGTCTTTGCACAGTCGCTGTACAAGTCAGACTTGGAATGGATCCGAGGGTGTGGATGGATTCCCACCGAATCCCTGGATGTAAAGAAGGTTCAAAGAGCAGGGGACATCCTGAGCGAGAAGAAATACCGGCAGCACCCAGACACCGTAGGCTTCACCAGTGTGACCGACTCGCCCGTCATGCAGCAGTGCAAGCTCAATGCCGACCAGATCAACGACGTGAGTGCATTGCTTATGCCAAAAGTGACACGGGGCTTAGGTTTAGGCTCATTAACATTTTGCTGGTTAAAAATATCAAATTTTTTGCACAATTTCTGACAAATGTAGTGTGCTGATTTTGTGGTGTGTTTGTAGCGTGCGTACAGGAAGGCATGGGAGGATTCAAAGACTGAAATCAGTATGATGCCCGATACGCCGCAGCTGTTACAGGCCAAAGCCAACGCGTACAACCTCAGTGATGTGAGCCTTGTTGCAGCTGAAAACATGTGTGCACCATTAAGAACATTACGAACATGATGACAAGGTAAGTAGCCTGCGGCTTTGCTACATCACAGGAATCGTTTGTTTCAGGTTTGCTACAAAAAAGGACTGGAGGAGCAGCGTGCTCTAGGCTGTGACGTGCGAGCAGACGCCATCCCCATCCGAGCGGCCAAGGCGTGCAGGGCGATCGCCAGTGACGTGAGCTCACATCGCCGCACCGCCCCTGCCTTCACAGCCACCCTGTGGCCGCAGGCTGAAGGACGCGTGCCTCTTTCTTTTGCAGGTCAAGTACAAGGAGGCCTTTGAGAAGGCAAAGGGACACCACGTGGGCTTCCAAAGCCTGGAAGACGATCCCAAGTTGGTCCACTCCATGCGCGTTGCTAAAATGCAAAGCGATCGTGCGTACAAGAAGAATTTTGAAAAGAGTAAAACAAACTACCACATGCCTTTGGACATGCTGAACCTCGTCATGGCCAAGAAGTGCCAGGACATGGTCAGTGACACCAACTACAGGCAGAGGCTGCACGACTGGACGTGTCTGCCGGACCAGACCAGCGTCGCTCACGCCAAGATGGCCAACGAGCTGCAGAGCGATGTAAGATCTTGTTTTATGTTCCTATTTACTCATCTATTATGTTTTCCTCAATGTCTAGTAACACATAATTCTGGTTTATGTCACCCTAGACACTGTATAAGGCAGACCTGGATTGGATCCGGGGATGTGGCTGGATTCCGGTTGGGTCCTTGGACAATGTGAAGGCTCAGAAAGCAGGAGACATCCTGAGTGAGAAGAAATACCGGCAGCACCCAGATACTGTAGGCTTCACCAGCATCAGCGATTCGCCCGAAATGCTCCAAGCTAAAGTCAATGCCGAACAGCTGAGCGATGTGAGTTTAACATGATCTTGAAGTGACGCTTCAGTAAATTAGCATGCATTTAAATTAACAACCATTGCCCTGTGAATGACAATACATTATAGACTAACTTATCTGGAAGTGATCCTTCTTCAGAACAAAAAAAATTTGTTGGATGATATCTTTGATTTTGCCATGGAGGTTGAGACAAGTTTTGATGTTGAGGGGTAACTCTGTTGAACCTGGGCCGAGTGCAGTGTGGCTGCACACCCAATTCGCCGCTCTCCACGTTCACACGTGATGCAAGTCCAGATGCTGCACAGGACCGGCTGGTTTGTGACTGTCGTGCGTCTGTAGTTGGTGTACAGGGCTGATGGTGAGGAGGCCAAACACTCATACACGCTGCCTCCAGATGCACCGCAGCTGCTACAGGCACGCGTCAATGCCTTTAACTCCAGCGACGTAAGTTGAGACGCACAGTTGCTTTAACGCCTGTGTCCTCATCGCATGCCTGTGAGCACAGCACGCCACGGTCACCACTCATGTAGGAGTAGTCACAGTAATTTCCTGCTCAATTGAGGTAGTGTTAATCTCTTTACAGCCTTAAGCCAGTGGTGAAAATTTCGCATTCCTATTGTGGGGGCGAGTCTATCCATAGGACAACCACTGTTGACTTCCCTACAAAGTGGTGATAATTTAATTGACCCCAGAAACATGATGGGTTGAGTCAACCCCCAACCAGGATTTGAACTTACAACCTTCCTATTGTGAGCCGCTCGTAGTAGTAGTAGTATGCCATATTTAACCAGGATATGAAATGAAAGCATTGAGATGAAACAACATTGCCTGTTTATTAAGGGCGACCTGGGTCATATCAAGACGGTTAAGTACACAATGTTAATGTTGCAGATTCAAAATGAAGAGACGAGGGGCTCCAGGTGGATAGCAACACATTTTTAATATCTGTAAAACACGACAAGCAAATCTCACTGGGCAGGTGTGCAACAGGCCTCCTTCAGCCTTGTGGCTGGTGTGCATATCAGGTCACTCAAGAGACTAGTGTACACACAAGGTCACAAGGTCACTCAAGAGACTAATGTACACACAAGGTCACTCAAGAGACTAATGTACAGACAAGGTCACAAGGTCACTCAAGAGACTAGTGTACACACAAGGTTACAAGGTCACTCAAGAGACTAATGTACACACAAGGTCACAAGGTCACTCAAGAGACTAGTGTACACACAAGGTCACAAGGTCACTCAAGAGACTAGTGTACACACAAGGTCACAAGGTCACTCAAGAGACTAGTGTACACACAAGGTCACTCAAGAGACTAGTGTACACACAAGGTCACAAGGTCACTCAAGAGACTAGTGTACACACAAGGTCACTCAAGAGACTAGTGTACACACAAGGTCACAAGGTCACTCAAGAGACTAGTGTACACACAAGGTCACAAGGTCACTCAAGAGACTAGTGTACACACAAGGTTACAGGGTCAATCAAGTGCCCGCCAGTCTCCCACTGGTCAGATTCAATATTGGCTGCACGTTATTGTTGAAGCCTATAGCAAATTTGGACTTTATAAATAATTTGAGTGTTTCTACTTCTATTGTGCCACATTTCAAAAGCATTTAAATCGAACAATCGAGATTAATGTTTACAATAATGTTATACCATTGTGAATGAGGCAGAGTAGAAGGTGGGGTGCACTTCAAAAAAAATATATAAACTTTTTTTGGCAAATTCTGCAAAGAAAAATCACTAAAGAGGCAATAGAGAAGAAGATGTTTACAAAATATGAGAAGAAATGTAAACAAATTGTCTTAACACAGCCAGAAAACATTAACACAAACACTTCATGGTTATGTAACAAAAATATTTGACACACTGATCAAATGCATCTAGGAATGTGCATTGGAGCTTCGAATAATGTAGTGCATAAGGGCATCTTGATAGTGGTGCAGAGGTTGGCTAGTGTAACCAGATATGGACCAAGGTGATCCCCTTATTGTGGTGCCACACGTTGACACTTGGAGGCAGGGGCATGTGTGAGGTTACTGCTACCAATAGAACTCTGCATTGAAGTCTTCCTGCCTGATAAGGACAGTGCATGATGGCAACTCTGATTAGCACGGTTGGCTACGTACGATGCGAAATAAGTTTAACATACATATTGCAAGGCTACTCGAACCTGTGTTATTTATTTTGTGGGACTGTTGTGGTTTAAGTTTGAGTTTCCCCTTGCAACTCTGTGGCTAGTTTAAAACTTTAGTCGTGTCGCTAGGTTTGCTACAAGATGGCCTGGGAGAAGACCAAGGACAAGGATTTTGAGCTTCCACTGGATGCGCTGTCCATCACAGCCGCCAAACGCTCCGTCAACATCATGAGTGACGTGAGTGTTGGTGATGGCCGACCTTATAAAATACTGGTACCCCATCGCTGTTAGATAGCTATGCATACGCCAATTTGAAAAGCCTCAGCCACTCAAAGTGTCATACATAACATCTCCTCTCAAACATTCAAAAGGACACCCCCAGTGGCAGCTGACCCTGTGTAGCAAAAGGTGACAGCACCGGCCTGCAAGTGGAAATATGTCAACCAGTAGGAGGCAATGATTTCTATGTATAAATTCTATTGATTCATTCGCGGGTGATTTTTCAAAATTGGACCATGACATTGGCAAGCAATGTCCTGCTCTTTTCGAATGACGTCACGTGATCTCAAAAATGCAATCTAAGGCACATTTTACGGTCAATACAGCATTAGCTAGGACGGTTTGCCAGATTCAAACTGTGAACATCTTCCACAAGCGGCAAACGTGCAATTGCTGGGTCACGTCACTGTCCAAATATCGAGTGAAATAAGATGTACAGTACTTAAAAATAAATGCCAATAATGTTGTCATTTTGTCACCTGACTTTGGACAGCGCAAGTACAAGAAGGAGTACGAGGCAGACAAGGGCAAGCACATTGGGGCCCAAAGCCTGCAGGACGACCCCAAGATGGTTCACTCGATGCGCGTGGCCAAAATGCAAAGTGAACGCGAGTACAAGAAGGGCTATGAGAAGGGCAAGACCAGCTACCACACGCCGCTGGACATGCTGCAGGTCGTGGAGGCCAAGAAGGCCCAGGCTATGGCCAGCAACGTGGACTACAAGACGCGGCTGCACAGCTACGTGCTGCCACCCGACTACATGACGGGACAGCACGCCCGCAAGGCCTACGACCTGCAGAGCGACGTGAGTGTGCATTCCCACCGGCTTCGTGCGTATCACTGAGAATCATCACCAGAGGCGAGTCACAGTGGATTCATGAAACAATGTTTTGTCTTTGCACAGTCGCTGTACAAGTCAGACTTGGAATGGATCCGAGGGTGTGGATGGATTCCCACCGAATCCCTGGATGTAAAGAAGGTTCAAAGAGCAGGGGACATCCTGAGCGAGAAGAAATACCGGCAGCACCCAGACACCGTAGGCTTCACCAGTGTGACCGACTCGCCCGTCATGCAGCAGTGCAAGCTCAACGCCGACCAGATCAACGACGTGAGTTCATCAGTGCTGTGTTTGGGCTGAATATCTAAGTGTTCACAGCATTCAATACGTAAGTCAGTGAAAGGCGATCTGACTGTATAATGTATCTGCACCGACAGCGCTTGTACAAGGAAGCCTGGGAGCAGGACAAGGTCAGCATTCACGTCATGCCCGACACTCCACAGCTGCTGCAGGCCAAGGTCAACACCTACAACCTGAGTGATGTGAGTACCATCGGTGATAGAGACATGGGTTTATTTTATTTTTATACACGTATAAATTAATGTAAATTTTCCTCATGATCATTTGTCTTTTGTACAGATATACTACAAGCATGACCTGGAGCAGATGAGAGCAAATGGATATGACCTGAGGCTGGATGCCATCTCCATTAAAGCTGCAAAGGCCTCCAGGAACATTGCCAGTGATGTGAGAGAAACTCATGGGAACTAATGTTCGTGGATTAATGTATCAAACACAATAACACTATTTTCTTGAGCGATTTTGAATACGTTTGTATTACTTTCAGGTCAAGTACAAGGAGGCCTTTGAGAAGGCAAAGGGACACCACGTGGGCTTCCAAAGCCTGGAAGACGATCCCAAGCTGGTCCACTCCATACGCGTTGCTAAAATGCAAAGCGATCGTGCGTACAAGAAGGATTTTGAAAAGAGTAAGACAAACTACCACATGCCTTTGGACATGCTGAACCTCGTCATGGCCAAGAAGTGCCAGGACATGGTCAGTGACGCCAACTACAGGCAGAGGCTGCACGACTGGACGTGTCTGCCGGACCAGACCAGCGTCGCCCACGCCAAGATGGCCAACGAGCTGCAGAGTGATGTAAGATCTTGTTTTATGTTCCTGTTTACTCATCTATTATGTTTTCCTCAGTTATCTAACAATGCGGCATTCTGGTTATGTCACCCTAGACGCTGTACAAGTCAGACTTGGATTGGATCCGGGGGTGTGGCTGGATTCCGGTTGGGTCCCTGGACAATGTGAAGGTTCAGAAAGCAGGAGACATCCTGAGCGAGAAGAAATACCGGCAGCACCCAGATACTGTAGGCTTCACCAGCATCAGTGACTCACTCGTCATGCAGCAATATAAGCTCAACGCCGACCAGATCAATAATGTGAGTGCAATAGTGCTGCACTTGGGCTGAGACTGTAAGTGATTCCAGTATGCAATACTCATGCAAGGAAAGAGCAATCTAACTCTATAATATTTATGCACTGACAGCGCTTGTACAAGAAAGCCTGGGAGCAAGACAAGATCAGCATTCACGTCATGCCCGACACTCCACAGCTGCTGCAGGCCAAGGTCAACTCCTACAACCTGAGCGATGTAAGTGGTCCATACAGTCCGCGATCACACGCAGTTTATGAGCAAATAAAATATGTATATCCTGCTTAACTGATCGTATGTAGACAAATGTTGAGCAAATGGATGGATCGAAATAACCAGACATAGGTCGCCTTCTCTATTGGTCCTAACTGATGACATCACATTTCTCTCTGCACGTGAATGGAGTAGCCTGCGGCTTAGCTACATCACAGGAATCGTTTGTTTCAGGTTTGCTACAAAAAAGGACTGGAGGAGCAGCGTGCTCTAGGCTGTGACGTGCGAGCAGACGCCATCCCCATCCGAGCGGCCAAGGCGTGCAGGGCGATCGCCAGTGACGTGAGCTCACATCGCCGCACCGCCCCTGCCTTCACAGCCACCCTGTGGCCGCAGGCTGAAGGACGCGTGCCTCTTTCTTTTGCAGGTCAAGTACAAGGAGGCCTTTGAGAAGGCAAAGGGACACCACGTGGGCTTCCAAAGCCTGGAAGACGATCCCAAGTTGGTCCACTCCATGCGCGTTGCTAAAATGCAAAGCGATCGTGCGTACAAGAAGGATTTTGAAAAGAGTAAGACAAACTACCACATGCCTTTGGACATGCTGAACCTCGTCATGGCCAAGAAGTGCCAGGACATGGTCAGTGACGCCAACTATAGGCAGAGGCTGCACGACTGGACGTGTCTGCCGGACCAGACCAGCGTCGCCCACGCCAAGATGGCCAACGAGCTGCAGAGCGATGTAAGATCTTGTTTTATGTTCCTGTTTACTCATCTATTATGTTTTCCTCAGTGTCTAGCACCACATAATTCTGGTTATGATGTCACACTAGACACTGTACAAGGCAGACCTGGATTGGATCCGGGGATGTGGCTGGATTTCGGTTGGGTCCCTGGACAATGTGAAGGCTCAGAGAGCAGGAGACATCCTGAGCGAGAGGAAATACCGGCAGCATCCAGACACTGTAGGCTTCACCAGCATCACCGACTCTCCCGTCATGCAGCAGTGCAAGATCAACGCTGACCAGATCAACAACGTGAGTGCTGTGCTTGACTTGATATAATTTCTGAAATGCTCCTACATGCAATAATCATGCGAGTAAAAGGAAATCTAACTCCCAAATGTATCTGCACTGACAGCGCTTGTACAAGGAAGCCTGGGAGCAGGACAAGGTCAGCATTCACGTCATGCCTGACACTCCAGAGATGTTGCAGGCCAAGGTCAACAGCTACAACCTGAGCGATGTGAGTCATTATCATATAAATGTTATTGATATTTTACGTTGGATTTGGAAACCATTCGCACTGTGTCTCACACTTCTGGCCTCGAACTTGTTGAGATCACAGTGGTGGTTATCGTGAAATCAAATATTAAAGTTCAATATTACTCTTGCATTGCATTTTGCCTCGACTGCGTCATATTTCTCTATTTTGTAAGGCGATTCCACTCTCTGAGACATTTTAACACTTAGGCTTTCGCGACCAATATTATTCATAATAAAGGTTTTTGGTTTAGATCGCGTTATTTATAAATGTGTCGTAACCCTCCACCACCCGACACGGCCAAACAGTAAAAAAATGTGTCACGTTTACAAAGGACAAATAGTTCACTACTTTAGCCCACCGGTGTGCAAAGAGACCATTCTACGCAGAGCTCCAGGAGACAGTGTTGAGTCGCAGCAGCACCCATTTATGAACGCACCGACAGGGCCAGCGACGAAATTACACACAATCACACACCTCATTCAGCCCACAGATACAGCACCCTGTGTCCTTGCTCTCTCAGAAAGGATCATACTTCCGCGTTGTAAATTTTAACAGTTTACATATCAAATATCATTCGCTATTACAGGCATGCCTCTAATAGCGTTCAGGATGCATTCTCGGTAAGCGGAGGGCGATACGAGACAACGCGATATGATGTCATAACATAGGTACAATGGAGATGTATTACCGACAGCGCTATTTTTTTACCTATCAGCGGTATCGGTGATCGCCTTAATACTGATACTGCACACATGATAATTATATTAAAGCATTTCTTAAATAAAAATAATAACTTTTAATGATGACATGAAAAAAATACAAAAAAGTTATCTTGCGTAAGATCAACCACCATTTTCCGTAAACACACGTTCCGTGGGAAGCGTTCAGGCCTGGCGGGCCGAGGCTGGGGCACTGATTGGCTCAGCGCCACGGAGTGTAAGCGACTCTCACTGGTTGAACACGCGGCTCTGAGAAACGGGGGAGCGACGCGCACTGCGTGTTCTCGCTCAGGAATTTTGAACCGTGCGGGAATTTTGAACGGAGGAATTTTCCTCCAGGACAAAGACCGTGTGTAATAAGGAAACTGCATTGTGCAATAGTCAGCGCAATGAGAAATATGCCTTTAATTATAAACAACCATACTCTTTGGTTCTTTCGGTAAAGTCACGTAGGTAGAAAAATAAAATAAAAAATAATATAGGAATAGGTTTTACCCTTTTAACTGGCACAAAAACTGACACCTTTATTCAAGGCATTATGTTTGCAAAAACCACAACACAAGCAGTTAAAAGGGTAAAACCTATTCCTATATCTTGTTTCTGGCAAAGGAGGTCTCATAATGTAAAAAAATAATATATCACGACGTTTCGATCGCAACACAAGCGGTCGTCCTCAGGCGGAAAAAAGAATCCAGCAGTGGAACTGCTGAACCAGGAAGAAACACAGCGAGAGAGCTGTTACAACAACAAGAGGTTAAATATGTGGTGAGCTGGAAAGGAATTCCATCCCCGCACGCAAGCACGTCAGTTGTGTTAATGGGGGAGATTAGGGAGAGAGATTAGCATGAAATGAGCTTCCGTCACCCCCGTGTATGCGCTCAACAGCAGTGTTAATGGGAGATTATCACTATGTTGATGGGAGAGATTAGGCAGAGAGATTAGGGAGATTAGCAAGTTAATATCATGTCTATGTGCAGGGGCAGAGCCAGGATTTTCAGCCTGGGGTGACATTCAACAAATTTTAATTTCAAGAATGATTGAATGAGAAATCGGCTATACCCACTGCATCGGTTGGCGACACACTCTGACAATGCAGTAGCACGGAGTCCGCCAGACCGAGTGTCGTACACTTATACGCAGAATGTTTCAGATTTTCGATTTTTTATTTTTTTTTCGGGGGTGACAATTGTCTACCCTGTCACCCCCTCTGGCTCCGCCCCTGTCTATGTGTAACACAAGCTGGAAATAACCACTGTATTAACTTTAATAATATCTATTATAAATAGTATATATGTGAATTATGTTGCATTACAATTAAGGATTATATTTAGATTTAAATTAAAATACCAGAGCTCCGCATGCATGCGACATTCCTCTCATTGCACTGCGTGGCTTGGAACCCACTGTTAGTCTTGTGCCTACTTGCGCATGTCCATTGGAAGGCGCAGAGCCCAGCGCATTGCTGCCCATCTGATCGAAGCCAATCGCGGCCCAGCCCTGTCCATCCTGCTATTACGCAATTCCCGCATTACACGTAAGAGGATATTGATTATTTATTCAGGGACTCTATATCGAATTTCAGAAATTAATTACGTGAATATTTGTTTTCTAGAAATACTACAAGCACAGTCTGGAGCAGATGAGATCCGATGGATATGACTTAAGGTTGGATGCCATCTCAATCAAAGCTGCAAAAGCATCCAGGAGTATCGCCAGTGACGTAAGCACCTCCCTCGCATGGGGCCCCCACCCCTGTCGCTGATAGCTTTACATGTTGTGTTTACATTGTGAGTGTGTGTTCCCGCACATTATTGGTTATTTACAAATATTTTTTTTTTCCCCAGTATATATACAAGGAGGCTTACCGTAAGCAGAAGGGACACCACGTGGGCTTCCGAAGCCTGGAAGACGATCCCAAGCTGGTCCACTCCATACGCGTTGCCAAAATGCAGAGCGACCGTGAATACAAGAAGGATTTTGAAAAGAGTAAGACAAACTACCACATGCCTTTGGACATGCTGAACCTCGTCATGGCCAAGAAGTGCCAGGACATGGTCAGTGACGCCAACTACAGGCAGAGGCTGCACGACTGGACGTGTCTGGCGGACCAGACCAGCGTCGCCCACGCCAAGATGGCCAACGAGCTGCAGAGCGATGTAAGGCCTTATTTACATTGTTTTCATTATTATTCAAACAGTGGAAAGGAATGTATTTATCTGACATGCTTCTGTGTCTCAGAATCTGTACAAGGCAGACCTGGATTGGATTCGGGGGTGTGGCTGGATTCCCGTTGGGTCCCTGGACAATGTGAAGGCTCAGAGAGCAGGAGACATCCTGAGCGAGAGGAAATACCGGCAGCACCCAGACACCGTAGGCTTCACCAGCATCACCAACTCACCTTTCATGCAGCAGTGCAAGCTCAACGCCGACCAGATCAACGACGTGAGTGCATCAGTACTGTGCTTGGACTGAGTTTCTAAATATTCCTTGCATGCATTACTCATGCGATAGGAGGATGAGAAGGATCATTTAACTCCTTTATGTATCTGCACCGACAGCGCTTGTACAAGGAAGCCTGGGAGCAGGACAAGGTCAGCATTCACGTCATGCCCGACACTCCACAGCTGCTGCAGGCCAAGGTCAACACCTACAACCTGAGCGATGTGAGTACCTAGATGTGAGAGACTAAATTTTATTGTTCGTAATAAAATTATTCTATTTTGATTTAAAGCTTTCGTGACTGCAGTAATTCATATTCTTAGTTTTTTCGGTAAAGTCACGTTGAAGAGAAACAAACAAAATAATATAATATATATAAAACAATAAAAATTCTCACGACATTTCGACCATAACTCAAACGGTCATCTTCAGGTGTGTTGGTTTGCATAAATTTATTTTTAAACGGCGCATTTATTTATTTATAAAAAACGTTAGCGTCACGCGCAGCGATTTGGCAGTTTGCCCAGGACTAGTCCATCTATATTTTGAAAAGAGGAGGGGGGAGACGAAATTTTTTATAATGTATGCTGTCTGAAAGCCACTGTAAACAATTTCAACCGAGAAGATGGATTCTATCTTAGCAATCATTGGAAAGATTTGATAAACCATTTCAGTTCTTAATTGATTGTTCACGCTTACAGTGGCTTTCAGACAGCATACATTATAAAAAATTTCGTCTCCCCCCTCCTCTTTTCAAAATATAGATGGACTAGTCCTGGGCAAACTGCTAATCGCTGCGCGTGACGCTAACGTTTTTTATAAATAAATAAATGCGCCGTTTAAAAATAAATTTATGCAAACCAACACACCTGAAGATGACCGTTTGAGTTATGGTCGAAACGTCGTGAGAATTTTTATTGTTTTATATATATTATATTATTTTGTTTGTTTCTCTTCAACGTGACTTTACCGAAAAAACTAAGAATAAAAATTATTCCAATTAAATGCATCTGTCTATATCACAATGTTGTGTTTTCTACGTCTAATTTCATTGATTATATTTACAGAAATACTACAAGCAGGGTCTGGAGCAGATGAGAGCGGATGGATATGACCTAAGGTTGGACGCCATCTCCATTAAAGCTGCAAAAGCCTCAAGGAACATCGTCAGCGATGTAAGCAACCTTCCACTCATTAGCGGCAACTGAATGCTTACTATTGTGTTAACTGAAAAAGTTACAACCCTTCATGAGCCATACATGATTTTTCAAGATTCTAACTGCTATAGCAATACAATAACTTAACTTTTGTATGGGCTGACAGAGCCAATGAGTCGTTATTGACAGGTCTATTTTCCAGGTGACAACCAGGCCATGCAGATTCTTCAGTGGAAGGTTGTGTCTCCTCCACTCCTACACTACTACTGAATGAAACCAGACAAGGGCAGGGGTCATAGCACTTCCCCATATACAATTACATTTCCATCGCATCTCAATTTAACCACATCTTCAGATGCTTCACACGAAACGTAAAGCATTCAAAGGGTATGAATAGGTAATAGAAACATATTTTTTTATTTATTTAAAGCTTTCGTGACTGCAGGGACTCATATTCTTGGTTCTTTCGGTAAAGTCACGTAGAAGGGAAACAATAAAATAATAAAAATATATAATTCTTGCTGTGGTTAAAACCACAGCAAGAAATTTTTCTTGCTGTGGTTTTAACACCTGATGATGATTGCTTGTGTTGCAGTCGAAACGTCGTGAGAATTTTATTGTTTTATATTTTTATTATTTGATTGTTTCCCTTCTACTTGACTTTACCAAAAGAACCAAGAATAGAAAAAAATAAGATTAAAAACATTTGATCCATATGCACATGAAAACAAATGAGGTTGGAGGTTTGACTTGAACAAGGGCAGAGTCTCAAATGCATGGAGTTTAAATGGAAGAGAATTCCAGAGCCCAGATAGGAGAATCCAAGAAGGGAGACCTTCAAGGAATGAAGGTTGACTGTGGACTTTATCGCTGGAATGGAGATAACGTGCCAGAGAATAGAGTGAGATAAGAGGGGAGAGGTAGCCAGGGGCACGACAAATGCCAACAACAGCCACTGCAATATTAAATTGAATTTGAGACTTGACAGGAAGCCAGTGCAAAGATTGCAGTGCAGGAGTGCTATAATCACATTTTAATGTTTCAGGTAAATCATGTGTCATCTTGAAATGAGGGAATTTGAAAGACCATAGAAGAGCGAGTTTCATTGGTCTAGGCGAGAAGAAATAAAAGCGTGGATAGAGGCCTTAGCAAATAGTGCAGCCAAACAGTGCCGTATCGACTCAGTGTTACGCAGGTGGCAGTAAGAGTCCTTGCAGACTCAGGAGATGTGGCGGGTGAACATATCAGGGTACAGGAGATGCACACTCGACTTTGAGATTTTATTTTGACACTTTTTTTGTTTCACCAAACTGAAGGATCTCAGTTTTTTGTAGTATTTAAAAGAAGAAAGTTAGAACCCATCCAGTTTGAGATTGCATTCAAACAAGCTTCAAGATTTGACATTGCACATGAATGAGAGAAGTCCATAGAGATGTACTGCTGGGTGTCGTCAGCACAGATCTCATGTGCCACCTTACAACTTGATATGATTGCACCAAATTGAAGGAGGTAAATGGGAAAGGCAGTGGGCCAAATAAGGAGTCCTGTGGTACCCCATTGCTTTAACAGTTTTAGAGAGGAAAATTTACTCTGAAATGAATCATTAACAGAAGAATTTGATGGTAAGAAGATAACCCAGAGAGTACAATACGTACGTCTCTCTGAAGGCACTGCAGCCTGTGGTGTAGAATGCAGCTGTGAGATCAATGGGGACCATAAGCGTTAGAGAACCCATGATCATAAGAGACTAGGAAGCCATTGACCACACCTAAACATTGTCTCTGTAAAAGTGGCCTTGTTGAAAACCAAACTGCAATGGGTCATAGAGACCATGGCTGGCAAGGTGATTAGGTAGAAATGTAAAAGTAAACTTTTCCCAAACCTTCCCCAGAAAAGACAATTTTGAGATAGTGTAGAATTTTTTAAAAGCGTGTCAGGGTCAACATTAGATTTGTGAGTATACGAGTGGCAGTAGCTTGTGCCGGTAGAAATGAATCCATTGACCACTCCAGTGATATGGTGATAGAGAGTGGGTAGGCAGTGTGCGATGAGTTTTCCGAGACCCGGATCCATCATGGAAGTATACATCTTCATTTAGGAGAAGATGTTGGGTAATTAAAGTTTGCGTGACGGCTTATGGGATGTCAAGCTGGGGAGGGGGGGAGAGAAAGTTGAAGAGAAAGGAACAGGGGAGGCATTGTGTGATGCCAGTTTGCCACTTCTAATTTGTTTCAATATCATGGATGCATTTTTTTAATGAAAAACTATATCTTCAATTAGATTTTCACCAATTGCTGCTTGCTTTACTGTTATAGGAGGTACTAAAGGCTGCGTTTTTTACATTCGTATTCTATCATCTAAGCATCCCTAAGTTTACAAAAATGAATTTAATGTTTTCATGATTATTTTGATCAACATTGTTTATTTTTGCAGGTCAAGTACAAGGAGGCTTTTGAGAAGGCAAAGGGACACCACGTGGGCTTCCAAAGCCTGGAAGACGATCCCAAGTTGGTCCACTCCATGCGCGTTGCTAAAATGCAAAGCGATCGTGCGTACAAGAAGGATTTTGAAAAGAGTAAGACAAACTACCACATGCCTTTGGACATGCTGAACCTCGTCATGGCCAAGAAGTGCCAGGACATGGTCAGTGACGCCAACTACAGGCAGAGGCTGCACGACTGGACGTGTTTGCCGGACCAGACCAGCGTCGCTCACGCCAAGATGGCCAACGAGCTGCAGAGCGATGTAAGGTTTTGTAATTGCATATTTATTGTTTGCATTTCATTCTCATTGTTATTCAATAAGTGCATGACACAAAATAATTTATGATGTCTTTTTGTTTCTCAGACTCTGTACAAGGCAGACCTGGATTGGATCCGGGGATGTGGCTGGATTCCGGTTGGGTCCCTGGACAATGTGAAGGCTCAGAGAGCAGGAGACATCCTGAGCGAGAGGAAATACCGGCAGCATCCAGAGACCGTAGGCTTCACCAGCATCACCAACTCGCCTTTCATGCAGCAGTGCAAGCTCAACGCCGACCAGATCAACGACGTGAGTGCATTGGTGCTCTTCTTGGCCTGCTTCTGCATATTTTTGCCCAAATGCTGTAATACCCCAATTTACACCACCCCCACACTTTACGTAATTTCTCTGCAACGTCCTCAACTTATTGATACCCAATCCCATATTATGTACTGTGTACATCACCAAAACGTACTCGAGATTTAGGAACGTTATCATTATTCTCAAATTAGTTATGGTCCACAGTGAACATTTAGGTGCCAGATGGCGCCCAAGTGTTAGCGTCCCTGACTGGCTATAGCCTCTTTCATGTGTACTCATATTTTTTTCCCCACATACCGTGCTTATGGCGACTATTTATATACAAATGAAAACAATTTTGGCATGATAACCTATTACTAATAATATATATAGTATAATACACAAGGTAATAAATCTTAATACATCAATACTAAGCATTTGCTTCTCACATTGATGGTTGGAACATCCATTGTTTAGGTTCTGTACCACGTTACGATCCACTGTCCCAGCTCTTTGCTTCGATTTAGTTACTTTCACTTTACGTTCTAGTTTTCAGGAACGCATCTTGGGCGTAAACTGGAGCATGCCTGTACTTGCATTAGTTAAGAAGGAATGTAATCAAATGTATAAACATGTTCACACAAACAGCGTTTGTACAAGGAAGCCTGGGAGCAGGACAAGGTCAGCATTCACGTAATGCCCGACACACCACAGCTGCTGCAGGCCAAGGTCAACACCTACAACCTGAGCGATGTAAGTTGATGTCAGATGGATGTTAATGATATGTTCACTTTACAAGGCAGTGATTTTTTTAATGAGTAGTACACATATATACAGTGTAATGCATCAGATTTCTATGGGTAATTCTGATATTTTATTCTAGAAATCCTACAAGCATGATCTGGAGCAGATGAGAGCGGATGGATATGACCTCAAATTGGACGCCATCTCCATTAAAACTGCAAAAGCCTCCAGGAACATCGCCAGTGATGTGAGCAGCTCCCTGTCATGAAGAGTCACTGGCTGATCACCTCCTTGACTTGCCGCCTGACCCATAACGCCTAATGTAATGTTTAATATCTTTGCAGTATATATACAAGGAGGCTTACCGCAAGCAGAAGGGACACCACGTGGGCTTCCGAAGCCTGGAAGACGATCCCAAGCTGGTCCACTCCATACGCGTTGCCAGGATTCAGAGCGACCGTGAATACAAGAAGGATTTTGAAAAGAGTAAGACAAACTACCACATGCCTTTGGACATGCTGAACCTCGTCATGGCCAAGAAGTGCCAGGACATGGTCAGTGACGCCAACTACAGGCAGAGGCTGCACGACTGGACGTGTCTGCCGGACCAGACCAGCGTCACCCACGCCAAGATGGCCAACGAGCTGCAGAGCGATGTAAGGCCTTATTTACATTGTTTTCATTATTATTCGAACAGTGGAAAGGAATGTATTTATCTGACATGCTTCTGTGTCTCAGACTCTGTACAAGGCAGACCTGGATTGGATTCGGGGATGTGGCTGGATTCCAGTTGGGTCCCTGGACAATGTGAAAGCTCAGAGAGCAGGAGACATCCTGAGCGAGAGGAAATACCGGCAGCACCCAGACACCGTAGGCTTCACCAGCATCACCAACTCGCCTTTCATGCAGCAGTGCAAGCTCAACGCTGACCAGATCAACGACGTGAGTAATTTCGTGCAGTTTCTGGGCTGATTTTGCCCATTTTTCCCACGTGAAATACTCACCTGAGCAAAATGTAATCTGACAAATGTATCTGCACTGGCAGCGCTTGTACAAGGAAGCCTGGGAGCAGGACAAGGTCAGCATTCACGTCATGCCCGACACTCCGGGGCTGCTGCAGGCCAAGGTCAACACCTACAACCTGAGCGATGTGAGTAGCAGAGTGGGAGAGAAAAAGCTGTATGAAATTGTAGAATTACTACAAATTGCAGTAACCTTTCAAAGTTACGTTTTAATAAGTTAATTAAGTTATATTTTTGCTAAACTATGAATACCTATCGTACAGAAATACTACAAGCAGGGTCTGGAGCAGATGAGAGCCGATGGATATGACCTGGGGTTGGATGCCATCTCAATCAAAGCTGCAAAAGCATCCAGGAGTATCGCCAGTGACGTAAGCACCTCTCTCTCATGGGGCCCACCCCTGTCGCTGCTAACTTTACATGTTGTGTTTACATTGTGAGTGTGTGTTCTCGCACATTATTGGTTATTTACAAGTATTTTTTGTCTCTCCAGTATATATACAAGGAGGCTTACCGTAAGCAGAAGGGACACCACGTGGGCTTCCGAAGCCTGGAAGACGATCCCAAGCTGGTCCACTCCATACGCGTTGCCAAAATGCAGAGCGACCGTGAATACAAGAAGGATTTTGAAAAGAGTAAGACAAACTACCACATGCCTTTGGACATGCTGAACCTCGTCATGGCCAAGAAGTGCCAGGACATGGTCAGTGACGCCAACTACAGGCAGAGGCTGCACGACTGGACGTGTCTGCCGGACCAGACCAGCGTCGCTCACGCCAAGATGGCCAACGAGCTGCAGAGCGATGTAAGATTTCGATTAGATATTTTTTTTATTTTTGTTATTCAAGCAGTGGATAACACCAAGTAATTTCTGATGTTATTTTGTTTATCAGACGCTATACAAGGCAGACCTGGATTGGCTTCGAGGATGTGGCTGGATTCCGGTTGGGTCCCTGGACAATGTGAAGGCTCAGAGAGCAGGAGACATCCTGAGCGAGAGGAAATACCGGCAGCACCCAGAGACCGTAGGCTTCACCAGCATCACCAACTCACCTTTCATGCAGCAGTGCAAGCTCAACGCCGACCAGATCAACGACGTGAGTGCTGTGCTTTATTTGATATCATTTTTTAAATGCTTCTACATGCATTACTCATGCGAGTAAAGGATAATGTGACTCTAAAGTGCAGTAGATCATCGATAATTATTCGGCGGCTTCGGTGGGGGAAGGGGCGTCGTATTTTTGAAAACGTCGTTTAATCACGAATTATTATTTCAAAAAGCTTATTTTTGCACATTCTTGCCTAACATTACGTTTTAGGTGCTGTGTATATGTTTTTTGTGTTTTAAATGTGTTTACTATATGAGGTTGGCATAAGTAATCATACAAATGAACAAAAAAATCCTACTGTACAAAGTGACTATTTACTGTATCGTACTTAACACTCTAATCTCAAAGACTGCATGTGGTGATATACGTACTATGCTCTTGTTTCAATAAACATGTGTTTGACGATTGCCGGACTGGTTACAGCCTTTGGAGCAGTTTTTCCCGTTTCAATGGATAGGCCCGGGACCGCCGGATAATGTTGAAAGCTGGATAATGCTGGAAGCCGGATGAATGTGCGCCGGATAATCGATGATCAACTGTATGTGCATTGACAGCGCTTGTACAAGAAAGCCTGGGAGCAGGACAAGATCAGCATTCACGTCATGCCCGACACTCCAGGGCTGTTGCAGGCCAAGGTCAACACCTACAACCTGAGCGATGTGAGTTGGCATGAAATTAAAGGTCTTGATATTTTACTTTGGCTTTCGTGTTTAATGTGTGAAATACATTTAACAAGTTTCCAGCTAATGGTGTTTACATATATTTTACAGAAATACTACAAGCAGGGTTTGCAGCAGATGAGAGCCGATGGATATGACCTGGGGTTGGAGGCCATCTCTATCAAAGCTGCAAAAGCGTCCAGGAACATCGCCAGTGATGTAAGCCCCATTTTCTTGTGTCATTTTAGGGTAGGGTTACGTTCTATCCTTGCCGTGCAACCAACTACAGCACATCTTCATAAGCATTTTATGAAATATTTATGTATTTTTTTCAGGTCAAGTACAAGGAGGCCTTCGAGAAGGAAAAGGGACACCACGTCGGCTTCCAAAGCCTGGAAGACGATCCCAAGCTGGTCCACTCCATACGCGTTGCTAAAATGCAAAGCGATCGTGCGTACAAGAAGGATTTTGAAAAGAGTAAGACAAACTACCACATGCCTTTGGACATGCTGAACCTCGTCATGGCCAAGAAGTGCCAGGACATGGTCAGTGACACCAACTACAGGCAGAGGCTGCACGACTGGACGTGTCTGCCGGACCAGACCAGCGTCGCCCACGCCAAGATGGCCAACGAGCTGCAGAGCGATGTAAGATCTTGTTTTATGTTCCTATTTACTCATCTATTATGTCTTCCTCAGTGTCTAGCAACACGGCATTCTGGTTATGTCACCCTAGACGCTGTATAAGGCAGACCTGGATTGGCTCCGGGGATGTGGCTGGATTCCCGTTGGGTCCCTGGACAATGTCAAAGCTCAGAGAGCAGGAGACATCCTGAGCGAGAGGAAATACCGGCAGCACCCAGACACCGTAGGCTTCACCAGCATCACCAACTCACCTTTCATGCAGCAGTGCAAGCTCAACGCCGACCAGATCAACGATGTGAGTGCATCAATACTCTGCTTGGAATGAGTTTCTAAATATTCCTTGCATGCATTACTCATGCGATAGGAGGATGAGAAGGATAATTTAACTCCTTTGTGTATCTGCACCGACAGCGCTTGTACAAGGAAGCCTGGGAGCAGGACAAGGTCAGCATTCATGTCATGCCCGACACTCCACAGCTGCTGCAGGCCAAGGTCAACACCTACAACCTGAGCGATGTGAGTACCATCGGTGTAGGGGACAAGGACTTGGATTAAGTTTACACGATTAGCTGGTAGTGTTTGATATGGAGAATGGGTTGGAAGCTTGGGATATTCGACAAATTGATGAAGTAAAGTACCTCGTCTTATAAAAACGTGTTCTTGTTGTACAGAAATCCTACAAGCAGGATCTGGTGCAGATGAGAGCAGATGGATATGACCTGGGGTTGGAGGCAATCTCCGTTAAAGCTGCAAAAGCCTCCAGGAACATCGCCAGTGATGTGAGCACCTATCTCATGTTATTGCATATTCACACCTTTTGCTGACATGTCTCTATGAATTTATGAATTGATGTATTCATCTGTGTTAATTTCTCTATAGTACCTATACACGGAGGCTTACCGTAAGGAAAAGGGACATCACTTTGGATTCCGAAGCCTGGAAGATGATCCCAAGCTGGTCCACTCCATACGCGTTGCCAAAATGCAGAGCGACCGTGAATACAAGAAGGATTTTGAAAAGAGTAAGACAAACTACCACATGCCTTTGGACATGCTGAACCTCGTCATGGCCAAGAAGTGCCAGGACATGGTCAGTGACGCCAACTACAGGCAGAGGCTGCACGACTGGACGTGTCTGCCGGACCAGACCAGCGTCGCCCACGCTAAGATGGCCAACGAGCTGCAGAGCGATGTAAGATCTCAATTAGATATGTTTTCTCTTTTTTATTCAAGCAGTGGAGAACACCAAGTTATTCATTACGTGATTTTTCGTTCTCAGACTCTGTACAAGGCAGACCTGGATTGGCTCCGGGGATGTGGCTGGATTCCCGTTGGGTCCCTGGACAATGTGAAGGCTCAGAGAGCAGGAGACATCCTGAGCGAGAGGAAATATCGGCAGCACCCAGAGACCGTAGGCTTCACCAGCATCACCAACTCACCTTTCATGCAGCAGTGCAAGCTCAACGCCGACCAGATCAATGACGTGAGTGCATTGGTGCTGTTCTCAGGCTGAGTCTATAAGTGTTTCCAGTATGCAATAGTCTCTGTGTGTGTGAAAAATGTAATCTGACTCCATAATGTACCCGTACTCACAGCGCTTGTACAAGAAGGCCTGGGAGCAGGACAAGGTCAGCATTCATGTCATGCCTGACACTCCAGGGCTGCTGCAGGCCAAGGTCAACACCTACAACCTGAGCGATGTGAGTACCAGGGTGTGATTGAGAAGTTACTTTAATGCATCACATAACGTATAAAATATCACTTGCGATGTGTTACTCTCTTATTTCCAAGAAGTGGCATGAAACCCAACATCATGGATAGTGTCCTCTCCGTAGATGAGGCTATTCGTGTAAATCTCGCAGGCCAGGGCTCTGTGGTTTCATACGGTGTTTTTTTAGTTGATGTGGTCCCTCTGGCAGACACGTGTTGTAAAGCACAAGAGTTATTCCTTCTTGAAAATGAAAGTCTTTTTGGATCAAATTCTTCCTGCCAGAATTACAGCTGTCACTTGCACTGTGCCTGAACACAATGTCTGGTGTAACCCACACCCTGTCCATGTGAATCAGTACAGGATTCATATTAGGCAATGAAATGCATTACCTGATTCTCGGTTGCATGGTATATTCCATATATCGTACATTCAACTGGCATCAATTACATTTTAAACTCTGAATTTTAGTTTGCTGTTTGTTTGTGTCGATTGGCATGTTATAAAACGTGTGCGTGTAATATACTGTTTGTTTGTGATGTATTTTGTTATCACCACACAGAAATGCTACAGGAAAGGCCTGGAGAAAATGAGAGCGGATGGATACGACCTCAAGTCGGACGCCATCTCCATTAAAGCAGCAAAGGCCTCCAGGGACATCGCTAGCGACGTGAGCAACCTTCCACTCATGAGAGGCATCTGAATGCTTACTGTTGTGTTGACTGAAAAATGTACAATTCTTCTTGAGCATCTCCATGCATATCGTGGGCAGTCGCTGGCTGATCACTCCTTGATTTGCTGCTGAATCTGTTATGTTGAATGTAACACTTAGAATGTTCATCAGTGGTTCAACTTAAATTAAAGGAAAATTATAATTATTCTCTCACCTAGTTTACAGGAGGTTTCCAGTTTGATCCCAACCCTGACAATACCAGTTGTATATTTGGAGTGCGCATGTTCTCTCTCCCCATGGTCTCGTGGAATTTTTTCCAAGTCATCCGGTTTTTCCCTACAAATTTAGCAATGTGCGTTTAGATTATTTGGCTGCAGATATAAATTCCCACATGTGATGATGTAAGCCACTTCGATGAGTTATCATGTGTGGCCAGATCACCACTGAAAGAGCTCAATGGGCTTTACTTGATGAATGAAACAGTTTTGTTTGGTTTTGACTCATTGTTCCTCTGATGTCATGACATTGAATTAAGAAGTCGGGTCAGGTGACGCCGGTGATTTTGACTCCATAGTTTCTGCATTGAAGATGCTTGACACAATTCCAAGCGAAACGCCGTATCTAATTTTCTACATTTTCTTGTGTTAATTGTTTTTCAACTTACCAGTGAGCTGAAACAATAATGTTTGGCACATGAAACGTTTATATGCGTGAAAATTAAATTTGTAAAAGATTGTGATTCGTATATTAAACGTTTATAATTATTTTGCAGTATATCTACAAAGAGGCTTACCGCAAGGGCAAAGGACATCATTTTGGGTTCCGAAGCCTGGAAGACGACCCCAAGCTGGTCCACTCCATACGCGTTGCTAAAATGCAAAGTGAACGTGAATACAGAAAGGATTTTGAAAATATTAAACACAGTAACCACATTCCTTTGGACATGCTGAACCTCGTCATGGCAAAGAAGTGCCAGTACATGGTCAGTGACGCCAACTACAGGCAGAGGCTGCACGACTGGACGTGTTTGCCGGACCAGACCAGCATTGCCCACGCCAAGATGGCCAATGAGCTGCAGAGCGATGTAAGTCCCTTTATGTTACTGTTTGTGCATCTTTTTTTATTGTTTTTCAGTGTCCAGCATTTCAGAATTTTGGTTCGTGTCACCATAGGTCCTGTACAAGGCAGACCTGGAGTGGCTGCGGGGATGTGGATGGATTGCCAATGAATCTCTGGATATGAAGAAGGCCCAGAGAGCAGCAGAGATTCTAAGTGACAAAAAATATCGGCAACATCCAGCCACCCTAAGCTTCACTTGCGTGAATGACTCACCTTTCTTGCTGCAGTGCAAGCTTAACGCCGACCAGATTAACGATGTGAGTTCATGAGTGCTGTGTTTGGGCTGAGTCTCTACGTGATTCCAGTATGCAATACTCATGCGATTAAATGACCATTTGACCCACTAACGTATATCTGCACTGACAGCGTTTGTACAGGGAAACATGGGAGCAGGACAAGATCAGAATTCACGTCATGCCTGACACGCCACAGATGCTGCAGGCCAAAGTCAACACCTACAACCTGAGTGATGTGAGTACCTGGGTGTGAGAGATAGGGACTTAGATAAGTGCATTGCATCCTGTGTGCTGCGGAAAAGTCCTGGGTGTGCCACGGTACCTTCGTAACTATAGGAGAGGAAGAGAACCTCAAACTCCCATCCCCCATCTCCTGCCTTCCCTCTCAATTGGTCATGGTGCAGTATGACAACACACAATCATCAGCTCCTATCCCCGGCCCTCTCAACTTCCTCGTCACACATATGCAGTCGGGCAAACAGACGTGGAGAAACAACAACAGCCATCATTTGCAGCTAAGTGGTGGTGTTTGTATGTTGAACTTCTTTCGCACCGTACGTAGCCAACCGTACTAATCGGAGGTGCAAGGAAGGACAGCAAACGAAAAACAAAAAGTAGTTCTAAGTAAATGAGTTTTCAATCTAGATTTAAAAGTGCATAATTCCAGTGGCTTCCTAATATTGGAAGGAAGGGCATTCCAGACGGCCGCAGATGCGCATCTGAAAGAGGGCGATGCAGTGACCATCTTTATTCAATGGGTAACCAAAAGCAGTTGCGAGGATGACTGGAGTTCACATGATGGTTTATGCACCTTTACGAGATCAGCAAAGTATTATGGTTCATTTGTGGCAATTACTTTGTGTGCAATGAGTACAACCTTATAATGTATTCGTTCGTCAACCAGAAGCCAATGCAGCTCGGGGAGCACTGGACGGACACGGTCGGATCTTGCGGTACCCGTCATGACATGTGCCAAATAATTTTGTACATGCTGCAGCTTGCTAATCTTGCTAATGCCTGATGTCCTGTAGAGTAGTGAGTTACAATAATCTGGCCTTACTGATATGATGCTACACTCCACCGTGTTGGCTACGTCACGACTCAATAGTGGCCTAATGTGTCGTAGAGCCCTGATATGACAACTGCAGGACCTGACTATATTTTGCACATGGTGATCAAACGACATATTCTGGTTGAGTATGGTGCCGAGGCTCTTTAGATGAGTAGAAAACTGAATCCTGGAGTCTGTGACTGCCACATTTGATCCTCCCACAAATTGTTTCGCCTGAGCCTGTGTGACAACCAGCAGTACCTCCAATTTTTCTGGATTAAGCATTTCGTTTCATGCAACCACTCGTGCATCGCTCGTGTGAAATCTTTGAGGTAACCGAGGCTCTCGAAATCTAACTTTGACTTCAGTGCTGTGTAAAATTGTGTATCATCAGCATATTGATGGAACTTGACATCAGGCAATGAGATTACATCGGCGATCGGAGAGACGTGTCTTGAAAATAGGAAGGGATCGAGGACAGATCCCTGTGTTATGCCAACTCGGCACGGCATAGGCAGTGACTGTTTGTCACCCAGCTTGACGAACTGTGATCGACCATGTAGCTATGACCTCAATCTACCTCAGTGCTGTACCCCATGCACCGAACCTTGACCTTAGCCAACCAATGCTACGGCACACCAGTCATCCATGATCTTGGAAAGGTCATCAGTGATCCTTAGTAGAGCCGTCTCAATGCTGTGGAACTTCCGGTATGCCGACTGCAAAGGGTTGAATATGCCCATTGCAGCGACGTGGAGAAGTAACCGCTTCAAACAAAGGCGCGATATGAGCTTTGAAACCATACCCAGGTTTGACGTCGGGCGATAGTTTGCAGGGCCACTTTGGCTCAGGAGCAGTGCTAACTACGCCATTTTGAACCGATCTAGGAAACAGCCTTCGCTGAATGAAAGATTTGCCAGGTGGACAATCAGCGGCGCAAACACATCTGAGCATGATTTGAGAATCGACGTGTGGATGTAGTCGAGCGCTGATCTCTTATTTGGCAGCCGTGTGATGAACATCGACATCTCTGCCGCCGACGTTTGTGCCAGGGTTTCAAGTTTGGTATTGGTTCCAGGTTGATCAAACTCAGATGGCAGACCAGGAGAATACATTGCCTACAGGTTAGAAACTGTCGTCTTGATCGTCACTATTTTATTGGCAAAAAACGTCGTAAGTACTGTGCACAGACTGGGTTGATGAGTTCATGGGTGGTTGGAGCGCAGCAGACCCTTCATGATACGCCACAGAGCATGGGGGTCACGAGCTGACTCATTGACACGCAGAACACGGAACGATCTGCGAGACTCAAATTAGTTGGTTGGCAGATCTGCAAGCATCTTTGTATGTGAGTTGGACAGTCTCAAAACCAGTTATCTTCCAAAGACGCTCCAGCCTCCTCCGCATCTGCTTTGTGGCGATCACCTCCAGTGACAGCCAGTTACTGCATGCTTTCCCTATTCCCTTTGTGCTTGTTCGGATGGGCACGAGTTCATGAAGAACAGCAGTGATGTCATTTTCTAATTGATCTGAAAACGAAACGACCGCCGATACTGGATGTGGAAAACAATGATGATAACTGAATCTTCTGATGGAAAGCACCATGGTCCAGTTGTTTGTCAGTGTCTGATATCATTGTGACGGGCGGGATAATAACATAATAATATGTAATGTCACTTTGAACGTCATGAAACTGCGATCTGAAATATCCACGTCTTCGATGACGTCGGTCACAGTTATGGCGTTGGCAGATGTGAATATGTAATCTCCATATATATAAAAGGCAACGTTGTGATTATGTGTGTCTGTTCAAAATGTTTAGCGTACTTCCCGACATGCAACAAACTTGAAATTTGCCATGTGGGTACTTTCCAGACTGTACACCATGCAAACATTATAAAAAAATACACTTTTGGTTTTTTTTTGGGGGGGGGAGCTCAATAATGCATTTATTTTTTACACGGCAAGTGAGCTGTGACGTGAAATCTGTCACGTGACCCGCGCATGTGGAAGCGTAACGCATTGTAGTGTAGTGGTTAGCGCGCTGTGTATGTGTGTGTGTCTGTGTGTGTGTCTGTGTGTGTGTCTGTGTGTCTCTGTGTGTGTATCTTTGTGTGTATATCTGTGTGTGTGTGTGTGTAAGCGTAACGCATTGTAGTGTAGCGGTTAGCGCACCGCGCTACGAACCCGGCGACCCGAGTTCGATTCCCGCTCACAGCCACCACCGGTGACGATTATTTTACCGGTCCTGGGCCTCCCCTAGGTCGACTCAGCATCAAACGAGTAACTGGTGCGGTGTGTGAACATCGCCAGTGGGGAGACAAAGGCGGCGGGCGTAGTGAATCCAAGTCCCGGGCGACGCCGGGTAGTACAGCTAGCCCAGTATATTTCCCGAGCGACATGTTGGGCCGCTGACGTGCTGGGTTAAACAGTGACTGTCGATAATCTCGGCGAAGTTACTGTTGATTTTACCACAGCACAAGTCGGTCCAGGACAGTCCAGGTCACCACAGATCTGATGTAGCGAGAGACGAGTGACCCACAGTCTAGCAGACCGGAAAGCTTGGAAAATAATTCTGAAGACGGTGAAAATGGCGGTCGATAGATGGCAGCGATTGTAAGACCCCGCATGCTGTTCGTTATTTTGACGAGCAGCAGCTCGAATTACGTGATTGTTAACGAGTCGCTCAGGAATTTCACGCAGATATCTTTACGGTGAATCGGTGCGATTCCACCACCATGTGAGCTGCCGGTGCCGGGCTTCTGCGACGGTGCCGATTTACAATAGCGTATCCGTAATGTGCAGCATCGCACTTAATTACATCCGGTGAGTTGGCATTCCCAGGCTTCGGTAATGGCCAATATGTCGAGCCCACAATCATTGATCAGATCCTGGATCAGCACCGTCCTGTTTACTATGTGCATTGATCAATCCATAGTTGAGGAGCCCTGGTCCAGGGTTTGTTTCGATACCCGACAGCAGCAGTGCAGATGTTCCATTAGAGGGGTCCACGTTTCACAAGCGTTGATAAGGGAGGGCATGTCTGTGGCCGAGAAGACCCATAGCTTCGTGTGGAGCGACAGACCAGGTAGCTTCCACACAGCATTACGATGAAAATATGTCACCCGACTGATTCAGAGTGAGACCTCTGCTGTCAGACCGGAGCTGGTCATTAGCACACAGCCCAGGTATGGAAAACTGTCCACTCTCTTAACAACTGCTCTATCACCAGATAAGGGGTGGAGTTTTTTATAGCACAAAATATCTAGTTTTGGTGGGGCTGATGGTAAGACCCCACCTCTCAGTGGCATGCTCCAGTTTTCATCAGCAGCACATACAGCTCCTCCTCTGAGTATCAATCACCAGATCATCAACATTCATAACATGGTTAAGCAATACGGAGCCATTCCTTGACCACACCCGAGCATCCATCATGAAGGCCCTTAATTATTGTGAGCAGAGAGCCTGGGACTCTGCAAGCCTGATCAACTTCCCAGAGCCCTGGCCTGTTGATGGTATCATAGGCCTTGACCAGGTCAATATATCAGAGATGTACGTCATGTGGGAATTCCATACACCTCTGCTGTAGCAGAACAACATAGAATATGGCATCCCTGCAGGATCTCCCTGGTCTGAAACCACATTGGGGCTCTGCAGGTCTCTCCTCACAGAGACACACACAGATACGATGGCACATGGACACGAGTCCACTCACGCAGCTGGGAAATGTAACATGCTGACATGATTGACTTTACCTGCTTTTCTCTATATCACACTATTTTGCGATTACCGAGTCTCGTATTTCTCTTCATTACAATGTGTGTTTCTCTTCAACAGAAATCCTACAGGAAGGGCCTGGAACAAATGAGAGCAGACGGCTATGACTTGGGGTCAGAGGCTATCTCTGTGAAAGCTGCAAAGGCTTCCAGAATTATCGCCAGTGATGTGAGCACCTCATTCCGTGTCACTACATATTTGTTCTCTTTATTGCTTGATGGGTCATTGTATTATTATTAAGCTTGTTTACCCAGGAAAAAAACTCACTGAGTCTCAAGACTCAGAAGGTTCCTACAGAATTTTTGCAATTTGGGGCGAAGTTTTCTTTGTGTTTTTCAATTAAGTATATTTTTGTATTTGGCAATTTTTTTTTGTTTATGCCAGCACACAGTGGCGTGCTCTTCTTTGCATATTGTCAGAGGACCTGTCGTGTCAACTTTGAGTGAAGCAGTCAGTGCGTGGTATTTTATGCTTAGTACACCTGCAGAATGAACCAGGGCCGCCTAACGGATTGCACCACGAGCCTCAAAGAAGCAGGGAATGTGCTACCGCTGCGCTACATCACCGCTATTTAAATTATATGTATTTATTGTAATTGTATTCTTCTGATTTTTATACAGTACATATACAAGCAGGCTTATGAGCATGACAAGGGACAGCTCTGTGGGGTTCGCAGCATGGATGATGACCTCAGGATGGTCAATGCCTTGCGAGTTGGCAAACTGCAGAGTGACCTTGAGTACAAGAAAGATTTAGTGGAAAGTAAATCCAACTTGCACATTCCTACGGACATGCTGAACCTCGTCGTGGCCAAGAAGTGCCAGGACATGCTCAGTGACACCACCTACAGGCAGAGGCTGCACGACTGGACGTGTCTGCCGGACCAGACCAGCGTGGCCCACGCCAAGATGGCCACTGAGCTGCAGAGCGATGTAAGTTCCTTTACGTTTCTGTTTCTTCGTGTGCGTTTTGTATTTTTTTCGTTTCTACTACTGCAGAATTCTGGTTTATGTCACCTTAGACGCTGTACAAGGCAGACCTGGATTGGCTCCGGGGATGTGGCTGGATTCCCGTTGGGTCCCTGGACAATGTGAAGGCTCAGAGAGCAGGAGACATCCTGAGCGAGAGGAAATACCGGCAGCACCCAGAGACCGTAGGCTTCACCAGCATCACCAACTCGCCTTTCATGCAGCAGTGCAAGCTCAACGCCAACCAGATCAACGATGTGAGTAGAAATTTTTATTGATATATAATTCCTGTTTTTCAATGTGAAAAATAATTCCATATCGAGGCATGTTGAATGTTGAAGTCTTAATTTTGTTCCACAAACAGCGCTTGTATAAGAAAGCCTGGGAGCAGGACAAGATCAGCATTCACGTCATGCCCGACACTCCACAGCTGCTGCAGGCCAAGGTCAACACCTACAACCTGAGCGATGTGAGTGTACTTGAACTAATTGTTACTGATATCATGTGTTCACTCATTACGATGTTATTTAAGATAAGGACTCTATAGATTACAGGCTTGAATGGCCAATTCTGTCAATATTTTTCTAGAAATCCTACAAGAAGGGTTTGGAGCAGATGAGAGCGGATGGATATGACCTGGGGTTGGAAGCCATCTCCATTAAAGCTGCAAAGGCCTCCAGGAACATCGCCAGTGACGTGGGTACCTCCCTGCCACAAGACATTGGAGCGCCCCTGCTTCTGTAGAGCATCCTCTCCATTTAATGGAATACAAAAATGTTTAACTTATTTTCATCGTTTATCTCTTCAGGTCAATTACAAAGAAGCATATGAGAAAGAAAAAGGGCATTACATTGGCTTCCAGTATTTAGATGATGATATCAAAATGCTTCACTCGACACGAGTTGGTAAACTGCTGAGCAATCTTGAATATAGGAAAGATTTTGATGAAAGTAAAGGGAAGTTTCACATTCCTACGGACATGATGAATGTTGTCATGGCCAAGAAGTGCCAGGACATCCTTAGTGACGTCAACTACAGGCAGAGGCTGCACGACTGGACGTGTCTGCCGGACCAGACCAGCATCGCCCACGCCAAGATGGCCAATGAGCTGCAGAGCGATGTAAGTCCCTTTATGTTTCTGTTTGTGCATCTATTCTACAGTGTTTCAGTGTCCAGCACTTCTCAATTCTGAATTATGTCACCATAGGCCCTGTACAAGGCAGACCTGGAGTGGCTGCGGGGTTGTGGATGGATTGCCAATGGCTCATTGGATATGAAGAAGGCTCAGAGAGCAGCAGAGATTCTGAGTGACAGAAAATACCGGCAGCATCCAGCCACCCTAAGCTTCACTTGCGTGAATGACTCGCCTTTCTTGCTGCAGTGCAAGCTTAACGCCGACCAGATTAACGACGTGAGTTCTGTGTTTGGGCTGAGTCCTTAAGTGTTCACAGCATTCATGTAAGTCAGTGAAAGGAGATCTGACTGTATAATGTATCTGCACCGACAGCGCTTGTACAAGGAAGCCTGGGAGCAGGACAAGGTCAGCATTCACGTCATGCCCGACACTCCACAGCTGCTGCAGGCCAAGGTCAACACCTACAACCTGAGCGATGTGAGTTGATGTGACGACTTGGTTGGACGCACATCGGCAATGTTTTTGTAAAATTGCTTCACTTTTAGTTATTCTGTGGTCCTTCTAGAATAGTATGTTTGTTCGGACTATGTAAATACCTCCATGAATAGTTATCAAACGTACAAATATTCTTTGAGATGCTTACAGATCCTAGTTGCGTCTTGAATTGTATTATTTTTTCATTTTACAAAGCTCATAACCTTGCCTAATTCAAGATATAGTACAATCTTATCCATTACAGTTATTTAATGGTGCTGTTTGAAGCTGGCCACTTGACACTTTAGGCCTTCGGGTCCACGCTCAGCAACCTTGTTCACCAATTTTCCATGAGCAGTAAATGCTGGGTAGGTATCAGTAACTGATTAACCATTAGAGTCAAATGTAAAATATTTTCAATGTCATAGGTGAAGTGTTTTGTAATATTCTGTTAATTATTTAAACAATCCAATAATATTACAACGAAATGCTTTCCACCTTTGAAGATGACTTGTGTTGATGCCTGCTGTGCGACTGTTTCTACAGAAAAGCTACCGTAAGGATTGGGAGGAATCCCGAGCCCTGGGTCATGACGTGCGCTTTGATGCCATCCCCATACGAAGTGCCATGGCCTCCCGCGACATCTGCAGCGACGTACGCATCTTTCTCGCACAGCACCGGCCCTTACAAAGCGTTGGCTCATTGGGAAACTAGTTAGCGATAGATGAAGCTTTGTGAACTCTAATGCTGCTGCTGTTGTACAAGCTGCTGCAGCTGTGCATTCTGCTGTTGCTGGTGATGCGATCCGTGCTGCTGCTGTGCATTTGCTGTTTCTGCTGCTGTGCATTCTGCTGCTGTTGGTGTTGCTGTGTGTTTGCTGCTGCTGCACAAACCATCCCAGTCTACAGCAAGTGGTTGGTACAGAGTGGCAATCTGTGAGCATCGCAGCATCTGTACACAACAGTAAACATTCACTATTGCTTTACATTCCCACTTTGTGGTCGACGGAGAAGACAATTGAGAGCCTAAAACAAGCCAAACAGAAACAGCGCAAAAACAACTGCGTTACAGAAGCAATCAGAAATATTGCACAAACGTAAATCAATATAAAATTAAGTACATTTACTGTTATGAAGGTTGGTTCAGACAAAAAAAACTGTTCATAGCAAAATTCAGTTGTAGAAACATTCACATGGATTTAGGGCAGGGGTGGGGAACGTCCGGCCCGCGGGCCGTATAAGGCCCTTGAAATAATTTGGTCTGGCCCTGCCAAGGCAACCGCAGGCGGGACTCGAAATTCAATCAATCTAGGAGCAAACCTGGAAAAGCAGTTGCGAGTAGCAACATCATCAATAACCAGCAAACATCACACGCCTCGCCAAAGAGAAGCAGTTTCAGCCATCGCATTAGGGGTGAGTTAATTAAATGTTTGACCAAATATAACAGGCTAATTTTTAAGTTGATAATTTTGTATGACCCGCAAATGATGTTATAAATATACAAATGGCCCTTGACAGTAAAAAGGTTCCCCGCCCCTGATTTAGGGTGACTTGCACCAATATGTAAACAGACAGGGACGTGTCAAATACAAATGCAAGTGATGTTTTCTCAAATAATTTATAAATCCTATAGTTATAATTCCCAATCCTGTTATAATGTTGACCAGCCATTGCGTATGATTCCACGTGTAATGCAGTACAAGTACAAGGAGAACTATGAGAAGGAGAAGGGCCAGCACCTTGGGATTGCCAGCCTGAAGGATGATCTTAGGATGGTCAACGCCTTCCGAGCTGGCAAACTGCAGAGCGATCTCGAGTACAAGAAGAATTTTGATGATGATAAATCAAAATTCCGCATTCCTACGGACATGATGAATGTTGTCATGGCCAAGAAGTGCCAGGACATCCTCAGTGATGTCAACTACAGGCAGAGGCTGCACGACTGGACGTGTCTGCCGGACCAGACCAGCATCGCCCACGCCAAGATGGCCAACGAGCTGCAAAGCGATGTAAGGTTTTGGAATTGCATATTTTTTGTTTTAAGAAAAAATAGATTCAGCAGTTCAGTCGATTCATGTTTAGAAATGCGTTTTCTGTAAAAAAAAAAAATATTGTATTACTTTGATTGCAGCACACAGTTCCAATGTACGACCAGAGTATCGATCAGTTTCTCAAACTCCAGTCCTTATGAACCTCCACGGGTTGGCATTCTGAGATTGCCAAGAGATACATGCAACATGTCGATGCTCGATCTGTATGGGAAATATTGGTAATAATGAAAATCTGCATCATTGTCGGCCTCAAAGGATTGGAGTTTGAGAAACACTCGCATAGATGGACACGTTGCGACGAGCATCCCGTGCAGTGTAAACATACAGATTTAAAGGACACGGACCGTTATTGTTATGATGCCAACTTTTTGTGTTCTCCCCTGCACAGGCCCTGTACAAGGCTGACCTGGAGTGGCTGCGGGGTTGTGGGTGGATTGCCAATGACTCTGTGGATCTGAAGAAGGCTCAGAGGGCAGCAGAGATCCTGAGCGAGAGGAAATACCGGCAGCACCCGTGCAGCGTTGGCTTCACGAGCGTCACCAACTCGCCCGGGTTGCTGCAGGCCAAAATAAGCGCAGCACTCATGAACAATGTGAGATATTGGTTTTCATATGCATGTCCTGATATGTGTTACTTGTAAACGTAGGTTTTCTGAAAGCTGAGTTTTATTCTATTTATCACTTTGCCAACAGAGGCTGTACACCGAGCAGTGGAACAAAGACAAGGGAATTATTCACCTCATGCCAGATGCACCCCCGTTCATACTCGCCAAGAACAATTCCTACAATATCAATCAGGTATGTTTGCTTCAGATGTTGGATATGGAGCGATGATGAAATCAGTTCATGCGCAGCTACCAGTTGCATTTTTGCATCGTAAGGTAACGAGGGATGGCGACGACTTGGGGAAGGCTTCATCCAGCAGTGGATTTATCACGACCGATTGATGATGACGACCGTCTAAAGTAACAATAGTGAGAGCTGTATTATGCAGGGTTGTAACTCTGTCTCCCGCTGTGCTACTTGGCAGAGGAATTACACGCGGCAGTGGGAGGAAATGAAGCGAGAGGGACACCACATGAAGCCCGATGCCATTCCGGTGCAGGCCGCCAAGGCAGCTCACCTGCTCATCAGCGGAGTGAGTGCCTCCACACGCCTACCACGCCGCTCACCACAGACTATCGAAGGCCGTGCATTGTGCGTACGATTATTATACGTAGGTTTCAAATATCTGATTTCGCCCCCTAAACAATGTCACCGCAAGTATATGAAGGAGGCGTATCGTCAGATTTATTGTTTTTGTTCTCGAAAACTATGGTCGTTCAATAACAGTCAGTATTTGTTCGAATTGTTTTCCCAGACCTTCGGTTCAGTTGTCTGTTCTTACAGTTCATAGGATCCATTGAATTGGCAGTGGCTCGTCAAGTTATACTCAGACAAAACTGCTTGTAAAGTCCACCGGGGGTGACCTGCGATACACTGGATATGTTCGGGTATTATTCTCACTGAAGCAATGAGAAGATCTATAACCAGCAGTCAGAGCATACTAAAGAACGTGTACAAATGGCATTTATCATGTTAGAATATGAGTACGTGTGGTGTTTGTTAATTTTAGATCAAGTACAAGGAGGCCTATGAGAAGGAGAAGGGCCAGCATCGTGGGATTGCCAGCCTGAAAGATGATCTCAGGATGGTCAACGCATTCCGAGCTGGCAAATTGCAGAGCGATCTCGAGTACAAGAAGGATTTTGATGATAATAAATCAAAATTCCACATTCCTACGGACATGATGAATGTTGTCATGGCCAAGAAGTGCCAGGACATGGTCAGTGAAGTCAACTACAGGCAGAGGCTGCACGACTGGACGTGTCTGCCGGACCAGACCAGCGTGGCCCACGCCAAGATGGCCAACGAGCTGCAGAGCGACGTAAGTCCCTCTTTACGTTTCTAAGTTTGCATCTATTCTGTCCTGTTTCAGTGTCCAGGACTACTGCAATCTGATTTGTGTCACCGTAGGCCCTGTACAAGGCTGATCTGGAGTGGCTGCGGGGCTGTGGATGGATTGCCAATGATTCATTGGAAGTAAAAAAGGCTCAGAGAGCAGGAGAGATCCTGAGTGACAAAAAATACCGGCAGCCTCCAGCCACAATAAGGTTCACAAGCGTGACCGACGCACCTTTCATGCTGCAGTGCAAGGTCAACGCCGACCAGATCAACAGCGTGAGTTTGTTATTCTAAATTAAACAAATCCTACCTGCATTCATCGATCAGGCTTCATTTATTCGTCAACTCAATGTAGATGTAGATGAGGTTGGTTGTACGTTGCCCCTGTGCTTACAGAGACTCTACAGGAAACTTTGGGATGCTGACAAGACCCAGATCCACGTCATGCCTGACACCCCCGAGCTGCTGCAGGCCAAAGTGAACACGGTCAACCTGAGTGATGTAAGTGAATCTGGCTATGGATGTCTTTCTGGAAGGTGTGTAAATTGCGAGCTCTTATTATCAATACAAGAGAACAAAGGTCATGGACAACTGCAGTTGCCTAAGCATTTGGAGACATCTTTCGGAGGGGCACAAGTGGAAAACGCAGCATAGTGCGTGAACCTAGGGCAGCCGTTGAAGGTCGACCGGGGATGGAATAGATGAAATAAAGGGGTGGACGAGAGCAGGCTGCAGTGCTTTTGGAAGATAAACTTGGTCGTGAAAAGACTGAATCTAATGTGCGTCATGAAGCAAGGTGTGAATCAGTGGGTGGCAGGACCTGCTATGACACACGGTTCAGAAGCACTGTGGTGATTAGCGAAAAATATCCAACAAAATCTCAAAAGTGCACAAAGCATGGCGACTTGTATAATTGGCATTACATGTGGGCACCAATATGTCATCTGCCTAGCCTGGTATCCAGGAGGTTGTGGATTCGATCCTGACCCTCACGCCTATATATTTGGAGTTTATGTATTCTCCCCATGGTCACGTGGATTTTTCTCCAGTTCCTCCGGTTTTTCCCTGCACATTTAGAAACATGCGTTTAGAGTATTTGGCTGCTTTACATTTCTTCGTGATAAGCCACTTCGTTGAGCTATCATTTGTGCTAGTTAGATCGCCTCTGAAAACGAACTATATAAAATAGTTTATAGTTTAAAAAAAATATTTATTATAGCTTACATTGAGAGATAAAGAAGATGCAGGATAATGACATCATCCAAACAGTTAAGGAAAGTCGGTGGGCTTGAGCAGGACGCGTCGTGAGCAGGGACGATGGACGATGGTCAAGACTGATAACTGAGTGGCAGCCAAGGAACGGAGTGCGTCTGAGAGAGGAAATCCACGGAGGAGAAGGAGGAGCAACGAGATCAGTTTGTGTGCAGGTGCTGGATGGATTGTTGAATCGTTAGATTATGAGAGGTGGTGATCGCCTGGGTGGGCTTATCTCATTTTAATTTATACAGCACATTGACCAAGGTGCTGAACAAAGAATTAACTATTTGTACAGCAGAAGTGTGATGAGATGCGTTATTGAGGAGGGTAGTACATTTTGAATATGATGATGCGTGCAATACACGATAATGAAAATGACAATGAGTGGTAAATCATGAGTGAGTGTGATAAGTGGGTAGGGGAGTTGGGAAGAGTGATGGAGTTAGTGATGCGGAAGGGAGGAGGAGGTTTGGTGAAGCGAGGGAAACTAAGCGAGTTTTAACAGCAGAACGAAAAATAGACATTGAGGCTGATTGGTTGACGTGCAGGGGCAATTTCTTTCAGTATAACGGGGGCAGAAGCGATAAAAAATGGAATCGTGATTGGGTACAGGGAGGAGGGAGAACACACAGAGAGAGAGCTGGGATTGTGAACGAAAAGGGCGAGAAGGAGCTCAGAATGAAATGATTGATGATGGCTGATGATCATCATTGATTTAAAATCCTCACGCGTGTATTGTCTCACAGAAACACTACCGCGGCGCATGGAGGGAGTCTCGAGCAGAGGGCTACGACATGCGCATCGATGCGATGCCACTGCAGTTGGCGCGCAAGTCCCGTGACATCATCAGTGACGTGCGTACCCATGTTCGGGCCCCACGCTCCCATATCCCTGCGTGCGGATGTGAATTGAGTAGCAACCATGTGCCCAAACCCGCATGCACAATGGCAGTCTCGGTGTGTCATTGCTCACAGGCAGCTATTTGGTTATTTTTTATAATCACTCGTGAATAGAGTTGGCCAAACATGCCAATAAAGGGCCGCAGAGCTTGGGCAATTGTTGTTGCTGCTTCTGGCTGCCTTTCTGCTTATCTGTAATTTCCCGCGCCTCTCTACAGCGTTTTTAGAAGTGATTTGCATGAACGATGACTTAAAAATTAGACAATAAGTATTATTATCAGCTTGTCATATAATTAATTGTTTATATTTTGAGTACTGTTTTCTCACAATTGTATTAACATTGTGTTATTGAGTTGTTTCATTAAACATTTATATTCCATAACTCCCAGAGAGCGTCCTTTGAAGATGATTTCACAGAATTACTTATGAATGCCCTTCATCGGCCTTTCTAAACACACTTGAGTCATGTATTTTATTGATTGACTGAGATTTTTCATTCTGGAATAAGTCAAATAGGTAAACAAAATACGAACTTTCATATGCCATCAGTTCTATCCAGCAGCCATTAGTAGCTTGACTTGGACCATGAACTCACCACACATAAACATTTATCTTAATCATGGGTTACTGCCTGGGTTAAAACTAAGGATTTTATGAATGAACGTTCCGCAAGGACGCTCAGCTGGGTTGAAACGAGCCGTGCACGCGTCGGATACGCGTGCACGGCTCGTCCCTGTCTTCAGCGCAGGGGAAGGTGCCACCCTGCACCGGTGACGTCTCTCACACGGTCGCTGTCGCCCACAGTACAAGTACAAGGAGTCCCACGAGAAGGGCAAGGGCCAGCTGATCGGCTTCCGGCGCCTCCAAGACGACCCGCGTCTGGTTCACAGCGCGCGCACCGGCATCATGCTCAACGCCCGCCTGTACCGGCAGAAATTCGAGGACGACAAGACCAAATGCGTGACTCCAGTCGATGCTCTGAGCGTGCTGCAGGCGAAGAAGTGCCAGCACCAGCTCTCAGACATCCCCTACCGCACCTACCTGCGGCACTGGACTTGCCTGCCGCACCAAGGACCTTTGCTACACGCCAAGCACGCTCAGGACCTGCTGAGTGACGTGAGCGACGCTGCCCCTCCCCCCCTCGTGCACCTCACCTCGAATGTCCGACAATGAGAGCGTCAGCACCACCCGGCACTTGCGTTGATCTGACCGATGTGTGATGGTTGCGATGCAGTGCGGCCAACTGTGATGTGGGTAATGGTGCAAGTGCTGATGGTGGTGGTTGGTGGTGTCAGTGAGATGGGTGCTGGTCGTCTCAGCCTTAAATGAATACCTGGTGCAGCGTGTAAACACCCACCAACTCGTGCACTGTGTCAACCTTCATAGGTGCTCACAAACAGCACTTTCCCCTACACTGTGTTAAAGGCTATACGGGGGATCTTTGTATTTGGTGCTGGTGGTATTGCGATTGTTTCAAGTGTATTTTGTTTAACCAGGTGAGAACTAAAGGGTCCAGGACATGGTCCCATGTGCAAGGGCGACCTGGCTCGTCAAAATAACGTCAAAGTAATGACGTAAAAACACAGGACAGCAAATAACAATTTGGGCAAGAACAACTCATATTCTTGGTTCTTTCGGTAAAGTCAAGTAGAAGGGAAACAATAAAATAATAAAATAAACAGAAGAACAACTCAGTTACATGGTGGTGTCAGGCCTGATGTTACTGGTGGTAGAGCTGATGGTGGTGAGAGTGGTGTCGCACAGTGGGTGTGATGCTGATGCAGGTTGTAGAGGAGGTGGTGCTGGTGGTGTAGCGATTGTTCTGGTGGCAATGGTGTCAGTGCTCACGGTGGTCATGTGATGCAGAACCTGTACAAGGAGGATCTGCTGTGGATGCGAGGGCTGGGCTGCTCGGTGTGCGACACCCCTGACATCCTGCGAGCGAAGGAGGTCTACAATCACCGTAGTGACGTGCGTATGAACCACTCTGCCACCTCCTCCTGCTCACTCTGCACAATAAAACACGAATAGCACACAATTGGTTCTTGTGAGTTTAATACAAATGTGTGTATCCCCTTGAAATATGCATCATGATGGTTCACTTTCAATATTGTTGTTGAAGCATCTGCAATTTTTCCGTATGCCATTCTAATAGCAACCAGCAAAATATTACAACTGTATTTTTTTTTATTTAAAGCTTTCGTGACTGCAGGGATTCATATTCTTGGTTCTTTCGGTAAAGTCACATGACTTTGGTTGGCATCAGGAGTTACTTGATTTGCAGCAACCATGTCTCCTGTTGTAATCGTGCAATGGATAGGGGCCGGTCATGTGACGTTCACAACTGATCATGCTTTGCCGCATTCACAGGAGGTCGACTCTATAAATTGAAGCCGTTTGTGAAGGAAGTTAGCTGCCACTGCCGTGCATTGTTCAGACGTGATTAAACGCAGCCAAGCGCCTTCTACGCAGGCTGAAGCCAGCTCATTGGCCACGTCAGGCCTTCGCAGCCCGTTTCTCAATACAGGTTCTGTTTGCTGCGCTGATGCGTGTTCCGCAGATAAAGTACCAGGCCGAGGCCAAGCTGGGGCAGCTGAAGTTCACGGTGGTCACCGACACCCCAGGCTACCTGACGGCGCTCACCAGCGCACAGCAGCTAAGCGATGTAGGTCCCGTTCGCCGTCCATTCGTCTCGACAATGGATAATGTGTGGTGCTGCATTTCTGATTAATACGGTGATGTGCAAGATCTCAAATTGTGCGCAACACATACCGTGCATAAAGTGTTGAATATGCTGTTTAATGTGATGCGTACACGATGCATTGTGTGTGATGTTCCGTTTGAAGTGATGCTTTGTGAGATGTAATGTGCTCTGTGGCATGTGCAAGGTGTCGGCTCGTGTGCTTTGAGCCAGTTTGCTACGCGATGTGATGTCGTGTAACATGTGATGTGCTGCGTGGCGTGTGTGCTGCGCGGTGTGCGTGCTACATGATGTCATTTTTTTAATGAAGTACGCACTGTGCTATGTCGGCTGACACGTGGTGTGTATGCTGTGCTGCTCAGATCAAGTACAAGGCCCAGTACAAGGCAGCACGTGGTGTTTATACCCCAGTCCTGGACTCTGTGGACAACATCCGCGTGGCTAATGCTCAGAAGCTCTTCAGCAACGTGAGTATCTGCAAGCCGGGACAGCGGGGCCCGTGCGGCTCACACCGAGTGCAGCAGTAGCAGCAGCAGCAGCATCATCATCATCGGCCATGATCGATCCACTGCTGGATGAAGACTTCCCTGATTCAGAAAAGCAACAATCCACCCAGCGCCTGCGCATTAACGGATCTCATTGCTCCAACACCTGGGTGGACGTCCCCTCAGACGCGTTCCATCCCTTGGCTGCCGATCCGTTGTTATTATTGAGCATCATCGTCCCTTCTAACCCAAGCCTACTCACTTTTCTTAATAGTTTGGATGATGTCATGAACTTGCATATGTTCTCTAATCTATGTCTTCCTCTCTCTGTCTCTCAATGTAATTCCAAGCACACATCTCTCCGTGCTGTTTTGCATACTTTTCTGTTTTTGTTTATACATTTTTCATTATTGACCGTGGTGTCTCTGAACCACGTATCAGCGCAGCTAGTTCGCAGGACCATAGAGCTTGGGTAATTGTTTGTAGCACCGGTTCTGGCTACCTAATGGTTTCTCGCATCTCAAAATAACTCTCTCTCTCTCAGAGTGAACGAAAGCTGTGCGCGTTACACATCCTAAGTTAGTTTAACACGTAGGCTTTCGCAACCAATATCATCCATAATAAAGGTTTTTTGGGGTTAGATTACGTAAATATATAAATGTGTCGTTAAAACCCGCCACCACCCGACACAGCCAACTAGTAAGGGTTGGCATGTAAACAGAACGTGCCAATTCGTCACTAGTACAGCACACCGGTGTGTTGGAGAGCCAAGCCACAACATTTACAAACACTAAGACTTCTCCACAAATCTGGCTGTCGCCTGATGAAGCTAGTTGTAATTGCTTGCGAAACGTCATACTCAGATTGTAAATGTTGTGGCTTGGCTCTCCAACACACCGGTGTGCTGTACTCGTGACGAATTGGCCACGTTCTGTTAACGTGACAACCCTTACTAGTTGGCTGTGTCGGGTGGTGGTGGGTTTTAACGACACATTTATATATTTACGTGATCTAACCCAAAAAAAACTCTATTATGGACATTCTAAGTTAGTGTTGTGTTTTGTGGTTCATCGGTGTACTTAATAAATACATGACCTGGCCATGCGATTGATTTCATTCCGCATCTAGAACCTCTACAAAGAAGCATGGCAACGAGTGAAGGCCAAGGGCTTCTCCCTCCCAGTAGACACTGTACACCTGCAGAATGCTCGTCACCAGCAAAGCCTGTACAGCCCGGTAAGCCAATCACAGCCCAGTAAGTCCCCCACATTCCCCCACAGCCCGGTAAGACCCCCCCCCCGCCCAGTAAGCCCCCCACAGCCCGGTAAGCCCCCCTAGCCCGGTAAGTCCCCCCCACAGTTTGATAAGGCCCCCCCAGCCTGAAAAGCCTCCCCCAGCCTGATAAGGCCCCCACAGCCTGACAGAATTGTTCCCCACCTTATCGGCGAGCTGAAACAAAAACAGTTGGTGCATTATTAAATGCTTGTATTTGTGATCATTTAATTGTTTGGCTACATCGGGTGGTGGAGGGTTTTTAAAGACAAATCTGGCCAGACTACTTGGTTTAATACAAATATCGCATATGAATCAATTACAAGTTATTCTTATGGCAATTTAATGAACATTTTACGGCACTTTTTGGTTTATTTTTAATTCAGATAAATTATTGGTGGATGGCAGTCCACAGTGTGTTGTTGATGGTTGAGGGTGGAGCCGCGGGTCCACGGTCACATTGGAATCGCTTCTGACGGAATCCCTTCTCTCACCCCTCCCTGGCGGACCGTGACTCAGAGGAAGTACCGTGCGGAGTACGAGCAGATGAAGGCCCACTTCACCCAGCCGAAGCTCCTGAAGGAAGATCCCCGTGCCTTGCACGCCCTCCACGCTGGAAACATCCTCAGTAACGTGAGCACCTCCTTGCCCCTCGGTCACCTCCTCACTCCTCCGCCTCCTTACTTCCCCCAGCCTCCTCGCTCCCCCGTCATCTGGCCTGCGTGTTCAGCGGTCGACGTGTCTCCCGTCTCTGCAGTTGCTGTACACGGCGGCCTACAACAAAGGCAAAGGAGCGCTGCACCTGGCCCCCGACATGATGGATGTGGTGGTGGCCAAGCGCGCGCAGGACCTGGCGAGCGGCCGAGGATACCGCTCGCTCCGCCGCTCCTGGATCTGCCTGCCGGACATGCAGCAGCTGGAGCACGCGCGGCACGCCCAGGAGCTCTACAGTGACGTACGTCCTCCGCAGCATTGGTAATAATTGAGTACGCCGTAAGAACGTCAAGAGGCGTGCATTATGGTGGAAGGTGCTCATGCGTTTCACAGACACAGTGTGTAGTAGTCTCAGAGTAGGGGGCAATGTTGCTGTGTGTTATCCCAATTTAGTCATTTGCGGCGTAGTTTTTCGAATTTGACAAATGTTGACCATGGCGACGGGACACAATGGCCTACTCTGTTTGAATGATGTCACGGGATCTTTATCGTTTACTATGAAGCAGACATCTCGTGTTTTACAGTTAACACACCTGTGTTATTAACCAGGGCAGCCTGCCGGATTTGAACCACAAACCTCTGCAATGAGTGGCGAGCACGCTACCGCTGGGCCACCGCGTCACCGCCCTGTTCTTCCCTCGCGCTGGAATTCCCTCCCATAATAACCGTGCTCAATTGGATAAGCTTGTTCATGCTTACCTATTCTAACTTTTAACTTGCAGCACGGGACGTACGACACACACCGCTCCCTCAACACCATTGCGTGCGATGTGTGTGCTGCAGGTGGCCTACAAAGACGACCTAAAGTGGTCGCGTGGCATCGGCTGCTTCGTGTGGGACACACCCAGCATCCTGCAGGCCAAGCAAAGCCGCGACCAGTGCAGCGACGTGAGTGCCGCGCCGGGCGCACCGCCGAACGGAGGGTGATGGAGACGCCCCGCGCGTGGCGTGAACCGGCTGACGGTGCACCCTGTTTTCCCTATGCACAGGTGCGATACCGTGCTCAGGCCGAAGCCGCTCGCAGTGCATTCACGCCCGTGCTGGACACGCCTGGGTATCTGCAGGCCCAGACCGTGCGGGGCTACAGCGACGTGAGTCCTCACGCGCACTCACCAAGACACAAGAGGGACACTTACCAAGACGCAAGAGAGACACCAGGATATAGAGACACTCAATGGGCTACAGTGAAAATCACCAAGACATTGAGACACTCACTGGGACACAGAGATACTCACTGGGACACAGAGAAACTCACCGAGATACAGACCCTTATGAAGACACTAAGACAAGACACTGAGAGACACCACCTCGCACCAACACAGAGAGATACTCACCGAGACCCTCACCAAGACACACCAACACAGGACGTGTAATCGATGCGGGTTGCCTCGTTGTGAAGGAACGCGTGCTGGACGCAGCTTGTGTGAGCGATGAGCTCCTCCCCCGGTGTGCGCTGACAGAACAAGTACAAGAGGCACTACCTGAGTGAGGTGCGGGGGAGACCGGTGCAGGGAGCCAAGCGACTCGACATCGCCCACGCTGTGGCCACTGCTCGCCTGAGGAATGATGTGCGGCTCCTCAACCATCCCACACTCACTCACTCATTCACAAAGACAAAGATCCCCCATGTAGCCTTGCACAGGTTGTAAGGGCCAATGGCGAGCACCTATGAAGGCCAGCACAGCGTACAAGGGGGTGGTATAGCCAGAACACCACACCTGGTCGCCTTTGTCTCCCCAGTGTTAATGTTTTTACACACTGCACCAGGTACTAATTTAAAGCTGAGTCGACCTAGAAGAGGTCCATAACCGGTTCAGATATTTAGCACTAATGTTGGCCGTAAGAAGGAATTAAATTCTGGTTCCTAGGTATTTAGCACAGTGCAGTAATCACTGTGCCACTGCTCCCAATAACATACCTACACAGACACACAAACTCCCTTAATCACAGCTCAAATGATTCTTGTAGGTGTGCTACTGTTTTTTTCTGTGCCCCTATGTCCTGTGTGCTGACCGCTGTGCTCCTGTGCGCTGTGTCCGTGCGCTGTGTGGTATTTGGTGGGTGCTGGTACAGCGTTGGTACCAGCAAGGCCTTAAGCTGCTGCCCACGAGCTACCATCTCCCCGTTGACACGATAGCACTGGTCACTGCCAAGGCAGCGCATGGACTGACAAACAATGTAAGTAACACTCTCCATACGCACAAGTGTGAGCATGTGCACGTGCGCATTCTGTTTGCATGTGCATTGTATGTCTTTTGTGGACTCCGGCCTCTTTGCTCCCAAGATCCACTGCTCCACCAGTGATAACCACTTGGTTAGCCACTACACCCCCACTCTCTGTAAATCCCTCGCTAAGCAACTCCATCCGGTCTAGTGTGGGTATTGGGATCTGAGTTTGCGTGCCAGGAATTGATTTGTGCCGAGTTCTGGTGACATTGTGTTGAACTTTGGAAGAGTCTATGTCACTTAAAACATAGCCAATATAGAGATCAATATTTGTTTTTGGGTTAGGCCACATGCTCTGGACTACGTGGCCCAACCCAAAAATTAATTTTGGATTGGTTTACTGCACAGTTTGGATAGACCTCGGCTGACCGAGAAATATGTCCAAGCTCGAACTGTGTGAAAGGTGGTCATCTTAGCCTGGTCCCCTCTCCCTCTGCTTCCAAGTCTGGTAACCTTCATTGTCGACTTTCATTTCAGACCCCCTTCAGTGCTTCCATTCCCTCCTTCCCTTGAGTGAGTGAGTGATTTTGTAAGTGGGTGAATTAGTGAGTGGGTGGGTGAGTTAGTGAGCGGGTCAGAGAGTGAGTGAATGAGTAGGTAGGTGGGTGAGTCTGTGAGTGGATGGGTAAATGAGTGGGTTAGTGAGTGGTTGAGTGAGAGGCTTCCCTTCTCTCCTTTCCTTTCTCAGTCCCTCCCGTTTTCTCCTGTGTCCTCCTGTGCATCTCAGTGACATTTGTCACAGCCTGGGCAGACTACAAATGTGCGTTTTCGCTGCTGCCATTGTTGTATAGATGCTGTACCGGGACAACTATGAGAAGGGCAAGGCTGCTGGCTATCGACTGCCCCACGATGCAGTTGGGTTCCGTACTGCCCTGCACGTAGGCCTCCTGCAGAACCAGGCAAGGCCATGTGGCAACGGTGTGGTGGATGCATGTGGACGCAGTGTCATAGTGAGGTGGTATGGTGGTTACACTGTGTTGTTGGTATGGTGGGTGGTGTGATTCGTATGGTGGTGAGTGGTGTGCTGCTTACCTGTTTTGGTTGATATGGTTGTGTGTGATGTTGGTGGAATGGTGGCAAGTGGCCTCGAGGTCATGCTGAGTGATTGTGATGGCGTCTGCGTTGTGTGTGGTTATTACAGCGACTCTACCGTGTGGCCTATGAGAACGGAAAAGCGAACATCCACCTGGGCAAGGACCTACCTGAGATCACACACGTGCGCGCCGTACAGAAAGCCATCAGCCGTGTGAGTGAACCAGTGGCAAGGGGCAACCTCGCCTCCTTATCTCTCTACTACCATGGTTTCTGTTCCTGTGAACTTCACTCGTTGATTCCTCCACCCTCGTTGAGGACTCGACAATGTTTAACCACCACACTGCAGGTCAAACACTTTTCTTTCTGCTTCTTCCCTCACACTGCTTCTCTAGGACTATGCCTATATCTTGAAGAGTCTTGTACATGCTTGGGAGAGTGAGGGAGACTGTGGTGTGTCCCTGTGTCTCATAGCCAGATCGTACCTATGTCTCGCTGGATTGTATCTCTGTCTCACAGCTGGATTGCATCTGTGTCTCACAGCTGGGTTGTATCTGTGTCTCACAGCTGGATTGTATCTGTGTCTCACAGCTGGATTGTATCTCTGTTTCACAGCTGGATTGTATCTGTGTCTCACAGCTGGATTGTATCTCTGTCTCACAGCTGGATTGTATCTCTGTCTCACAGCTGGATTGTATCTGTGTCTCACAGCTGGATTGTATCTGTGTCTCATAGCTGGATTGTATCTGTGTCTCACAGCTGGATTGTATCTGTGTCTCACAGCTGGATTGTATCTGTGTCTCACAGCTGGATTGTATCTGTGTCTCACAGCTGGATTGTATCTGTATCTCACAGCTGGACTGTATCTGTGTCTCACAGCTGGATTGTATCTGTGTCTCACAGCTGGATTGTATCTGTGTCTCACAGCTGGATTGTATCTGTGTCTCACAGGTGGATGTATCTGTGTCTCACAGCTGGATTATATCTGTGTCTCACAGCTGGACTGTATCCGTGTCTCACAGCTGGATTGTATCCGTGTCTCACAGCTGGATTGTATCCGTGTCTCACAGCTGGATTGTATCTGTGTCTCACAGCTGGATTGTATCTGTGTCTCACAGCTGGATTGTATCTGTGTCTCACAGCTGGATTGTATCCATGTCTCACAGCTGGACTGTATCCGTGTCTCACAGCTGGACTGTATCCGTGTCCCACAGCTGGATTGTATCCATGTCTCACAGCTGGATTGTATCTGTGTCTCACAGCTGGATTGTATCTGTATCTCACAGCTGGATTGTATCTGTGTCTCACAGCTGGATTGTATCTGTATCTCACAGCTGAATTGTATCTGTGTCTCACAGCTGGACTGTATCTGTGTCTCACAGCTGGATTGTATCTGTGTCTCACAGCTGGATTGTATCTGTGTCTCACAGCTGGGTTGTATCTGTGTCTCACAGGTGGATTGTATCTGTGTCTCACAGCTGGATTGTATCTGTGTCTCACAGCTGGGTTGTATCTGTGTCTCACAGGTGGATTGTATCTGTGTCTCACAGCTGGATTGTATCTGTGTCTCACAGCTGGATTGTATCTGTGTCTCACAGCTGGATTGTATCTGTGTCTCACAGCTGGATTGTATCCGTGTCTCACAGCTGGATTGTATCTGTGTCTCACAGCTGGATTGTATCTGTGTCTCACAGCTGGATTGTATCTGTGTCTCACAGGTGGATGTATCTGTGTCTCACAGCTGGATTGTATCTGTGTCTCACAGCTGGATTGTATCTGTGTCTCACAGCTGGATTGTATCTGTGTCTCACAGCTGGATTGTATCCGTGTCTCACAGCTGGATTATATCCGTGTCTCACAGCTGGATTGTATCCGTGCCTCACAGCTGGATTGTATCCATGTCTCACAGCTGGATTGTATCCGTGTCTCACAGCTGGATTGTATCTGTGTATCACAGCTGGATTGTATCCGTGTCTCACAGCTGGATTGTATCCGTGTCTCACAGCTGGATTATATCCGTGTCTCACAGCTGGATTGTATCTGTGTCTCACAGCTGGATTGTATCCGTGTCTCACAGCTGGATTGTATCCGTGTCTCACAGCTGGATTGTATCCGTGTCTCACAGCTGGATTGTATCCGTGTCTCACAGCTGGATTATATCCGTGTCTCACAGCTGGATTGTATCTGTGTCTCACAGCTGGATTGTATCCGTGTCTCACAACTGGATTGTATCCGTGTCTCACAGCTGGATTGTATCTGTGTCTCACAGCTGGATTGTATCCGTGTCTCACAGCTGGATTGTATCTGTGTCTCACAGCTGGATTGTATCCGTGTCTCACAGCTGGATTGTATCCGTGTCTCACAGCTGGATTATATCCGTGTCTCACAGCTGGATTGTATCTGTGTCTCACAGCTGGATTGTATCCGTGTCTCACAACTGGATTGTATCCGTGTCTCACAGCTGGATTGTATCTGTGTCTCACAGCTGGATTGTATCTGTGTCTCACAGCTGGATTGTATCTGTGTCTCACAGCTGGATTGTATCCGTGTCTCACAGCTGGATTGTATCCGTGTCTCACAGCTGGATTATATCCGTGTCTCACAGCTGGATTGTATCTGTGTCTCACAGCTGGATTGTATCCGTGTCTCACAGCTGGACTACCGCGCTGCCTATGAGCTAACCAGGGGCCGACCGATGACCCTGGCTTGGACCCCTGAGCTGCTGCACTGCCGCGTAGTGGGAGAGCAGCTCAGTGACGTGAGTGAGGCTCTGCCATATGCAGGAACACTCACGTACACAGTTCCTGACGTACACAAGTCTGTGCGCGTGTGTCTAGGTATGGATGTATGCATACATGTGTGTTCCGTGTGCCCGTGTGATTCTAGGTGAAGTATAAGGAAGACCTGCATTGGATGCAGGGGACTGGGTGCTACCTCTTCAACAGCCCTGCTTTCACGCTGGCTCGCGAAGCCAAGCGCTATGGGGTATATCGCTGGCAGAAAACGTCTCCCCAATGCCTCCTGTGTGACTGCTATTTATGAAAAATAATGGCAGCAATAGCTCACGTAGGCTATTGATATGTGAACATCAAGTTACCTGTATTCTCGTGCGTGTGTACTTATTCGGGTTTTTCTGTGTGTGTGTGTGTGTGTGCACGTGCTCATGTGAACATATCAGAGCGCCTACACAAAGGGCGCGAAGGTGCTGCTGGGCAATCCCAAGGTGGTGCTGGACACCCCGGAGTATCTGCGTCTCCAGCAGAACAAGCAGCACACGAGCGACGTAAGAATTCCCATTCATCAACTTGGCACAGCAGTCTCCTCTTAGCTGTCATGGAACAGCTGTGTTACTCATCTGACTAAGGAGGCATCGCAGAAGCTTGGTTTTCTCTTTCGTGACAAAGCCTCTTGAACTCCAATTATTACTGCTGCTGCTAAACAAAGCGAAAATTCGGCCGAATCTGGAGCTCAGCTTCTGCCACACCTGGGGTGGAGCACCCAGTTCCTGCCCCGCTACACTCGGACAGAGTTCAGAGTGAAGCAGCAGTCAGGGTGATTGACGATCCAGCACTCGTCGATTCACTCCAGTCACTCGGTCACCAGTGATCATTCACCTCCTTATCACTCTTCTATTACTACTACCATGGATACTGTTCCTATTAACTTCACTCATCGATTCCTGCTCCCATGTTGAGGACTCGTTCTACCAGACTGGCTCATCTCATCTACCCTGTACCACTTTTTGGGGAAGTAAACTGTGATTGGTCTCTGGGTAGACTCGGCCCCACCAAAGAATTGTCTGAATTCCACCCCTGGCACTGCAGGGCTGTAAACAGGAGATGAGCACCGCCTCATTTCTCTTCTGAGCAGCAGGCGACCACTTTCACTCTGAGTCACACAGGCTCACTCGCTCAACTCGGCGCCACTCTGTGCCCTCCAGCTGGTCTACCGTGCAACGGGCAACGTCCTCAAGTCCCGCTACACGCCCGTGCTGGACACCCCCGTGCTGCTCCGCGCCAAGTACGCCCAGGAGCTGCAGAGTCAGGTGCTGCACCCTCCTCTACCACAAAAATGCCCCGTATAACCTCTAACAGACTGTTGAGACAAGTGCTGTTAGTGAGCGCCTATGAAGTTCGGCATGGCACACGTGGGGGTGGGTGGCCAGCACCACGGTCAGTCACCTTTGTCTCCGCGGTGCCAATGTTTACACGCCACGCCAGGTACTCATATAAAGGCTTAGCTGACCTAGGAGAGGCCCAGGACTGGTTCAAATACTCGCCACTGTTTTGGGCGTAAGCGGGAATCAAACTCGGGTTGCTCAGTTTGGAGTGAAGTGTGCTAACCACTGAGCTACCGCTCCGCAGGCTATGTGATAGACAAATACAAAGATCCCCATTTAGCCTGAACAGACTGTTGGGGCAAGTGGTGTTAGCGAGCACCTATGAAGGCCGGTATGGTACACGAGGGGGTGGGTGGCCAACACCACGCCCGACCGCCTTTGTCTCCCTAGTGGCTATGTTTTACACATCCGCCATTCCCCACTAAGTGGCGGTGATGTCACCACGACGCTTGTGCCAGGCCATGTGCACATTCACACACGCGCAGGCTCACCGCCCTCGCTTTGCTCGCCGTGCTGACTGCCGTGCGTGCGTGTGCCGCGTTCAGTCCCTGTACACGGACGACGCCAAGAGGAATGTGCTGCACTCCTACAAGATGCACGCTGACACTCCTGCCCTGCTGCACGCCAAGGCCGCCAGTCAGCTCATCAATGGCGTGCGTACCCTGCCCACCGCTACCCACGCCTCTCACACTTTGCGATATCACTGGACAAGCAATGGATATAGATATGTGTATTGGTGATACTAATGGTGCGGGAGATGATGGTAATGGTGGTGGCTGTGGATTTGATGGTGCTAATGGTGGTGCTTGTAATGGTGTTGGTGCTGGTAGTGATTTGTATGGTGGTTGTGGTGGCCTTGATGATGGTTGTGGTTTTGGTGGTGGTGCAGTGGTGCGATGTTTCCCATCTATCCCGTGAAGCCTATGCTGGGCACAGCTGTTGAGCTGTATATGCTGTGATAGGGGCATAGTCAGGCTAAGTGCGGTTGTGGCAGTGCGGTAGTCATATCAACCTGTTTTGTGCTCTGCCGTGTGCAGCGACGCTACCGTGCTGAGTACGAGCAGCTGAAGCAGAAGTTTGTGTCGCGACTGGACTCGCCCGCGATCCTCACCGCCAAGCGAGCACACCACCTGGCCAGCGACGTAATGCCCCACACACAACACCACATAGAGCAGAGCCAGCTACACGTGAAGACCAGTCACAACATCCCCTGGTTGGCCATCTGGCAACGGAAAATGAAATGATTTATGCATAGCATCTCCCTTCACCAACGCCAGTCACAGCACCAGCAAACCAGAAGATGCAGATACTCTTCGTCCCGACTGCCCCTCCAGCTCACTCCACTGATGAGGGATCACCAGAGGTCGCCTGGCTCTGTTTAAAGACCTCAAGTGCTCGAGATTTTGTATTTGCGGCCCCTGACGGAGATTTAGGGCCTGTCCGTGGAGAGTTTTAAATCTTACACTCAAGACCCGCCTTTTAAACATTTCCCTTTCGGAATTTGAATTCATGTTGGCTCAGCGGATATATTTGAAAACGTATCAGATAATTTTTATGTACACAAATGGTTAGTTAGATACATTGTCAATTACACTTTTTAGGAATTAATATTTATTTATTAATAAAACTGAACACAACGCCATCGCACAATGCAGATTGTCTCTGGGCCTACCGTGCGTGCGTGCGTGCGCGTGGGGCACGTGTGCTTGTGTCTGCAGCTGCGCTACAAGGAAGCGTTCGAGAAGGACAAGGGACGCTACAACATGCGGGAAGACGCGTGCGAACTGCGCCACCACCGGCTCGTAACCGACCGTATCAGCGACGTAAGTCCTCACCCGTTACCTCACCCTTTCCCTCTCCCTCACCCTTTCCCTCTCCCTCGCCCGTTCCTTTTCCCTCGCCCCTTCCCTCGCCCTTCCCCTCGTATATTCCCACGCCCCTTCCCACACTCATTCCCTCGTCCGGCCCAAGCTCACACCGCCAGTCCGTTCCGCTGTGCCGGTGCGAGCAGGTGAAATACAAGGAGAATTACGTCCAGGGAGGAGGCATATGGAGCCACCTGCCCTTCCTACCGGAGCTGATACACCATAAGGACGTCACCGAAGCCATCAGCGACGTCAGTACCCGTGTTAATAACCGGAGCCGCTAGTGTGGCACACATGCACCTGTGCACACAGCCCTCGTCCACCCCACTACCCAGCACCTGCCTGCCAAAAAAGGGCATTGTTCCACACACACAGATCACCACGTACCCAATCACTACACCCACACACTGTGCACCACACACCAGTACTGAAATGTAGCCACATGTTGGACTATGATTCCATTGCCCCGCCGCGTGATTTGCGCGTGTTGACAGGAGCGGTGAGGTGAGTCGGTTGCTGTTGTATGGTGGTGGTGTGCACAGGTGAGGTACAAGGAGGATGTTGGGTACCTGCGCGGCATCGGCTGCAACATGTGGGGCAACCCGGACATGGTGATGGCGAAGAGGAACCAGCAGCTCTATAGCGCCGTGAGTCACTGCTACAGGAAGTCTACCAGAGCACACACTCCACAGTTCTTGTGGTACAGCACACACGCCATTATTCATTGTGAGCGAGGCTGAAAAGCCAATTTGAGTTACGATCCCATGCCCATGTTCAGAGGTTTTAGCTTATTTAACCAGAATACTTTATTTATGGTACATAAGTAAAACATCCAAGTTATTCCGCCATAGAATTGTGAAATTTCCACTGCTGGTGGCTCAGGCCTATAAATAGAGCTTCGCCTCAATGCCCATTTGAGCAGAAAATCATTTTGTGCCATTCAAGCGCAAACCATGGGATCACTGGCGCTGTGCCCGGTGCGTAGGCCGTCTACCACAAGGATTGGGACCTCGACCGCGGCAAGTTCTCCTTCACGGCCGATACGCCTGTACTCCAGACTGCCAAGATGGCCGCCGTGCTCATCAGCCAGGTGCGTAGGGTCCGCCTGCCGGCCGGCCTCTTGCTAGCTGCACCGATTCTAGCCTTCGTCCTCGTACTGAACGCCGAACGGTGACGTCTGTGCACTTGTGCGCGCGTGTGTGTGAATGCTTGCAGCTGAAGTACAAGGCGAAGTATGAAAAGATGAAGAGCAAGTTCACGCCCGTGCTGGAGGAGCCCAGGAATTTGCACGCCAAGGCTATGCAAGTGCAGCAGAGCCCGGTATGTCGGCCTCATGTCGCGAGATGATTACCCCGGCGTTTTAATGCTGCAAAATAAATTGGCAGACAATATGCCTGCTTCCCATTGCTGTATCTACACTTAAAAAAAGTATTTATATTTACTCATCCCATCGACAACATAGCCTTCTGGAAGTGATTTTGTTCAGCAGAATTGGTTTGGTACAATACACGAAAACTGTGGACTGGATTCAACACTCAGTGTTACGCTGCAGGTGGCTCTTGGCGTCCTGTTGGAATGTGTCTCTTTGTCATTGTGTCCAGTGGATGTACAAGAAAGACTTTGAGAAGATGAAGACTAAGTTCACTCTCCTGGTTGACATGCCATCCATCAAGCAAGCTAAGGCAGCCGCCAAGCTGATCAGCGACGTGAGCACTGCACACACACTGCTCGCCCCCTCGCGCGTCGCCCCCTCGCGCGTCGCCCCCTTGCGCGTCGCCCAATCGCGCGCCATCCCCTCGCGATCCGCCCTTGTCAAGATGTGCGACTAATGATGGCCCGTGCTGCGTGGTCCTAGATCGTCTACAAGGAAAAGCACAACAAGACAAAGCACATCGGCTTCACGCCCGTTCAAGACTCGCCCTTCCTCCGCCACGTGAAGAAAGCCGACGCTCACACCAGCTATGTGAGTATGCCACGAGCACTAAACTCTTCCCACCTCCTCTGAGCAGCCACATGACACCATCCGCGCGAAGCGCTGCTGTGCGGCGGGTTTAACGCGAGACGTCCGCCCACCCCCCCCCCCCCCCCGCAGTGGAAGTACCGGGACGAGTACGACCGCAAGAAGGACGCGTGCACTCTGCCCCCCGACGCCGTGCCGCTGTGCACCGCCAAGCAGGCCTACGCCATCAGTCTGGACGTGAGCTGCACTGGCTGCCATGGCCACATCATATTTTAATTAAGTGTGGTGGTTAATTTGTTAAGGTAGTCAACGTTGGGAAACCTGTGATAATGGGAATTATTATTCTACTTGTTTACCAAGGAAAGCCTCACCGAGTCTCAAGATTCAATCTTGATTTGAAGCTTTCGTGACTGCAGGAATTCATACTCTTTGGTTCTTTCGGTAAAGTCACGTAGGTAGAAAAATAACTGAGAGATCAGGACGTTTCGATCGCAACACAAGCAATCGTCTTCAGGTGAAAAAATACAGCAGGCAGACTGCTGAGGCAGGAGGAAATGTAGCGAGAGAGCTACTGCAACCAAATGTTACGTAGGTTTGTGCTGGGTACAACCCAAGGGTAGGTGGGCGGGGCTAAGGATGGAATTTGCAAGTAAATGTAAGATCGTAGAGCTAGCTTGCCGTAACGGGCGAGAGGGTGGGGGTGTAATTTACAGATGGAACAAGGTGATAGAGAGAAAAAAGATCAAACTTAGCAGACTTAGAAATGTAATGCAACTCAGAGAGTCGGCCAACACAACAGTTAACACTATACCTGGTTCCTCCCCCTCCCCTCCCTCCCCCCTTCGGATTCGCCGAGGCATGCTAGCTCTGCGATCTTACATTTACTTGCAAATTCCATCCCTAGCCCCGCCCACTTACCCTTGGGTTGTACCCAGCACAAACCTATATAACCTTTGGTTGCAGTAGCTCTCTCGCTACATTTCTTCCTGCCTCAGCAGTCCGCCTGCTGTATTGTTTCACCTGAAGACGATTGCTTGTGTTGCGATCGAAACGTCGTGATCTATGAGTTATTTTTCTATCTATGTGACTTTACCGAAAGAACCAAAGAGTATGAGTCTCAAGATTCTTTTTTGGAGGGTCCTGCTGAGTTTTCGCAGTGGTAGGTGACGATTTCTACGTGTTTCCCAATTATGTAATTTGCGAGTATTTTTTAAAATGGCACACAATGGCCTACTCTTATTTGAATGTCACGGGATATTTTACTTCAACTGTGAAGCACAGCGCATATAATGTTACGGTTAATACACCTGCAGTATTAACCAGGGTGGCCTGCCAAAATCGAACCACAAACCCTCTGGTCCATGTCACCACCCACTTATTAATCACGTGGTGGCATGATTGTTGATGGTGCGGTGGCGGTGGATATAATTTGACCTTGGCATGAACCTATCTCGTTGAATGCTACGAGTTCAGCTTTGAGACTTATTTCACGAGTGCGTTGAACGGTGCAATGATGGCGATGATGTGGTTGTTGCAGCGGCCGTACCGAGCTCAGTATGAGAAGACGAAGGCTCGGTGGGTGGAGGTCCCCGACCGCCCAGACATGGTGTCTGCGATGCGCGCGACCGTGCAGCTGAGTGATGTGCGTGTTCCGCCCTCACCCCGCGCACTCCTCCATTCCCATCCCCGGCCACAAGAGCGCACGTGAAATCCCACGATCCCTTGTGTCCCCTGTCTCCTTATTACACCCTGCACATTGACAAGGTACACTGCACGCACATTGTAAACGCTCCACACGCAGAGGGTGCTGAGTGCCTCTCGAGGTGACCACAGCAGGCATCACCACCATGTGCCAAGCGCCCTGTGAAAGGCATGCACATTGGCCTCAATGTGTTCCATTGTTCTGCCACTTCTGACGCAGCGATCTTTACGCAAAGCTACATTTCTGCAAGGTCTGTTACGGATGTTGCACCTGTGCACACGTGCCTGTCCACACACGTGTGTGTGCGTGTGTGCGTGTGTCCGTGTGTGTGTGGCTTAGGCGGAGTACCGGCAGGACCGGGAGATGCTCAAAGGCTGCAAGTTCTCTGTGACCAATGACAAGCTGATGGTTTTGGCTAAGCAGGGCCAAGACCTGGCCAGCGGTGTACGTCCACGCAGACACGTGTCCACGGGAATATGCGGATGCACGTACCCATTGCTTGTGGGCAAGGCTGCGGTTGTGTGTTTACACGGGTATGTGTCTGGTGTGTGTACGCTTGTATGCCTTTATGTGTGTACGGATGTGCAGATTAAATACCACGAGCAGTTCCAGCAGATGAAGGACAAATTCACGCCAGTGACAGACAGCCCCGTGCTCAACAACGTCAAGAACGCCAGCAGCCTCGCCTCCGAGGTGACGGTTGATCGATGATCTTCTGTTGTGTGGCCTCACGAGCATGGACGTCTCAATGTGGGAATCTCCAACTCGTGCTGCCAGTCTTAGCTGATTTAAATATGTTATTAAAACTCGCTTACTCAAACGCCTGCAACCGCCACAGTGAAAGTTAATTCTTTCATGAACCGGCCATGTGTGCCATTTAGTTCTGTATTTACGTGTGTGTTTTACTGGGTGAGATATTCACTGTATAAACTAGGTTATACATGTACAATGTTTGTATAAGTGTCATCACGAGTTTTCTTTGTGTCAATTAACATCCTGAACAAAATTTCAAACGAGATGTTCCATCTCAAGGGATCATCCAGGTGAAATACTTTAATATTTGAATGAATGGCTATTTATGTCTCGTACAACTCTGTAGCTTGCATTGATGTGAGAGATGTAAGTGGGAACGTCTGCCGCTGAGAGAGACGGTGACAATAGTCACTCTCGTACGTGACCGGGCCGAGCAGGTCAAGTACAAGGAAGCGGGAAAGAAGGTGCTGCCCAAGCCGGCATTCTCCAAGATCCCTCAGACCCCGCAGACGGCCCTCGTCAAGAAGCTCTCCAAGCTGCAGAGTGGGGTTCGTTGTTCCCACACACACACACACATGTGCATACACACACTCGCACACATACACACACATGCACAAAGACAGAGATCCCCCGTATAGCCTTTAAAGACTGTTTGGGCAAGTGCTGTTAGCGAAACACCTATGAAGGCTGGCACGGCACACGAGGGGGTGGGTGGCCGGCACCACACCTGACCGCCTTTGTCTCCCAAGTGGCGATGTTTACACATTGCACCAGGTACTCATCTGAGCCTGAGTCGACCTAGGGGAAGCCCGTAACCAGTTCAGATAATTGTCACTGGTGTTAGTCGTGAGCGGGAATTGAACTCAGGTTACCGGGTTCGTAGCGCAGCGTGCTAACCGCGACACTATGGCTCCCCATACATAAAGACAAAGATGCCCATTATAGCCTAAACAGACTGTTGGGGCAAGTGTTGTTAGCAAGCACCTATGAAGGCCGGCACAGCACACGAGGGGGTGGGTGGCCAGGACTACGCCCGGCCGCCTTTGTCTCCCTAGTGGCGATATTTATACACCTCACCAGGCACTCATTTGAGGTTGAGTCGACCTAGGGGAAGTCCAGGACTGTTTCAGATAATCATCACTGTTGTCGGCCGTGAGCGGGAATCGAACTCGGGCCGCCGGCTTTGTAGTGTACCATGCTAACCGCCACACTATCGCTCCCCATACACGCACGCACAGACACACATGCACACGCACGTGCACACACACACATATGTATGTAAAGATAACATACTAATCGATCAAATGCTGTTAGTGAGCACCTATGAAGGCCAGCACGGCACTCAAAAGAGGGCGGTGTACCCAGCACAACATCTGGCTGATTTAGTCTCCCCAGTGGTAATGTTTACAACCACGCCAGGTATTCTTTTAAGGCTGAGGCGACCTAAGTGATAACCAGGTCTGGTATGGATAGTGAGCGCTCATGTTGACCGTGCGCACTCTGGCCACCGGGTTCATAGCGCAGTGCGCTAACCACTGCACTACCACTCCCCACGCACACGTACACGCACGCACAGACACGCACACATATCGCACGGTCTCACCATGAACACCTCGCGCGGCCACATAGCGCAGGCCCATAGCACAGGCACACCGTTCACATGTGAAGGCAGCTTCGGGAGTGGCCACCCTGGCATGCACTGCTGTCTGCAGAAGTGCTACCGGCAGCAGCACGATCAGGAAAGAGGGAAATCCGATTACGCCAGCATGGAGCACCCGCCGGACGTGCAGCACGCCATGGACGTGAACAAGAAGCAGAGCTCGGTGAGTCGCTCACCGCAGCCCCCCACAGCCTCGCCCGTACGCCCCCACGCCCCCCCCCCCGCTGCTACGCACCTGACTTACTCGCACACCTGCGCAGGCCCCGCTACGCACACGTGATTCACCCACGTGAGCCTTAACAACACCACCCCACAGGCATCGCACACGAGTCCCACCGTGAGTGTGGCCAATGTGGGCAAGGACTCCGGCTTGTTCTGGCCGCCGTGAAGGCAGCTGTACGAAGGTGCAGCCCGTGGCCCCGATTTGATGCATGAGCACCCCACTCGCAGCCTTTAAATTTCAACCCCTGCCAAAAACGAGACTAAAAGGTCAAGGTGCAGCCCTGCAATTGCTTGCTCACCGAAATACTGGCGGATGGGCCTACACGAGAGTGACCTCTAGTGTGTATTGGGTCTACTCTTTCACATTACAGCAAAACACACTTACTGTGTACTTAATGTTGATCATGCTCTATACGCTGTGCTGCCCATGTGCTGACTATGCCTTGTGCTGCCTGTAGGTGGCTTATAAGAAGGCTGCCAGGGCCAGTCTCAACTACACGCAAGTGGCCGATCGTCCCGATATCCTCAAGGCCCAGCAGGCTGCCAAGCTCATTAGCAATGTGGGTCCCCTCTCCTACGCACAACGAACACCCCACTTGGAGACAGCCCAGTTCACAGTTCTAACAGGGACATTATGTAAACCAGTGTGTGCACCACAGACATGCTGTAAATAACAGGTGTTGTTTAAATTACAGGGTGTGAACCAGTGTAAACCACACGGTATAAATCAGTGTGTTAACCACAGAGTGTAAATCACTGAGATTGTAAATCAGTGTCAGTCACAGAGACCACAGATTTTAAACCAACAAAAAATAACTATTATTTGGGCCTTTTGGTAAAGCCACGTAGATAGATCAAATAATAAAAAGTAATAAAAATAATAACAATATCACGACGTTTCGATCGTAACACAAATATCGCGGGAGAGCTGCTGAGAATATATTACTTTTCTCATTTTTCTATCTACGTGGCTTTACCAAAAGACCCCAAAAATATGAATTCCTGCAGTCACAAAAGCTTTAAGTAAAAAAAATAACTAATTGATTACAAATATTACTGAATTATAGAAATACAGTATTATTACAAGTGTAGTGGTGTTATTTCACAGGACAACTTCTTCTTTCCTCCCGTGTCCCCCTTTATTCGTAAAGAAATCCTCGCGTTAAATACCACGCGTCTCCGTCGCAACTCCTCCTCTTGTACTGCTCATCTGCTACGCTATGTTTGCTCTCTCTCGCTCCGCTAACCTGCTACGTTGCCCTCTGCCAGCTTCTCCACTGCCAGCCTCTCACTATACACTCCGCGAGCTTCTCCACTGCTAGCCTTAGCACACTCACACTTAGGATTCCGCTAGCCTCTCCACTGCTAGCCCGTCTACCCTCACTCCTCCAACCTCGCCCGTGCCTCCAGAGGGGGATCAGCCAACACCGCTGGAAAGGACGAGGTGTGGACAGCGAGGTCCCGGACTTGAATTCACTCTTGTCTTCACTCCAATCAACTCAACGCCTCTACCTCACACGTTCCCCTTTTATCCCCCTCCTCATTAAGTGCCCCCAGATGGCCCTCGTTAAGCCGGCGTCTTCCCGACGCCTCACGCACATGTTCTCCCCCACGTGTTCTCCCCCACGTGTTCTCCCCCACGTGTCCTCCCCCACGTGTCCTCCCCCACGTGTCCTCCCCCACGTGTCCTCCCCCACGTGTCCTCCCCCACGTGTCCTCCCCCACGTGTCCTCCCCCACGTGTTCTCCCCCACGTGTTCTCCCCCACGTGTTCTCCCCCACGTGTTCTCCCCCACGTGTTCTCCCCACGTGTTCTCCCCCACGTGTTCTCCCCCACGTGTTCTCCCCCACGTGTTCTCCCCCACGTGTTCTCCCCACGTGTCCTCCCCCACGTGTTCTCCCCCACGTGTTCTCCCCCACGTGTTCTCCCCACGTGTTCTCCCCCACGTGTTCTCCCCCACGTGTCCTCCCCCACGTGTTCTCCCCCACGTGTCCTCCCCCACGTGTCCTCCCCCACGTGTTCTCCCCCACGTGTTCTCCCCCACGTGTTCTCCCCCACGTGTCCTCCCCCACGTGTTCTCCCCCACGTGTTCTCCCCCACGTGTCCTCCCCCACGTGTTCTCCCCCACGTGTTCTCCCCCTTATCGCCATGATCTCTCGCCTCCGTGGGGCCTACTCCGCGTTTGCATTTGCAGCCAGCCAATCACTGCCTCTTTCCCTAATTTCTGGCGTCTCTCTGTCTGCTGTCAACCCAGGCCACCCGCCTGCACCTGCTTATCCTTAGCTGACCCCACTGTCTGCAACCCCGTACATAATGTAACTGCTGTTTGCAAACCCTGTGCGCGTTACGCCACTACACAAGTGTGAAGCACACCATAGAGTGCATAGCGTGCAGCACACAGTGTAAACCGCATTGTGCAACCCACACACGAGCGAGGTTGAGTGAGCGTAGGAGTCTGGGCGAGAGCGTTGAATGATGGTCGGTGACGTGAGTAGGATATGAGCAGGAGTGTGATGCCATCGCTACAGATCGAATACCGGGCCAAGGCCAAGGAAGAGGCCGCGGGGTTGATCACCGGGATGGCAACTCGGCCAGACATCGACCACGCCACAGGGGTGTCTCACCTGGTGTCGCAGGTACGTCCGCACGCATCTTACTTAGTCACGCACCATCATGGTGCTCTCCAGTTGTGTCTGACGCGCTCACCCTGCAGTTGTGGCGACCCAGGGCGCCCTTGCAAAAGAGGTGATGCTGCCTAATGCGTCTCAACTAGGGCTAATTTCATCTCCTGGTTAAATAAAGGATACTACAGCTACGACCATCGCCGACGTGTCCAGGGTGCTCGCTGAATTCCAGGCACCCCAACACACGTGCCGGGTGTCCTGAAAGCCCTTCTAGGATGCGGTCGTGGGCCCTTCGTGATGTTGGCGGCGCTTCCGACAGGTGGAGTACACGAAGCAGAAGCCTCGCGGCCACGGCGCCGCCTCCTACGACACGCCACTCATGCGCCAACTCAAGAAGGCCAGCAACCTTATCAGCCACGTGAGCCTTCGCAACACTACACCACGGGCATCGCACACGTGTCCCACCGTGAGTGTGGCCAACGTGGGCAAGAGCTCCGGCTTGGTCTGGCCGCCGTGAAGGCGGCTGTATGAAGGTGCAGCTCGTGGCCCCGATTTGACGCATGAGCACCCTACTCACAGTCTTTCAATTGCACCCCCCCCCCTACCAACAACCCCAGTAAAAGGTCACGATGCAGCCCTACAATTGCTTCCTCAACCCCTTTACTGGTGGATGGGCCTCTACTAGTGAGCTTTAGTGGATTTTGATCTACTCTTCCACATTGACCAAACTAGTGATGGTGCCACGGTGGCAAGATGTTAACTACCTCGCCCAGTATACAGGTAGTGGGTTTGATCCCGACCCTGATGCTTATATATTTGGAGTTTGCATGTTCTCCCCGTGGTCGCGTGGACTTTTCTCCAGGTCCTCTGGTTTTTTTCCCCCAATTTTCGAAACATGTCTTTAGAGTATTTGGCTCCAATACATTTCCATATAAGCCACGCCTTTTGGCATCCTCTGGTCTAACACCGTTTTGAGACTAGGCTCAAAAGAAAGCTGTCTCTGGTGTGGACCAATCAGTTTCAAAGACAATGCATATATTATCAGAGTATGTTTTTTTGCATTCTGACCACAAGTATTGTGGTTAATGCAGACATGATTCCTTGTAAAAGGTTTCAGGTTGGTGTTTTAACATTTTAACATCTGTTTTGTTGCCAGAAAAAAGGGGAAAACCTATTCTCATAAGCCACTTCGTTGAGCTGTCATTGTGGCAAGGTCACGTCTGAAAAAGAGCTATATAGCTCAGTGGGCCTCACCTGGTATGAGGTGAAAATAAATTGGAAGAGGTGGACGTAAGCACTCTCTACTCCCCGCACGCGACCCGCCGATCAACTCATTGTGGTCCACCCATTTGTACCGCTGGGCGAACAGAGGTTGTGGGAGAATTTGAGACACTTGCACCGTCGTTTCAACTGACACGACGGAAGATGAAATTATTTTTGATTAACCACGTGACTGGAACACCAGTCACGTGGTTAATGGCGACTCGGTTGAGGATTGCTGTGTGCGTGACACACGTGCTGTTGCATTTTACAGATTTAGCACAATAAATGTGTTTGCTCTCGATTTGGAGCACCTGTCCACGTCCTTCATTTCGAGTATGCAGCATATAAATCTTGGGACTCATTGGGGCTTTTCTGAGTAACTAAATGAAATACAATTTACACTCCCCAAATTTACCTGCCAGGGAAGTCTATACTTGGCCATTGCTTCACGAGGCTATTAAACTTGACCATGTTATCCCCGGTGTGATGTCCATGCATGCACAGACAAAGTACAAGGAAAAGTTTGACAAGGAGGTGAAGGGGAAGAAGCCACACTTTAAGGCAGACGAGTCGACCACCTACAAAGCGAACAAGCAAGCGACTGCCCTGGCGAGCGAGGTGAGAAGCATTATTCTTGCAACCACTGACAATCCTGAACTCTCCTTCCACATCGCAGGGTACTTCGTGATAAGAGTCGCGAGCCAGACAGGAGATGGTAAGATCATGCAGAGAAATGTGGGCAGTTTCTACAAAGCTGCGTATTGTATACGACGCTAACAATTATTTCGAATTATGTATTACAATATAATATTGCGTTGAACTAGGAACCCATAGCGTAAAGAGATGTTACTATAATATCGATAGTTCACCATCATTCATTCAAGCAAGCCTCACTGCTGATAAGACACTACATGTCAGAATTATTCTAGAGTTTGCTTGTATTGTTGAGCTAATGCTGCTGAAAAAAAACCGCTTCCAGAAATGCCGTGCGGCTGATAAGATGTGTAAAAAAACCTTTTATTTTTAAGCACCGTGACAAATATGGGAAGACATAATGTCTGCTTATTATATACTCCACAATTCCTTAATACATTATTCTTTTGTACAATGTTATATTAGGGGAGTATACTCTTTCCCCCTTGGGAGAGAAGTCCCTTGCTATGTTCCTGCTTGTGCCACTGGCTGGTGCCAACCTTGCTTGCCCAGTCGCCCGTGCGCAGGGCACACGAGACCGTCTCTGGAGGCCACGCCAGTCGAAAATACACGTGTGCGTTGTGTGCCGCTCACCTGCTGTCTAGCACTCCACTTGCTATTGGTAGCAGTGGCATACTGGCGTAAGGCAAGGTTCACGTTTCAGGCAGGTTGGACAAATTTGTGGTGAGTTAGGATTATTCCTTTCTTACTGAGAGTTACAGCTAGGCTTCAGGATACAATGCATGGCCGTATTTTTAGGTATGTATGTTGATCTTCATTCGCACCGTACGCAGCCAACCATGTTAATCGGAGGTGCGGGGGAAGGACAATAAACTCAACACAAAATCAGTTTTAAAGAAATGAGTTTTTAATCTAGATTTTAAAAATTAATAGCTACAGTGGCTTCCTAACATGAGAAGGAAGAGCATTCCAGATGGCCACAGAAGCGCATCTGAAAGCGCACGATGCAGTGATCATCTTTATTCGATGGTTATTCAAAAGCCGCTGCGACGATGACCAGAGTTCGCGTGATGGTTTGGGTGTGCACACAGGTTGAACGCACACACGCGTGACGGTTGAGGTTGGGGGTTAGAGTTGTGTTTCAGAGTTAGAACCGGGCTGTACGTCGGGATGCCCTGCCAGCCTCATGCCACCGGTGTTGCCGTGCGCCTGCAGGTGAAGTACAAGGAGGACCTGAAGAAGATGCACACTCCCGGTGTGGGTCTGGCCTCCTCGCTGCTCATGCAGCACATCACCTCCACGAGCAAACTCAGCAGTGAGGTGGGCACTCCCTTCTCCAGGGGAGCATCCGGAGAAAATCGCCACCACGCCGTTGGCACTGCACTGAAAACACAGTAACACTGTGGCCTTAAAAGTAGAAATATCTATTTATGCTGTAATGGGTAATGCTATGGAAAGTTGACCTTTGTAGAAAATAGAGAGGTGAGGGAGACTGAGCGACAACAGTAGGAGACCAATCAGTTTCAAAGACAATGCATTATTTTATCAGAGTATGTTTTTTGTTTGCATTCTGACCACAAGTATTGTGGTTAATGCAGACATTATTCCTTGTAAAAGGTTTCAGTTTGCTGTTTTAAAATCTTAACACCTGTTTTGTTGCCAGAAAAAAGGGGGAAACCTATTCTCAACAGTAGGAGACTTCGCAAGTCCCATATACACCATGGGGCCCTGATTAAAATGTAATTTTAATAATGTTTCCAAATGATTATTATAATTTTCCAAGCTCTGTGGAACTATATTGGGACATTTGACCAACTCCATTTATGTGGTTAAGCAAATTTTGCTCGTGACTTAATATGACCACTTGCTAAACATTTATGACAAATTTTGGAGCAAAAAATGTATTCTCCTGCAACGGATTGAGATGGAGGTGACACCTAATCCTTCTGTGTTTAGATTCAAATGTATCCTGTCAAAAATAATACGTGAGATGGCAATCGAGATGAGAGTGAGTGTTTCGTGTTTGCAGAATGTGTATAAGAAGGAATTTGAGAAGAGTCGTGGAAAGTACCTGCATGTGGTGGATGGGCCTCAGCAAGTCCATCACCGTGAGGTCACAGACATGCAGAGCGAGGTGGGTGACACAAGCGCCGCCATACGTGCGTAGTATCAGCGTGCATCGTTAACCTCGTACCTGTGAGCTCACGATGCGCAAGGGCATGCTTCACACTCGCTCGCATAGCCGCGATTCATAGAGGAAAGATATAAACCACAGCTTACACAGGTTGCTGAGGCAAACAATCGATTAACGTGCCCCCCATGCCAGCCCAATGTGCTGGAGGCACACCTGGGGACGTTACCCCCTCATTGCACTGCTAGGTCGACGTGAGGGGCTGTGACGAGCGTGATTCTCTGTTTTTGCCGAGCAGTCCAAGTACAAGCAGGACTATGAGAAGTCGAAAGGAAAGCCCATGCTGGACTTCGAGACGCCCACCTTCATCACGGCACGCGAATCCCAGCTGATGCAGCGACAGGTAGGACTTCTCTGTTCACATTGACCCAGGAGATTTTAACACTCGGGATGGGTGTTTCAAGGCCCTCATCTCTCCGAGTGAACCAACCTGGTGATCACGGAGGAACTATTAGTCTCAAACCTGTTCATATTCTCAGCTCAGCTATTTCAAGTTTATTTTGTCTAACCAATTAAGAACTCAAGAAACGAGGATGAGTCTAATTTGCAAGATGGACCTTTGGTCACCATAATGACAAAGGCAATAACATTAAAGCCAAGTACAACAAAGTATAACAGCAAATAGAAATCAGAGCAAAAACAATCAAGTTACAGAAGAAATAAAAACATTTGTACAAAATATAAATCAAATCAAATAATTTTCCAGGAACAAAAGTTGGTTCGCACAAATTACTTTAAAAAAAAAGTTCATCGTAAAAATTCAGTCACAGATACATCAACATGGGTTTCGGGTGATTATTGCACCAGTGTGTAAACAGACAGGGACATGCGTCAAATAAAGTGCAAGTGAAGTTATATTCCTTGGGTCTTTCGGCAAAGTCACGTAGATAAGGTTCAAATAAAATAACTAAAAAAATAACAAAAAACTACGACGTTTCGATCGCAACACAAGCGTTCGTTTTCTTCCTCGTGACGAACGCTTGTGTTGTGATCAAAACGTCGTAATTTTTTGGTTATTTTATTTATTTATTGCTTTTTCTTTGAACCTATCTACGTGACTTTACCGAAAGATCCAAAGAATATGAATTCCTGCAGTCACAAAACCTCTAAGTCAAGATTTAAGTGAAGTTACCTTACAGATTCGACAGCTCAGAATTACATTGTGGTGTAGACGGCAGAGTGACCAGGGCCATCTTTGAAGCAGCTGCGACGGGAGTGATCGTTGTGGTCACTCATGAGTGGTCCCTTGCGATGCCTCTTTAGAAAGACTACCGGAGGGATTTTGAGGAGGGAATGAAGGGACGGAATCTGAACGATCTGGAGACGACACCTGCATACCTGTGTGTGAAGCACGCCTCCAGCATCCTCAGCGAGGTGGGTGCTGTGCTGCCCTGCACAGTTGACACTGTCATCAGCAATAACAACAGAAAGAGCAGCGCGCATCTGGGCATTGAGTACTCTTTCACGTGTGAGTCAGGTTTCGTGTCTCATCGCAACAGTGACTAATTTGGGTCACCGCAATGGCAATGGCAATAACTTAAAGAGTGTGGCAATGAAGCAAATAGAAATCGGAGCAAAAACAATCAAGCCGCTGACAAAGAAACATCATTGATAGCGTAATGTGATGTGTGGTGGGCGGTGGTGCATGTGGTGTGTAGTGAGGGACGCTGTGTTTGAATGTACGCTTGCCACTTCACGTGGTCTGAAAGTACACGTAGCCTGGTACAAGTTCTGTAGTGCCATCACTGTATATGTGATCAAGTATTGTGATGTGTGGTGTGTGGTGTGGCCGTGGTGTGGTATGTGCCGCACAATGTATCACGTGCAGAGAGAGTACAAAAAGGACCTGGAGAGGGTGATCAAGGGGAAGGGTATGACTGTCCAGGACATGAACACACCCGACTTGCAGCGAGCAAAGAATGCCACGTCTATCCTCAGCCAGGTGAGTCTGCACACTGACCAGAACCACGTCATGATCTGAACATATTTCTGTGAGACCCTCTACCTACCGATAAACGTTTAGGGAGGTTGTTACGTGGCCTCATGCAAAAGTTGATTTCGAATCGTAGCATTGGCTGCGAAAACATACGCGTTACCAACTTTTGAGGGCCGTTTAGCGAGTTCGGTTTTAAGCAGGATCACGCGTGCGCTTTAACTGCACTGACTGTGGGGTGCTGCCTGGACTCAGACCAAGTACAAGGAGATGGCAGGCAAGGAGCTCGGCGTTTACATCTCGGTGGTCGACTCTCCCGACATCGTGCACGCGCGTCACATGAAGGACATCATGAGCTCGGTGGGTAGCACAGCGGCAGCGGCAAAACATGCTTGGCTACGAGCCCAGGCTTGCTTGGTGTTGACTTGCATCTCGTGCCTCTCGCCTCTCCACTGGTGCCGCCCAGATCAAGTACAAGGCGGATGCGGTGAGGGAGCAGGGTCACTTCGTGTCTGTGCTGGACACACCCCAGTTCAACACCGTCAAGGAGAATCAAAAGAACTTTAGTGAGGTGAGAGTCCCTCTTTTCTCCCAGCCTGGTAGGCCACTGACCCGCAGGGATGGTAGATCACACGAATTGGTGAAACTATCACCCTTACCCAAGACTGTTGAGGTGGCTTGTCAGTGTATGGCAGTACAAAAAAGAAGATTCATTTCCATCTGTGCAGGGATTGAATGTTATACACCCCTCTCACGCGCATTTTTTCTCCAGGTACTCCAGTTTCCTCTACGTGTATACAAACCCATTAATGAAATTGAACAAACATCCCAATATAGAACCACAGAGCTTGGGCAATTGTTCGCGCTGGTTCTGGCTGCCTTCCTGCTTGCTTTTGGGTTTCCCCTGCACCTCCATGAGAAAACTGTGCATTACAAATTCTACTCCAGAGGAGTTTTTGGATGTGATTTGCGTGAATCAAATGGTTTAGAAAATAAAACATTATTGCATAAGTATTACAGGGGGCAGGGGGAGGCTGACTCAAATACATTAAACTCTGACACTGTGTCACCTTGTATGTTGACCAACTAGAACACTGCAGTCTTACAAACGTCGCAGCAGACAGTCCTGGCCATCCCAAACAACACACACACAGGGGTTGTGACGTGGTTGTGATGCTGCTGTGTGGTAATCGTTGCTGGACACGTGGGGGTTGCGACGGTGCTCTACGCTGCCATCTCAGATCCAGTACCGGGACCCGATGGCAAGCGGCACGTGTGCCACCGACACGCCTGAGCTGCGGCACGCCAAGCAAGCACAGCACATCATCAGCACGGTACGCTGCCCACACAAATAACCCACCCCGCTAGCCCAACCCAACAAGCCACCCTACGAGCCCACCATTATAACCCACCCCGAGAGCTCACCGTTCAGACCCAAGCTAGCCCAACCCAACAAGCCACCCTACGAGCCCACCATTATAACCCACCCCGAGAGCTCACCGTTCAGACCCAAGCATATATGTCAATTGACATGTCATTAATATCCTGTATTAGGCCACCCTTCCAGTGCTCCCTCCCAGCCCATCTGCCCCACTAGCCATATATTATAAGCACTCTCGCCTCAGCCCCGGTAGCAGTCGCGCTGCGTCTCTGACGTTTGAAGGGGGGCATGTGTTGTCACACGATACGTCGTGTTACGGTGTGGTTGTGTTGTGCGGTTGTTTGTTGTTGTGGTGGGGTCCAGGTGAAATACAAGGAGCATCCCGGCAAGGCTACGCCTGTGCCCTTCACGCCGGAGGTGGAGCGCGTCCGCAGAAACCAGGAGCATGTGTCTGACGTATGTCACACGCCGCACCGCACAGCACAAAGATCCCTCCTTTAGCCTTCGTGGACTGTTGGGGGAAGGGCAGCTAGCGAGCACCTATGAAGGGTGGCACAACACATGAGGTACTGATTTAAGGCTAAGTCGACCTAGGGGAGGACTGGTTAAAATGTTCGTCAGCAATGTTGGCCATGGGCAGGTATCGATCTCGGATTCCCGTGTTTGTATTGCTATGAAATAACCACTACGCTACCACTCTGCAAGCACACATAGACCTGTTCTCTTTTGCCTGTGATGATCGTTGTGACAAGGGCGAATGATTATCATGAGCATCGTATAAAATACCAGGCACTTGTTGAGAAACACGCATTTTGTAAGGTGTGTGCGCTGTACGTGCTGTGTGTGCTATGTTGTGTACGTGAAGTGCGTGTGGTCTGTGGTGAGCTATGCGTTTTCTCTGCGGCTGCAGGTGAAGTATGTTTGTTATAGAGGTTCGTGGTTCCATTCCAGCAGGCCGCCCTGGTTAATACTATGATATGTGTTATGCATAAAACAGATCTACGTTAAAGATCACGTGATGTCATTCGAAGAAGAGTAGCCCATTGTGTGTAGGCATTGTGGTCCAAATTAGAAAAATGACTCTTAATTACTGAATTGAAAAAAACATAGCATTTGTCGGCTCCGACTGTGAAAAGTTGCAGAATCTTTAAAAAAACAAGTAGTGAGACTCAGTGAGGCTTTGCTGGGTGAAGAGATTTCGTAAATAAATATAACTATTATTGATTTTCGATTCAATAAATATTATACGTATTTGTTTTCTCTGTATTTTTATGCAGCACAACGAACATCCTGTAAAAAGGCTTAAACCTGTCAGAAGCTCTCCCATGAAGGTTTCGCAGTCACAAGGTTATTCTGCGTTCGCGTGACCCGTGTTCCGTGCAATGTGCCCACGACGCAGATCAAGTACAAGGAGCAGCTGGGGAGGGGCACGGCTGTGATGTTCACCCCGGAGATGGAGCGGGTCCGCAGAAACCAGGCCAACGTATCCGACGTACGTGGGACTCTCACACGCGCAAGGGCTCACACACACACCTTCTCTGAGCTGAGGGCAGTGGTCTTTTCGTGACTTGTCATTTTTAGCGACCTGTATAGCCAAATGATCATACAATACGCAATAAATAAATCGTGACTTCTGTCTCAGAATGACCACTATTCAGCAGCACATTGTTCGTCTGGCGATCTATATAATTGTTTGTTTCATGATGACACAATAGATGTTTGTCTCAGGTCTAAACAGTAATTCCATGAATCTATGTGTACGCTTTGAATTACTTTACAAAACATATATAGTAAATGCTTATTTTAACGTTCGATGGTGCTTTGCTGTGCAATTGAAGCGTATTGTGTGTGCTATGTGTGTGCTTATCCTATGTGCACTGTATCTGCGCTTTGCTGTGGGATGCCTGTTACCTGTCGTGTGGCGAACGTGGTGTGGATTGCGAGTGTGCTGCGTGTTTGTTGTGGGGCTGCAGGTGAGGTACAAGGAGCAGTTGGGGAGGGGCACGGCTGTGATGTTCACCCCCGAGATGGAGCGCGTCCGCAGAAGCCAGGCCAACGTGTCCGACGTACGTGGGACTCTCACACGCACACACGGAGTCAATTCGTGGGGCTTGTAGGGTCATGCTGTATCTGCAGACTGGTCGGTAATGCAGTGTGGATGACATCGACTCGAGATGCAGCTCTATACAGGTTTTGTGGGGGCAGTGATGTGGCCCAGCGATAGTTCGCCGCTTGTTATAGAGGTTCGTGGTTCGATTCCAGCAGGCCGCCATGGTTAATACTGTGATATGTGTTTTGCATAAAACATATCTACGTTAAAAATCACGTGATGTCATTCGAAGAAGAGTAGCCCATTGTGTGTAGGCATTGTGGTCCAAATTTGAAAAATGACTCTAATTACTGAATTGAAAAAAACATAGCATTTGTTGGCTCCGACTGTGAAAAGTTGCAGAATCTTCCAAAAAATAAGTAGTGAGACTCAGTGAGGCTTTGCTGGGTGAAGAGATTTCATAAATAAATATAACTATTATTGATTTTCGATTTAATAAATATTATACGTATTTGTTTTCTCTGTATTTTTATGCAGCACAACGAACATCCTGTAAAAAGGCTTAAACCTGTCAGAAGCTCTCCCATGAAGGTTTCGCAGTCACAAGGTTATTCTGCGTTCGCGTGACCCGTGTTCCGTGCAATGTGCCCACGACGCAGATCAAGTACAAGGAGCAGCTGGGGAGGGGCACGGCTGTGATGTTCACCCCGGAGATGGAGCGGGTCCGCACAAACCAGGTCAACGTGTCCGACGTACGTGGGGCTGGGTCACACGGGGTCACACGTGCAGTCGACGTGCGGGGCTCGCACAGCCACTCGAGGATATACGCGGGCCTCAGACCCGTACGGGGTTTGGCGCGCGGCTCTCAATGTTTCCACTGTTTGGCGGACTGTACGGCCAGAGTGCTGTGAAGAAGAGTAGCGTTGATTCGGTGTGACCTGTGCATAACTCGTGTGGCGACAGGTGAAATACAAGGAAGCAATGCGGAAGTGCATGGCCATATCTCTCACCCCGGAGATGGAGCGCCTCCACCACAACCGGGCCAATGTGTCCGTGGTAAGTGTCATGTGAACACATGGCCATTAATTAATTATTTATACTGTCATTGACATATTCCAACTGCTGAGAACCAGGTTATATCAGTATGTGAATGGTAGTTTTAGCTGTTAAATGCGCTTGTATTTGTACAGGTCCAATACAAAGAGCGGCTTGGGAAGTACACGCCCGTAAATATACCTTCTGACCTGGAGCGCCTACGAGAGACCGAGAGACACATGAATGCGGTAAGAGATTTGGCGTCGCTTCTCTTGATTGAATCAGTCCTGCTCTCCAGCACAGAATGCACACTCACTGATACTGCACAGCTCCATTACAGCACCAACAACCCCACAAAACTGAGTCCACTTGAAAAGACACTTGCTAAGCATAATGTACAGAGGCACGTGTCTAGTTGCGTGCATACCGGAATTTGTGTACTCGCCTGTGCAGGCTCATTATAAGGACCTGGGCCGATGGGATCAGCAGGGCCGCTCCATGTGTCTGCTGGACACGCCTGAGATGCGACGCGTGCGTCAAAACCAGCGGGACATCTCCATGGTGAGGCCAGTGAGGGTTGACTGCAGGAAGCCCCTGGTTCTCCTGCATACGCACACGGCGCCCGCGCACCGTCACAGAGCCTGTTTGTCGTGACCCGGGATTGAATGGGTATCTCCTTGTCACAGGTGAAATACCACGCAGACTTCGAGCGCAGCAAAGCGCGCGGCTTCACGCCAGTGACGGACGACCCCATAACGGAGCGCGTACGCAAGAACACGCAGGATGTGAGCGACATCGCCTACAGGGGAATCACACGGCGTGTCGTGCAGATGGAGAGCACCTCAGCTGAGCAGGGCGGCACCACAGGTACCTAGCCTCTGGGGCCTGGCTCCACGCCTACTTCACAGCCCCCTCTCTGCTTCACAGCCTCACACTCTGCAGCGGCTGCGTTTAGTCAGAGAAGCCATGCCGGGGAGCGTGCTCACGCCTTGTTTTCTCCGCGCGGCTAGACCTGCGCGTTTGGCGAACGAACCCTGGCTCTATTTTTGACTACGACCCTGCGGAGGACAACATCCAGTCACGGAGCCTGCACGTCCTCAGCGGTGGGCAGCTCGCTTCACGGCCACCGCAAACGCATTCACTCACTCCATCGGTTCACGTTGATGCTACTGCTTAAGGGGGGCACTGGTCAACTTTTGGAGTGTACTGTTCCCATGACACGTGGCCATTGGTGGCACTAATAAAGCACTCCCGGCCATCACACGTATGTACATAGGGAGAGAATAACTGGAAGTATGATTTGTCTCCGCTATAATGCTTTTTCCTTTGCTTTGCCTAGAGAGAAGATTCCCAGATACAATATGTGCATGTAGTGGTGTGTGAATACACAGGGTGGTGTGCATGCCATACCACACCAGGGGTGTACATATGCCGTGTTTGTGCAGCTCCTCATAACAGCAATGTGCCATCCGTCCTCTGTGCCCGACTCAGTTCAAGCGAAGCGGTATGGCCGGGAATACCCACGCTCCCTCAGTGCCCTGAGCACGAGTACGGGCGATGAAAAGTCGGAGATGTCGGGCCCCACACGCACAGCCTCGTTCTGCAGCAACACGTACTCCAGCCAGCCGGCGGTGCAATTCCAAGGTGACGACGTCCTGCTACTCCGCTTGCTTGCACGCAAACCCCCTGGGATCCTGAATTCCCACTCATTAATAAGAATGCGGTGGTTGTGTGCAGTTTCTCAGCAGGTACAAACCGGCCAATCAGAGGGCACCCAGGATCAGAGTGGCCATGCCGTGGGCAGCAGGGTGCAAACTCACTACTCAGTCGGCACCCAGGGTCAGAGTGGACATTCCGTGGGTACCAAAGCGCAAACTGGCTACTCAGCGGGCTCCCAGGGTCAGAGCGGGTATTCTGCAGGCACCAGAATGCAAACTAGCTACATCGTGGGGAGACAAGGTCAGAGAGCACAGCCGGTTGGCACCAAGATGCAAACCGGCTACTCGGGCGCTCAAGATCAAAGTAGCCGCTCAGCAGGCACCAGGGTGCAAACTGACTACTCAGCGGGCTCCCAGGGTCAGAGCGGGCATTCTGCAGGCACCAGAATGCAAACTAGCTACATCGTGGGCAATCATGGTCAGAGTGGGCAGATGGTGGGCACCAAGATGCAAACCGGCTACTCGTTAGGCACTCAAGATCACAGTAGCTGCTCAGTGGGCACCAGGGTGCAAACTGGCTACTCAGTGGGTTCCCAGGGTCAGAGTGGCCACACAGTGGGCACTCACGGTCAGAGTGGCCATTCTCTGGGCACCAGGATACAAAGTGGTTACTCCGTGGGCTCCCAGGGTCAGAGTGGCCACACAGTGGGCACTCACGGTCAGAGTAGCCACTCGGTGGGCACCAGGGTGCAGACTCACTACTCAGTGGGTTCCCAGGGTCAGAGTGGTTATTCCACGGATTTCAGAGGGCAAACTGGCCACCCTGTAGTCAATCAAGGTCAGGGTGGTCACTCGGTGGGCACCAGGATGCAAACCCACTATACGGTGGGCACCAAGGTGCACACTGGCCAGTCGGTCGGTGGCTACCTGATGGGCAGCCAGATGCGGAGCAGCTCCTCCATGCAGACGGCGTTCCTGGCATCGGCTGGAGTCAACGTTTCTGCCAGCCATCGCTCGCTGCTGTCGCCGGTCTCGTCCCACCTGTCCTCGACTTCTGTGAGTGCCACAACATCCATGCAGGCACCGTGGAGATAGAGAGCGTGCCCACGTGTGGAAGTCACTCGCAGCGTAACTAAATGGTGTTCTCCCCTCCCCATGCGTTCCAGAGAACCTACCGAGCCGTGTACGAGTACACGGCCGCAGACCGTGACGAGGTCTCTTTCCAGGACGGGGACGTCATCGTTAACACCCAGCAAATCGATGAGGGCTGGATGTACGGCACGGTGCAGCGCACAGGCATCTCCGGCATGCTCCCGGCGAACTACGTGCAGGCCCTGTGAGCCACCGCACGAGCTGCAACACTGCCGCCTTCTTCTTCATACGGGCTCACCTCCACCAACCTCTCTCATCGTCAGCCACAAAAGCAACAGCTTTCTTCTACACAAAGGCTTCACAAACATGGCGAATACATTCTGAAAGTACACGTGTCCCGGTTTAACAACCCGTTTAACAACATGGACAGTCCGGCAATTATCACCTGTGTTCGAGTGTCAGGAAATCATTTGTACAAGATCTGGTACCAGTATTGTGTTGAACTTGATTCCAGTATTATGCACAGTTTTGATAGACCTAGGCTGACTGAGAAATGTCTGGGTTTTGGTATGTTGAAAAGGTGGCAACTCTTAAGGTTACTCTCAGCTACAAATCTGAAGACGTATTAGTGAGCATAGATAACGTTTTGCTGCGAGTTTGGTTAGCACATTTCGACACAGTTGTGGTCACCTGCGTGTGAACCCTTGTTGCATGGTGGTGGCTGTGAACAGCGTTTGCTTATGTGTTCTAATAAAGCCTGATCTCCGAGCTATTGTGTAGCTGTGCTTTGCTTTAACGCCAGGTGTTCATTACAGGGACTTGCGCTCCCACTCAACTTATCCACACAGAATGCAAGGCAGCGCACGGTAAGAGGCCTCATCAGGAGGATTCACAAGACGCGGATTTTCTCTGTACAATTCAACTTGCCCGGGACAATAATTTCAGCACTTGTTCCCAGGGCTCTAGCTTTTATAAAGGTCTCAAAACCTTTCGTTAATCACTCAAAAGGGTTAACCCCTGAGTGACCCCTGCTGGGCGGTACTGTTTGCCAGGGTATGCGACCCACAGAGGAGCCAGAGATATTAGGTTTCCATCTGTCCGGGTCTGTCCCGTAACGTGACCTGCACCAATGCTGTCTTCTTCATATGGGCTCACCTCCACCAACCTCGCTGGCCTTCAGTCATGTGGGTTTGACTCCCAACAGTCTGGAAATTGGCATCTGTTCTGGTGGCAGGAATGAATTTGTACAGAGATATGGTTCCGGTTCAGTATTGTGTTGAACTGTATTGCTGGATACTGCAGTTTTGACAGACCTAGTGCTGAGAATGCATCCAGGTGTGTTCTGCAATGTAAAAGGTATCAATCTTTGCCAGAGGCCATTCCTAGCTATGGGCTGTGTACCGGTGTTTGACTACTGAGCCTTGCACCTACATAAAATCATATATCTGAATAAACAAGTTTTTTTTTCTAAAGAGTGAAAAAAACCGTGTTCGGTTCAAATGACAGCAGCATTGTTGTATTTTAAATAAAAATACCAGATTTTTTAATGTTACATATTTGACCTAAATAATTTCAAATTGTATGCACGCAATGACTTTATTTGGTGATACTGCATTGGCAGTGGTGCACAACCACAAATAACAAAAACCTCAACTCATTCATCAATAATAGTGGCCTTAAAAGGAAAATATATAATAGTCGACTCACAGGAAATGGCGCTTCTTCAATTGCCATAGAGTGGACCCACTCTATCCTATCCACTCTCTCTGATCTATTTTATGTTATGAGCGGCCACTGTCCGAAACGACACATGTTTTCCTTTTAAGGCCACAGTGTTATTGACGTGTGTTGAGATTTTTCCTACATCCACAGAAGCCCAAGTCAACCTGTACTCTTTTAAGCCGTAAATCTGCTTATTGATCACTCAAAAACTTCCTGTGCTCGGGCCGTGGTGGCTCTGTTGACCACTCTTGCAAGCGAGACCAACAGATCTGTGCTGTTGTTGTTGATCTCCATCCTGAGTTTGAAGTGGCTATACACGTGGCGTATAATCCGGCTCTGTGGAGGAAGCAGCGAGGGTTAGTGGATCCCACTTCTATCCTGACTCGCCAAAAGAGGACGTTTACAGAAAAGTGTTGGAATAATCTCCTTCTGTTCCAAATGTATAGGATAGAGTTTTGACTTAAAACTTTCGTTACTTGAAACACGGTAGGACCAATACTTCTGCCATGGCTGATCATTATTTTAATGCGGCTGGCTCACACGAAATTTATTTCTCTAAGATGATGGTACTTTGCAAGCCCACTGGCTATCAACAAAGATTCGTTCATTAGGCCATCCATATATACAAACACAGACACAATTTCAACCGAGAGGACGGTTATAAACTCAGCAATCATTGGAAATGTCATTAACCGCTTTGGCTCATTACTTTATTTGTGTCTTCTTGTCACGGGAGCACAGGTCAAGTCACTTTATTTTTATTGTGATTTTTCTATCTACGTGACTTTACCGAAAGAACCAAAGAATATATGGGATAGAGTGTTTCCCCCTCACACGCGTGGGTTTCTGCCTGGTGCTCTGGATTCATACACGTACAGTATTAACACTCATTCATGGCCGAGTACATTTTCATACATGGGGAGGGAGGGGTGAATTTTGTACCAGCTCACTGCTCATGCGCGCCACGGTGGTGAGATGTTAACTCCCTCGCCTGGTATACAGGGAAGCCGTGGGTTCGATCCCGACCCTGACGTCTGTTTATTTCATTTACCAGGTAAGGCCCACTGAGTTATATAGCGACCTGGCCACAAATGATAGCTCAACGAAGTGTGGCTTATGATCGTGTGCAAATGTATAGCAACATATTCTTGGTTCTTTCGGTAAAGTCACGTAGAAGGGAAACAATAAAAATATAAAACAATAAAATATTTTTATTATTTTATTGTTACCCTTCTACGTGACTTTACCGAAATAACCAAGAATATGAATCCCTGCAGTCAGGAAAGCTTTAAATCAAAATTGTATAGCAACAGGCAAATACTCTCCACATTTAGGATGTTCATTCTAAATGCAATGTTGATTCTAAATGTACAATGTTAATTCTGGTGGTAGTGGTGGGGGGGGGGCTCAGCCTGCTCCCCCCCCACCATCCCTCCACCCCCCACCATCCCCCCACCATCCCTCCACCATCCCTCCACCACCCCCCACCATCCCTCCACCACCCCCCACCATCCCTCCACCACCCCCCACCATCCCTCCACCACCCCCCACCATCCCTCCACCACCCCCCACCATCCCTCCACCATCCCCCCACCATCCCCCACCACCCTCCACCATCCCTCCACCACCCCCCACCATCCCTCCACCATCCCCCCACCACCCCCCCACCATCCCCCCACCACCCCCCCACCATCCCCCCACCACCCCCCACCATCCCTCCACCATCCCCCCACCATCCCCCCACCACCCCCCCACCACCCCCCCACCACCACCCACCATCCCCCCACCACCCTCCACCATCCCTCCACCACCCCGCACCGCGCGGGGCTCCCGGCGGGCCCTGCGCGGTTCCCCTGGCAACGCGCGGACGCCGAGCGGGCAGAGGGGAGCCATGGCGAGTGCAGCCGTGGGAAGGCGGCAGCAGCAGCAGGAGGAGAGGCGCGAGGAGTAGAGGGGAGACAGAGAGAGGGGGGAGCTGAGAGAGATATCGGGACAGCGGGGAAAAGCGGAGAGAGATGTCGAGGAGCAGGAGCGACCCGCGGCGGGTGAGGAGCTGACGCCACGGACACGCATACCACTCACTACAGCACTACCACACACACTACAGCACTACCACACACTACAGCACCACCACACACTACAGCACTACCACTCACTACAGCACCACCACACACTACAGCACTACCACACACTACATCACCACCACACACTACATCACCACCACACACTACAGCACCACCACACACTACATCACTACCACACACTACAGCACCACCACACACTACAGCACTACCACACACTACATCACCACCACACACTACAGCACCACCACACACTACATCACTACCACACACTACAGCACTACCACACACTACAGCACTACCACACACTACAGCACTACCACACACTACAACACCACCACACACTACATCACCACCACACACTACATCACCACCACACACTACAGCACTACCACACACACTACAGCACTACCACACACTACAGCACTACCACACACTACATCACTACCACACACTACATCACCACCACACACTACATCACTACCACACACTACATCACCAACACACTACAGCACCACCACACACTACATCACCACCACACACTACAGCACCACCACACACACTACATCACTACCACACACTACATCACTACCACACACTACAGCACTACCACACACTACAGCACTACCACACACTACATCACTACCACACACTACAGCACCACCACACACACTACATCACCACCACACACTACATCACTACCACGCACTACATCACTACCACACAATACAGCACTACCACACACTACATCACTACCACACACTACAACACTACCACACACTACAGCACCACCACACACTGCATCACTACCACACACACTACATCACTACCACACACTACATCACTACCACTCACTACAGCACTACCACACACTACAGCATTACCACACACTACAGCACTACCACACACTACAGCACTACCACACACTACAGCACTACCACACACTACAGCACTACCACACACTACAGCACTACCACACACTACATCACTACCACACACTACATCACTACCACACACTACAGCACTACCACACACTACATCACTACCACACACTACAGCACTACCACACACTACATCACCACCACACACTACATCACTACCACTCACTACCACACACTACATCACCACCACACACTACATCACCACCACACACACTACAGCACCACACACACTACAGCACCACCACACACTACATCACCACCACACACTACATCACTACCACACACGACAGCACAACCACACACACTACATCACTACCACACACTACATCACTACCACACACTACATCACTACCACACACTACAACACCACCACACACTATATCACCACCACACACTACATCACTACCACTCACTACATCACTACCACACACTGCATCACTACCACACACTACAGCACCACCACACACTACATCACCACCACTCACTACAGCACTACCACACACTACATCACCACCACACACTACATCACCACCACACACTACATCACCACCACACACACTACAGCACCACCACACACTACATCACCACCACTCACTACATCACCACCACACACTACATCACCACCACACACTACATCACCACCACACACTACAGCACTACCACACACACTACAGCACTACCACACACTACAGCACTACCACACACTACATCACTACCACACACTACATCACCACCACACACTACATCACTACCACACACTACATCACCAACACACTACAGCACCACCACACACTACATCACCACCACACACTACAGCACCACCACACACACTACATCACTACCACACACTACATCACTACCACGCACTACATCACTACCACACAATACAGCACTACCACACACTACATCACTACCACACACTACAACACTACCACACACTACAGCACCACCACACACTGCATCACTACCACACACACTACATCACTACCACACACTACATCACTACCACTCACTACAGCACTACCACACACTACAGCATTACCACACACTACAGCACTACCACACACTACAGCACTACCACACACTACAGCACTACCACACACTACAGCACTACCACACACTACAGCACTACCACACACTACATCACTACCACACACTACATCACTACCACACACTACAGCACTACCACACACTACATCACTACCACACACTACAGCACTACCACACACTACATCACTACCACACACTACAGCACTACCACACACTACATCACCACCACACACTACATCACTACCACTCACTACATCACTACCACACACTACATCACCACCACACACTACATCACCACCACACACACTACAGCACCACACACACTACAGCACCACCACACACTACATCACCACCACACACTACATCACTACCACACACGACAGCACAACCACACACACTACATCACTACCACACACTACATCACTACCACACACTACATCACTACCACACACTACAACACCACCACACACTACATCACCACCACACACTACATCACTACCACTCACTACATCACTACCACACACTGCATCACTACCACACACTACAGCACCACCACACACTACATCACCACCACTCACTACAGCACTACCACACACTACATCACCACCACACACTACATCACCACCACACACTACATCACCACCACACACACTACAGCACCACCACACACTACATCACCACCACTCACTACATCACCACCACACACTACATCACCACCACACACTACATCACCACCACACACACTACAGCACCACCACACACTACATCACCACCACTCACTACAGCACTACCACACACACTACAGCACCACCACACACTACATCACCACCACACACTACATCACTATCACACACTACATCACCACCACACACTACAGCACCACCACACACTACATCACTACCACTCACTACATCACTACCACACACTACAGCACCACCACACACTACAGCACCACCACACACTACATCACCACCACTCACTACAGCACCACCACACACTACATCACTACCACACACTACAGCACTACCACACACACTACATCACTACCACACACTACAGCACCACCACACACACTACATCACTACCACACACTACATCACTACCACACACACTACAGCACCACCACACACTACAGCACCACCACACACTACATCACTACCATACACTACATCACTACCACACACACTACATCACTACCACACACTACATCACCACCACACACTACGTCACCACCACACACTACATCACTACCACACACGACAGCACCACCACACACTACAGCACCACCACACACACTACATCACCACCACACACTACAGCACCACCACACACTACAGCACCACCACACACACTACATCACCACCACACACTACATCACCACCACACACTACATCACCACCACACACTACATCACTACCACTCACTACAGCACCACCACACACTACATCACCACCACACACTACAGCACTACCACACACTACAGCACTACCACACACTACATCACTACCACTCACTACATCACTACCACTCACTACATCACTACCACTCACTACATCACTACCACACACTACATCACCACCACACACTACATCACCACCACACACTACAACACTACCACACAAACTACATCACTACCACTCACTACATCACTACCACTCACTACATCATTACCACTCACTACATCACCACCACACACTACAACACTACCACACACACTACAGCACTACCACACACACTACATCACTACCACACACTACAACACCACCACACACTACAGCACCACCACACACTACATCACCACCACACACTACATCACTACCACACACTACAGCACCACCACACACTACATCACCACCACACACTACATCACTACCACACACTACATCACCACCACACACTACATCACTACCACACACTACAGCACCACCACACACTACAGCACCACCACACACTACAGCACCACCACACACTACATCACCACCACACACTACATCACTACCACACACTACATCACCACCACACACTACATCACCACCACACACTACATCACCACCACACACTACATCACTACCACACACTACAGCACTACCACACACTACAGCACTACCACACACTATAACACTACCACACACTACAGCACTACCACACACTACAGCACTACCACACACTACAGCGCTACCACACACTACAGCGCTACCACACACTCATACAGCAATACCACACACTACATCACTCCAGAACTACCACACACCACTACATGACTATTCTATCACACCACAGCACTAACATTTCCAGCGGGATGTTAACTACCTCCCCTATTATACAGGACATCGTGAGTTCGATCCCCAAGCCTGATGCATTTATATTTGGAGTTTGCGTGTTCTCCCCGTGGTTGCGTAGACTTCTGTCCGGGTTTGCCCTCCACATTTAGAAACATGCGTTTGGATGATTTGGCTACTATAAATTTCCACATCATAAGCCACTTCGTGATTCGTGGCCAGGTCGCTTGTGAAGAAGGGCTATGTAGCTCAGTGGGCCTCATCTGGTAAAATAACTAAGTGTAGTTGACCGGTGATATGTGAAACAGAGCTTCTTAGCTCATGGGATTTGTCCAGGATAAATCCAGTCTGATAGCACACGACTACAGTACTGCATCATCACGCTAGAGTGAGGGAAAAAAGTATTTGATCCCCTGCTGATTTTGTACGTTTGCCCACTGACAAAGAAATTATCAGTCTATAATTTTAATGGTAGGTTTATTTGAACAGTGAGAGACAGAATAACAACAAAAAATTTAGAAAAACGCATGTCAAAAATGTTATAAATTGATTTGCATTTTAATGAGGGACATAAGTATTTGACCCCCTCTCAATTAGAAATATTTCTGGCTCCCAGGTGTCTTTTATACAGGTAACAAGCTGAGATTAGGAGCACTCCCTTTAAGAGTGTGTAGTTGTCCACAGAAGCAATCAATCAATCACATTCCAAACTCTCCACCATGGCCAAGACCAAAGAGCTTTCCAAGGATGTCAGGGACAAGATTGTAGACCTACACAAGGCTGGAATGTAAGGCCATTGCCAAGCAGCTTGATGAGAAGGTGACAACAGTTGGTGCGATTATTCGCAAATGGAAGAAACACAAGAACTGTCAATCTCCCTCGGCCTGGGGCTCCATGCAAGATCTGACCTCGTGGAGTTGCAATGATCATGGGAACGGTGAGGAATCAGCCCAGAACTACACGGGAGGATCTTGTCAATGATCTCAAGGCAGCTGGGACCATAGTCACAAAGAAAACAATTGGTAGCACACTACGCCGTGAAGGACTGAAATCCTGCAGCGCCCGCAAGGTCCCCCTGCTCAAGAAAGCACATATACATGCCCGTCTGAAGTTTGCCAATGAACATCTGAATGATTCAGAGGACAACTGGGTGAAAGTGTTGTGGTCAGATGAGACCAAAATGGAGCTCTTTGGCATCAACTCAACTCGCCGTGTTCGGAGGAGGAGGAATGCTGCCTATGACCCCAAGAACACCATCCCCATCGTCAAACATGAAGGTGGAAACATTATACTTTGGGGGTGTTTTTCTGCTAAGGGGACAGGACAACTTCACCGCATCAAAGGGACGATGGACGGGGCCATGTACCGTCAAATCTTGGGTGAGAACTTCCTTCCCTCAGCCAGGGAATTGAAAATGGGTCGTGGATGGGTATTCCAGCATGACAATGACCCAAAACACGCGGCCAAGGCAACAAAGGAGTGGCTCAAGAAGAAGCACATTAAGGTCCTGGAGTTGCCTAGCCAGTCTCCAGACCTTAATCCTATAGAAAATCTGTGGAGGGAGCTGAAGGTTTGAGTTGCCAAACGTCAGCCTCGAAACCTTAATGACTTGGAGAAGATCTGCAAAGAGGAGTGGGACAAAATCCCTCCTGAGATGTATGCAAACCTGGTGGCCAACTACAAGAAACGTCTGACCTCTGTGATAGCCAACAAGGGTTTTTCCACCAAGTACTAAGTCATGTTTTGCAGAGGGGTCAAATACTTATTTCCCTCATTAAAATGCAAATCAATTTATAACATTTTTGACATGCGTTTTTCTGGATTTTGTTGTTGTTATTGTCTCTCACTCTTCAAATAAACCTACCATTAAAATTATCGACTGATCATTTCTTTGTCAGTGGGCAAACGTACAAAATCAGCAGGGGATCAAATACTTTTTTCCCTCACTGTATATCACGACCACACACTACTATTGCCCTGCATCATCACGCTATATCACGATCACACTCTACTACAGCGCAGCTCTATCACACCGTATTGTATAACACGACGATGTTACTGTGCATACAGTACGATACACAATACAGAAATACAGAAAAAGAGGTAGACATACACTTTGCACTACATTCTACACAATACACGACCAACGCGAGATGTCCGCTTTGGATAAACTGTTCTCGGCATTTCATCTCCTCCGCATGGCAGCTGTGCTCTTGTTGTTGCATCGGTTTATTCACAGGGGTCACGGCATGCCTGTGGCCGCTGCTGACAAAACAAGTGACACGTGGTGATTCCTTGTCTTTCATCGGCTCTCAATTTCCTTTGCAATGCACGGTACAGTATACTGCGATGGCTGTGCCTGTGTAAAGTAAAATTTAAAAAAAGTTACGGGGGTCCCTGTGTCCTCCAGGGGCAGTTGGAGGGGCCTGTCACCCTGGGCCGCGTGGCCAAACTTCTGGAGGACCCGCACTGCGTGAGTCCCTCACTCGCCCGCATGATCTCGTGCAGAGCGCTCACGCTCTGCCCCTTCGTGTCTGTGTCCCCTAAGCGGTGCTCGCTTTGATGTCGGTGTTCGCCTATCCCCGATCTTGGGCCATGTTCAGTGGGAGAGGAGCTCGACCACAATCCATGTTTATGAAACTGAATCTGACTATGAATGGTTACATTGTCCGAGCCAACCTTTTCCCAACAGGAAACGTAATTATACGATATTGATTTAGAAACTTGATTTGAAGCTTTCGTGACTGCTGGAATTACTCTTTGGTTCTTTCGGTAAAGTCACGTAGAAAATGTATCTGCCCCCCTCCCTCTCTATATAATGCCTCGTCACATAGTCGTTGTTTCTATGTGTGTCTCTCTCTCTGCTTGTGTGTCTCTCTATGTGTCTCTCCCCCATGAGTGTCTCTCTCTCTCTGTGTTTGTCTCTCTCTCTGTGTGTCTCTCTCTGTCTCTCTCCGTGTCTGTGTTTGTCTCTCTCTCACACTTCAAAATTAGCAATCTTTGGAAGAACGTAATCAACCAGGTAAAGTGTTAACTGCTATGTTAGCCGACTCTCTGTGTCTCTCTGTGTTGCATTGCATTACATTTCTAAGTTTACTAGGTTTGTTTTCTCATTCATCCATACCTGATGACGGTTGCTTGTGTTGCAATCGAAATGTCGTATTCTATTATTTATTTTATTTTCTTTGTACGTGACTTTACTGATATTAATTTAGGTTTGTGTTTTTTTTTATTTCTTTGTAAGGCAGTAGTTTGGTTTGCTTTCCAAATCGTTTTGTGCATGTATTGTTATTTGCCTTGCTGACTGTACTTTGTTAGGCTATTGCCTTTATTATAAGGTGGCCCATGCCACTCATGCAAATTAGACTAATCTGGTCTCTGAGTTCGAACCAGGGATTAACAAAACAAACTGAACTGAAATCGTAAGCGATTAATGAGGGTCTACTTGTGTTTGTGCGCGAGTGCAGCGTGGATACACGGATCGTCACATCAGCGCCCTCAAGAAGGCATTGGGCTACCATGAGCATGGTTTTGTATCCTGCTTCTGCTGTCACTCATTTCCCACGGGAGTTGGTTTAGATTATTGTTCATCATATGAGTGCAAGGAGGTGTGGTGTGACAATGTGATGGTAGCTTGTTCTTAAGAGGCAGTTTATACAATGCGCATATTTTTCTAAATATACGGAAAATTCTAGATGCCAGGTAGAAAAACAATCCATGGATATTCATGACAAAAATATGGTTATGCTATGTGTTGTATAGCTTTGTATCGAGCTGGGACCCATATCGACAAAGCGAGGGGTCCTTGACTATGAACATCTGGCAAGCCTGAGTTTTCTGACGAGACACTGAATGTTGAAACCGTTCCCGATTTTGCTTGTGTTGAACCAATGCTGCTGAAAGAATGGACTGCCAGAAGGAATTCAACCCTAGAAGGCTGATTGATGGAACTTATAAAAAAGATACTTAACATTTAGAGCGACATATGGGAACGAGATGTATTGTCTGCTTATTTACATGGAAATTCAGCATGACTTTGCCCCCACTGTGCCCAGGGCCAGATCATGGTCCTGTGAGGCCCCTGGGCACATGTCTTTTGGATGCCCCCCCCCCTCGCTTTCCTATATTGGTGTCTTTCTTGCCATCCTCCTCACAAAATCATCCATTAGATCGTCAAAATCTTGCTGTCTGACAAGGTCTGACTCTACTTACATAAGTGACAATGAGCTGAGACATATTTGACACATGCTACTCCGCAGCTCATTTTTTATTCTGCCTACAAGGGAAAATGTCCGCTCACCCTGGCAGTTTGTCACTGGCAAAGTTAGAGAAATCCGAAGTGCCACGATAAGATTGGGGAACACTGACTGCAGATTAAGTGCCTGCAACGTCTCAAGCAATTTAGTTGGGCACTTCTCACCCTCAGAGTCAGACATGAAAAACTTGAATTGGATGAGTTTGTGGGCAAAGTTCATGTCCAGGTCTGATGGATATGCAGCAGAGAGTGCATTTACTTTTTCCACTTTGACATCACTGTTAGACACCTGATCTGACATAAACAGAACTCCAAAGAGACTGGTCAAATGCTTGTAAGCGTCCAAGCGATGTTCAAGGCATGCCACTCGCTTATCAATGACCACATAAAATGTTTCTATTTTGAACTTCTCCCTCCCCTCAAGTGTCACACCTGGCTCTGAGCTCTCATCTGCAAATGTTTTGCATTTCTTCTTTCGCTGAAGATTGTGCTCATATGACTGAGAGACACTGGTCTCGCTGTCCCGCCACAAAATCCCTCAACGAAGACAAAAGCTGTGCTGCTACAGAGATGTCAATGCCACTTTTCTGTAGGTGCACGCTTGTAGCGTGGAACCTGTCAAGTATGACATCCCAGAAATGTGCCATGAACACCATCTCTAAGGTGTCCAATTTAGCACATAGTCCAGCGGCCTCAATTCGAGTGTCTCTTTTCTCATTATTATCATTGCAAATGTCACCGAAGGCCTCTCTAATGTAGGTGTAATTTCTCCACAGTGCCTTGGTTTACTCTGCCCAAGCACTCCACCGAGCACTGGACAACGATTTTAATGCCAGTCTGACGTCTGTCTTCCGAAAGACTTTCCCCCATCTGTGTGTGGATGAAGAGCAAAGTGTGTACAGTGACTGCAACCTGTTAAAAAACTCTACAGCCTCTGGGCTACTGCCGTCTAAGGTGTTAACACCAACTAAGTTAAGTGAATGCGCTGCACAAGGCACACACTCTATCAGAGGTTTTTTTTTGTTTCAGGTGGGCCTGTAGCCCATTGTATTTTCCTGACATGTTGCTGGTATTGTCATATGACTGACCTCTGCAGTTTGAGAGGTCCAACCCACGGCCCTCCACCATCAAAGTCACACAGTCTGCTCAACTTTTACCAGTGTGGCTCTCAATTGGCTCAAAGCTCAGGAATTGCTCCACCACATTCCCGCTGCTGTTAACAAACCGGAATATGAACGTTAATTGGTCCACATGTGACACGTCTGGGGTGGAGTCAACAATTATTGAAAAATATTTGGCATCCCGAATCTCATCTGCTATTGTTTGGCGAGTTTTCTGATCCATTAGCTCAATGAGTTCTTCTCATATTGTCGATGACTAATAGGACACTGTGCCTCTTCCTTTTTCGCCAAACTTTTTAATATGTTCAGCTAAGAATGGGTCAAATTGTGATAGCAATTCTAGGATGCCAAGGAAATTACCGTTATGGGTTGACCCAAACCGTTCATCGTCTCCCCTAAACGCAAGTTCTCTTTCACCCAAGAACTTGATCCATGCTATAACTCTTTTCAAAATGACCCTCCAGTATTTACGTTCCCCATCAAGTTGCTGCATGAGATCTGCATCTATAGCACTGCCCTTTGTCCGCTGGTGCAAGGCAAGCATGCATGATCTGTGTTCTGCACTCTTTTCATGTTCCCCTATTCTTTCAGAGTGATTCCAGTCACTAAACCCCTGACTAAATTATATTCTTGGGTCTTTTGGTAAAGTCACGTAGATAGGTTCAAAGACAATAACAAAAAACCACGACGTTTCGATCGCAACGCAAGCAATCGTCATCAGGAGAGAAAAAAATAGCGGGAAAGCTGCTGAGGCAGACTGTTTTAAAGGTTTGAAATGGGTGTAGCCCAAGGGTTATAAGCGAAGTGTGCGGGGCTAGTGATGTTAAAGTGAGAAATTTGCATGTCAATGTAAGATCGGAGAGCTACCTCCACGACGACGAAGCTGCGGAGGTGGCCATTGTATTGTGAGAGATTAGCATGTCAATATAAGATCGTAGAGCCACCGCCACATCGAGGAAAAGGAGCAACGGTGGCTGTGTTAGTGAGACATTTAACCTGTTAATGTTAAGACATTTAACCTGTTAATGTAAAACCAGAGATTCGAAAATAACTACTAACATCGGAAGGTAGGATGGAAACATCACAGCCAGTTTTGACTTAAACTGGTTAATAACGTCCTTCCAACGATTGCTCAGTTTGTACCCATCTTCTCGGTTGAAATTGTGTCTGTGTCTATATATATGGATGGCTTCATGAACGAATCTTTGTTGATAGCCAGTGGGCTTGCAAAGTACCTTCGTCTTCGAGAAATCAATTTCGTGTGAGCCCACCGCATTAACACAATGATCAGCCACGGCAGAAGTATTGGTCCTACCGTGTTTCAGATCTGCTTATGTTCACGAACACGGTCCGAGGCATGTCGCTTAGTTTCCCCAATGTAACTACTGCCGCAGACACAGCTTAGTTTGTAGACGCCGGGGTATTTCATGTCAGGGATCACATCCTTCACAGATAGGATCAGATCACAAATTTTATGTAGTGTTAAATCGAACCTGCATTTTTGTGTTTGCTCATGATTTTGGAAATATTTTTAGTGACCCCTGCTATGTATGGCAAGGTGATGGTTTTGATTGGGTCCTCAAATGGTTCTTTCCCAACGGTTGGGGTGATAGCTTTATGGATTGTGTGGTCTGAATATCCATTTATCTTGAGAGCTTGGTATACATGTGGTGAATGGTGAATTTGATGGCTGGAGGTGGAAAAGGATGGCAAGTTACCATTCTTGGATGTTTTAATTTAAAATAGACCAGATGGCTCAATGGGACACTCTGTCTAAAGGAAAGCCACCCATACAGATGCCTACCTAAAACCTGACTCCCACCACTATCCATCCCAGAAGAATTCCCTCATCAAAACTCTACACCATAGAGCTCGATGTATTTCCGACCATCATGACCTAGCCAGTGAACTGGAACACGTACACCAAGCTCTCAAGATGAATGGATATTCAGACCACACAATCTATAAAGCTATCACCCCAACCCACTGGTGTGTTGAAGAGTGAATCCACAACATTTAAAATTTTTGAGTACGACGTTTCGCTGGTAATTACATCCAGCATCATCGGGCAATTTTCCAGAATAGTGAATGCACACTGCACAATTCACATTCATACAAGGTATGCTCATCAGTCTATATGCATGTGTTACTTTTGGTCCTGAACGTATGTTCATATAAATACGTAAATAACAATATTTACACTTACAGGGCTCTTAATTTTCTCAGAAACTCAAAGCGCCTTCCATCACATCTCATGTCAAATATTTGAAGGTGATGCCCCAATGGCATTCGTCCTGCAAGTGGGCATTAGTTCGCCAGTATGGGGAAATGATTCCTAATTGTATCCAGTTTAGCAATTTGCGGTGTAAATTTTCAAAGTTGGAAAATTTGCATCACCAAGCCGGCACAATAACCTACTTTTTAAATGACATCGCAGGATCTTTAACACTCCTGTGCAGCAAATGGTAGCACAGTATTTTCATGATTCAGACACCCGCAGTATTAACCTGGGAGGCCCGCCGGATTCAAACCTCAAATCTCCGCAACAAGTGGCAAAGGTGCATCCGCCGGGCCATGTTCTTCGGTAACGTGACAGCCGTGTGCGACAGTGGACGTGCGACGGCGACATGTGCCACGTCTACGCGAGATTCCCCTTGATGTGCTCACGTGCAGCCGCTGAGAGAGCTGGTGGTGGTGTGCCGCATCCTCAACTCTCTGGCCGACCTCGTGGGTGAAGCGCCTCGCTACACACAACCTCTGTGTCAGCTGCTGCGTCTGTTGGGGTGAGGCCGGATTAGGGACAGCACCATGGGACTGGAAGTTGTGCATGAAGCAACCGGAATTGGCAAGCAAACCCATGGAAACGGGGATCTATTTTACACATCGGTTGAGCAATTAGGCTTTGGCTGACATTTCATTTGCATACTTCTATTTTTAAAGTTGTTTTGGAACAAATACATTAAAGTATTGGTTACTCCTTTGGGCCTTGCCTCACCTGTTAAATCTGATGATAGTCAAAACATCTACATTGCGTAGAATTTCAGTGCCCGTCTTTTTTTGTGCAGAAAACCATTCTTCAAGGAAAAGGCATCGGATGAAATGGCTTATGCACAGATCACTTCTGAAACCATCGCACAGCTAGGTGAGGGCATGTGTACATACATGGATTATATTTGAAAAGAAATATCCCTCTGAGGTTTGTAGCTCAAAGTTATGCCTGTATTAAACTGATAAGATGACATTTTCAGGACTCCCCTGTGAGAAACCTACTGCTGTCACTACTACCATTCTAATTGGTAGATCATAACTTTTAATGTTTAGCATTTACATGTGGAAGATGTCCTCTCTTCTGTGGTCCATCAGAAAAAAAACAAATGAAAGTCTTGGAATGTCACAGCAAGGATTGGTATGAATCGTACAGCAACGTTCAAGCTTCTTTGTCTGCGTACTCGCTTGTCGTGTATGTGGACCTGATTCACAAGGAGTGGAGAGCATTTGGCAAAGTGGTTGGTTAGTGCACTGCGCCACAAACTGAACCACATGTTTGATTTCCACTGATGGCCAACATCATCGATGCATATCTGAACAGTTCTATGCTCTCCCTAGATCGACTCAGTCTCAAATGAGTACCTGGATTTGTGTGGTCATAAGGTGTGCTAGCTACACCCTGCCCCTTACGTCTCATGTTGGCCTTCATAGGTGCTCTCTAACGGCACTTACCCCAACAGACTGTTAAGGCTAGAGGAGGATCGATGTCTTTGTTTTTCAGGGTACCTGATGCGTGTGTCCAGCATGGAAGTCTGCCTGCACATCTGTGATTCCATCCTACAGTTGTGCTGTCGTGACCAGTCAGGACCAGAAGTGCCAGGTATAGTCGAGAGTCCTTGCACATGTAATACTCTGCAAGATATTCATAACACATTTACCCAGTTCACACCAAACCAAAACCCATATCTAACAGAAAGGGTCCTTATCTATAACCATCCAGCAATTCACCAATATTTGTTCAAGCAAGCCTGACTGCTGATGAGAGATGGAATGTCAAAACCTGTCCAGAGGTTGTGTTGAATCAATGCTGCTGAAATTATGCACTGTCAGAAGACCTTGTGAAAAAAATACTTTCAATGTTTATTTGGATGGAGGAAAGGAGGTGAATTGTGTACTTATTCATTTGGTACATAGTAACACTACGTTGACATAGTTGTGCACTTTCTAGTGTTGCGCTTGTGTTTTCACATTGGTTGCCTTGAGTAGGCTACCAGCGGTGTAGAGTGGAGTTTATCCGGTACATGCTGGAGCAGAGCGGTGTGGCCGAGACACTGGTTCTGTCACTCGCTCTATTCGAGGCCCAACAAGACGTCCAGCATGCCGTGCTGCGGACCCTGCAACACCTGTCCTCTCATTCAGGTGACGGCTGTCGGAGCACACCTCAAACAATGCAAAACTTGTAATGCGCCATATTGAGCAAAAAGCTGAGACGTATGCACGGATGGCGCAGAGAAATTTTTAACTAAATTAAACACAAAAGAAAATAAATGTTATTAGTTTGGTCTTAAAAGCACTAATTGTCACAGCTGAGCTGGCTTCAGTTGGCAGATGCTGCTCTTCTAAGCTGAGTGGATCTCACACACAGTAGTAGGTTCATGCCTGATCAGCGTAGGTTCTATGATGGTACACATGGTTGGATGGCATTGCTCAGGTAGGTTGGCTAACCGGTTGTCTTTGCTATGAACGTAACTATCGCAGCATCGGGATTAAATCGCATTTGCACATAACCTACGGTTCCCAATAGGTAACTCCATCCTGGGAGTTTCAGACACCATGGCATTCAATCAGGGTAATTAGTTCCCTGCAGGCCAATAAGGCTTGTGCTTTGTTAGTCATGCTAATTGTGGACTTTCAAATTAACAAAATGAAATAAATAATGTTTCCATTCTCAGCAGTAGCTTCTTGCTGACACTATTTCATGCAACAGCCGAAGAGTGCCGGCTGGGAAATGCTAGGCTGCCACAGTTAATTTAGTACCAAAAAGTGGGACATGTTTCGACCGTGTTATCAGTATTGTCTGAAAGCACTGACATTGGGGTGACAATGGAGGAGGCAGGTAGTATGTTCACCACTAAATGCAAAGGTTATTGCTGCGGTTGTATTAACCATGAAAGTCTATGCACCATCTGCTTCACTCAAAGTGAACGTTAAAGATCTCTTGACGTCATTCGAAACAAGTTGGCCATTATGTTTAACACGTGGCCATTGCGTACTGGCGTAATGGGCAAAATTTTCTCAATTAAAAAATTACCCCCAAATCACTCATTGACATTACACATCGAGTAGCATTTATTACCCAATACAGGCTGATTAATGCCTGCTCACAGGCCAGGTGCCAAGTTACTGTATGCTGCACAGGAAGAGCTGCCTTTGGGGGTGCCCTTTCAAATATTTGAGATGATGTGTAAGTTACTTATCTTTGGTAAAGCGTTCTAGGACGCCCCAACATCGAGGCCACTTTTATCAGAAACAAACGATTACTATGAACATGTACAGGGTGTCAACATGTACCGCCTTCATCAGGGACAATGTATGCGTGCACATCGGTACATGCAGCGGAGCTGTGCGCACAGATGGTGCGTGCGCGGGGAGCTGAGCGCCTGTGCTCTCGCCTGGCTGACCCAGACCCTTCCGGGGCGCTTCTCTTCCGCTCGGTGGAGGTGCTGTGGAACCTCCTGGAGAACGGGCGGCAATCGCAAGTGCTCGCCCAGCTGGCCAGTATCGAGTGTGTGCAGTGAGTTGCACACTTCCACGCACACCAGCACTTATTGCATATGTAATGGATTCGATTGAGGCGCACACTCAACTTGGAGGCAACACTATTTATTAACGCACAACAACCAACGGGAACGTTATACACAGGGTGGTGACCACCGTTCCTAATCTCATTAACACTCGGCGAGGGAATACCACATAACGTGACCAGGGTAGGTTAACGGGCTGCCTGGTCACGGACGAAGGTCGGAGCCTGGAGGAGCGTTGATGGCATCTTCATCCCGGGGTCGAACAGCCCCGCTCTCTGTTCACACCCCACTTATAACTGCTGTGGCGTGGCCGGCTCCACCCCAGGCCACGCTCTCCTTCTCGATCCTTCGGGAAGGTCCGGGCCCCCAACCACGTGACCCCCTAGCTCCTCTCTAGGGCCCCGAGCCCCCCTTTATCCGGTCACGTGTCCTTTTGGGTTCACGCAGAGTGTCACGGCTTCACACGACCCCCGTGACACCCGTCTACATTACCGATATCGAGCCAACACAGTAGTGACGTCATATGTCCCTACGCTCGTACAGTCCCGACACAGGAGTGACGTCGTATGTCACTACAGATACACACAGAATCCCCTTGCCTTTCAAAAGTGTTTATTCAGCATTGAAACCTCAAAATCTTAGATGCCCCACAACACTAAATTTCATTGTACCCAGAACGACATTTACATGGTTCTCACTCAGTCTCTGTTAATGCTCAAACACCTGCAATCCATTCCTGATAAAATATCCTTGGTCACTCTCCTGTTTGATGTTGAGCTGTCGATTATGTACGTCCCTGTCTGTTTACACACTGGAGCAAGTCACCATAATCCCATGTTGATGTCCTTTGCAAGTGTAGTGGGTTCCATGGAGACACAACACCCCGACAGGGTAACTACATAAATGTACGGGATAATGACATGGGTGGTAGCCAACTTCAACTAGCGACTAAACCACAATGGGCAACTATATAACCGGGTCAGGTCAGTAACGTCCTGCCTGACCCACGATGCCGAACGTGACGACCGAAGATCGAGTAGCACGGCGGATTGATTCCAGAAGACAGCCCGTAACGGCGTAGCCTGGCTCTGCCCTAGGCCCCGCCCCCTTCTAGATCCTACTAGAAGGTTCTGGGCCTTATGTCACGTGTCCCTCTCACCACCCCTTGCCCCCCCTCGCTACCCTCTCCTGGTCACGTACCCTCTCAGGTTCACCCAGACTTTTCTGAAGTGCTCTCTCTGGCCGCCACCAGAAGCATGCTCCCTAGGGCCCGCTTCTGTGCCATACTGGTGCCAGAGAGAGACGCTAACATGCACAGTAGCACTCTTCTTCCAATAGATGGCGCTAGACGCCATAGTGACTCAATATACATCACTACACAAGTGGTCCCAGCAAAGTTTTATGAGTTACTATATTTTACTTAGTATTGATTGATGTATGTGTTTTAGATTTTTATTCTGTTTATGTGATTGTTTTTCCCCTTATTTATCTTTGGTTGTTTTTGCTCCGATTTCTATTTTAGCTTTTTTGTAGTTGAAATTGCTTTAGTATTTTTTTAAATGATCCAATGTCACTCTTGCAAATGAGATCATATCCTGGTCTCTTGAGTTCTCACCTGGTTCAACAAAATAAATTTGAACTTCCGCACACAAAGGGATTGCCATTTTAGCTCCATTAAACTGTCCAAGCAAATGTTTCCAACAATTGCCTATGATGGATAGCATGGGTCACAAAGGCATAGTGACAACCCAGCTGGCTAGCTGCTGAGCCTTTGTGTCGATACAATGCACTGGGTATCAATGTAGACCATAAAGACCTCACAGGACCATATATAGACACCAATTGACTGATGTACACCACTACATGTACACACAAATATATAGCTATGAACATTTCTCAAGTGTTCTCAGTATGCTGTGGGCGAGTGAACTATATATAGTGTGTTCACATAGCTGGCTGTATGCTTGTGTGTGCAGTGCCAGTTGTGTAGTAGCTAGCGCACTGCGCTATAAACCTGGCGACCCGAGTTCGATTTCCGCCCACGGCTAACATCAGTGGCGAATATCTGAACCTGTTCTGCGCTTCCCCGAGCTCGACCCAGTCTTAAATGAGTACCTGGTGCAGTGTGTAAACATCACCACTCGGGTGACAAAGGTGGCCGGGTGTGGTGCTAGCCACACGACCCCCTAGTGTGCCACGTTGGCCTTAATAGGTGCTCTCGAACAGAACTTGCCCCAAGAGCATGAAAAGGCAATGAGGGGGATCCTTATCTTTGCAGTGCCCTGAAGGAGGTGTTGTTACGCCAAGTTCAGCGTGGGTTCAGTCACTACGACCGCCAGCTACGTAACGACCTGCTGGTGCTCGTTACACTGATTGCCCACGACCCCGCGTCTCCCTTCCTGGTGAGCGCTTGCCTGCACACCCAGGGTTTGCACCTTCCATTGACATGGCGAGTGATTTTACAAAAACCTTAACCATATTCATTTGCTTCATTCAGGAAACAGGCCTCACCAAACAGCTGGTGTTACTTGCAACATTTACAGAAGGTATGTCACATTTACATTTATGTTCACAGAATAATACCGTGAGATAGTGTACATCTGATCGCCCAAAAACCTACTATAATAGGCTTCATTGAATAATATTTGCAGTTATATGGCGCTGGATTAAATGCCTCAGCAACTCAAGGTGCCTTACATCACATAATTTTAAACCTAACATAAACATCAGAGGGCACCTCCAGTGGCTACTGCTGCTGTGTGGCAGAAGGTGACTCAGTACCTGGCCTGCAGGTGGGTATTAATCTGCCAGTTGGGGGCGATGATTGTTATGTGGAATCTCATTTGAGTAAATTGCCACGTAATTTTTAAAATTTGGAATATTCGGACCACGACGCCGGCACACAATGTATCATGGCATAACGTTTGAAAAAAAACAGTCACATCTTCTGTGATGCAGACAGCAGGTAATATAGTTTATAAACTTGCAGCATTAATCAGGGTGACCTGCCTGATTCAAACTGTGAACCTCGTCAACAAGTGGTGCACGTGCTAATTCTGGGCCATGTCATCACCCCCGGTGCTCATACTATAGCTGTATTTTTATATGCCACAAAATCATGGGCGGTCCATTCTGTGGTGGTCCCTGTGTGATCGTGCAGTGAAAAGCCACAACCCACTGGTCAAGAACCTTGTCCTCACCAGTGTCCACGAGGACTTTGAGATGAAAAAGCTTCTCTTCAACCTCCTGGTCGTGCTGAGTCGTGACCCGTGCAACATTCAGGTGTGAACACAAAGAACCCCTCCCCTCTGTATGGCCTTAACATACTTCTAGAGGTTAGTGCTGTTAGAGAACCTATGAAAGCCAACAGAAGACACTTCTAAGGGGGTGGTCTGACGAGCACCATGCCCAGCCTGCCTTTGTCCAGCAAATGGTGATGTTTAAACACCACGTTCGATATTAATTTAAGGCTGAGTCTTCCTCGGGGAGGCCCACGGTCAGAAAAGATATTCGTCAGTGATTTTGGCCGTGAGCGGGAATCAAACTCGGGTAGCTGGGCTCGAAGCACAGTGCACTACCCACTGCACACAAGTTCACACAGGTTCACAGAGACAAGTACAGTACAGATATAGAGACACACGCAGTGATACCATCGCACCATCTTTTATACATTGTGAACACCATGGATGTAGATGGGCCTCACTGGCTAAAATCTAAACAATTGCATTCTGGGGGTGCCTGTGCACCTGGCCTCCTCCGTTAACCACTGAAAGTCATTGATGGACCGGGTTGAATGTGCTGTGGACACAGCTCACACGCGCCCTTGTAATGGCTTGCCATGTCACGGCGCTATACAAATTCCATTATTAAGCGTGTCACTTGTTTGCCCATACGCAGTGAGGTTGTTGTAGTTTGACATCCCACTGTTACACGCATCACTGTTGTGTTTCCAAGGTACTAGAACGCTGCCTTTCTTGTTGAGCACGACCCCCCCCCTGCCTCCATACCCCCCAACCTTTCCCATAGCTGCTGTCTCAGGGCCACGTGCTGCTCTCCCTGTTCCACTACTCGGATGTGCACGAGGCGAGGGCTGCCTCTGGCCCTCTCACCTGGTCCCCGGCCCAGCAGGAGGAGCTGCAGCTGCAGGCGCTGGCGGCGCTCGTCACTCTGGCTCCGGCACTCCCCACCGACTACATGCACATCCAGGGAAACACGCGCCTACTCCTGCTGCTTGACTGGTGCCTCAGCAAGGGTAGGGATCTCACCGCAGCCAACTGGCACGTACAATTTCCCGCTCAAATAAGCACTGAGGCGGTTGCAAATCTCCTTTTTACAGCCCTGAGTCAGCAGTGGAATGTCCACATTGCTATGTTGGGGGCTTGTCTATCCATCGGACAATCACTGCTTATTTCCTCACAAAGTGGTACTCATTCTATCAATCGCTGGAGGGATGATGGAGTGAGTCAAGCCCCAAACAGGATTGAACTCGCAACCTTCAAATTGCGAGCTGCGAGCCCTTCTGCTGAGCCACCTGGTCGGATTACAGGGAAGGGCGGCATGGTGGATCACACGAAGCAGTTTGGCTGAATAACGTTGTTATTGACCTTTCTGTGAAATTCTAAGTGTTATATCAATGGTAATGATTGTAATGCTGTATTCTGCGTTGTGCATTTCTTATTATGGGCATCGTGAGGTCCAGACCAAAGACAAGGCACTGGTGTAAAAAGAGGAGCAGAGCTGGGAGGGAAGCTCCCACAGTTGCTGTACTGCATACGCGTGATGCATGCTATGGCTCGCCTGCAGGACAGCAGCATTGCCCAAGACATGTGTGACCAGGGTACCATCGGCCAGCTGCTCGGTGAGAGCCTAATCATCGCTATGCGGTTGTAGAGGGCTAGCAGCACATGTTTCACTTGCAGCACATGTCACGCAGCAGTGATTGGTGCAGAATATACATTTCATCTATAAGCTCTCGATCTCGTTAATACCACGTGCATTGCCGGACAGCGTCTTTATTGTGCGCTAAAACTAAACTTGTCGTGACAGACGTGTGCTCAGGCTTGATGTCGGGAAGCAGATCAAGGGATGGGGAATTGGTCGATGGGGGCCCAGGCTTCACGGATGTGGTTTCGCTGGAGATCCAGACAGATGCCCTGCTAACATTGTCTTCTCTGTGCCAAACTGACGTTCACAGAAAGGTGAGAGCATTGTCTTCCTCTCTATATCCACACACGTGTTACGTATTCTATTCCGTCTACGCATCTAAATGTTGTTGTCGACTTGTTACGTCATTCTCATGTGTGTTGGACAGGAGTTGTTCGGCCGTGATGGGACAGTGATGCTGACTAAGATCCTACATGCGGGCCCCCACCTTATGCCTGCTGGGTTGCCACACTCTCACCTTGTCATTGCTGCCATCGATGCCGTCTGGTTTGTACAGCACACGAGACAATATTCAGCACATCTCATAGACCCCAACCCACACCACAAAACAGAGCATTTAAATTTAATTCTGACATGTTTGTGCTTGAGTCAGACGTAACAAACTTTAGCCTCACAGTGAAGGTGTGGGTGGACAGGTGCTGTGTGCTGGGTTGCTTTTCATCAGAGGACATCTTCCTGGAGCATGAAGGTGCCTTCCTGCTGCTTGACCTGCTGCAGGTGACCCCGTGCTTACCTCCTCGCCATCCCCTAATCCTAGCCCAACCTCATCTTGGAATGCAACAAAGCAATCGGCCAACAGCAGTGTCCCAACTTCAGCTTTCACCTCCTCGCATTGTGTAGACTGAGCTATTCATCGTATCTTCAATGGCCTGGCACACTTGAGATGGTGCTTTATGTTGCCTTTTACCCCAACTCCTAACCCTTACAATGACCCTAATCCACCATCCCCAGCCCTTACACCAACACTCAGTACCCTTTATGTTACTCGAGGATGCCGAGTGTTGGCGTTAGGGCTAGCAGATTATAGTTGTTGACATTTACGTGACCTCTGGTCATATCCCAACCACTGACCAAGTTCTGATTATCTCAGTAGCCTCTCATGCAGGAACCTGACATTAGTGTCATGGCAGGCTAATCGTTTCACCAAGCCTGTGCTCTGCTTTCTCGCAGATAGTGGTGTTAGATTCTGTTTCATTTATCAAACGTTTCAACATTAAAAACATGTTTAAACGTCATTAAATCAAGAACACAACTAAACGAATCGGTAGGCTATTTAGTGGTTCTGCACTGTATTCACCGTTGTGGTGTGTTGGTGCAGTCTTGAGAAGTAAAAAAAACATGCGGCCACCTACTGTGCGAGTCCGCGTATGAGTACGTGCGCGTGTGCATGTAGCTGCGCTACGAACCCGGCGACCCGTGTTCGATTCTCACTCATGGCCAACACCAGTGACGATTATCTGAATCGGTCCTGGGCCTCCCCTAGGTCGACTCAGTCTGAAATTATTTCCTGGTGCGGTGTGTAAACATCGCCACTCGGAATACAAAGGCGACTGGGCGTGGCACTGGCCACACACCTCCTCGTGTGCTGTCAGGCTTCGTAGGTGCTCACCAACAGCCACAACAGTCCGTTACAGGCTATATGGGCGATCTTTGTCTTTGTGCGATGCAAGCCACGTGCTCTATGGAGTGCTGGAGGCTGCACATTTTTCAACAACATTTTAAGTGTTAAGCACGTTTCAGACTTTGTGACCGTTTAAACGTCCCAGCCCTTAAACGACCAACGCCCCTGCTTCCAGGTGCCGTGTACACATGCCGTGCACAGCCTCACCCTCTCCGTGCTCGTGGAGCTGCTGGACAACCCCAAGGCGGCGGAGCATGTGCTCGCATGGCGAGGGTGGGGGCGCGTGGCGGAGGCGCGCGCTGCCGACGGGGCAGGGCCGCGCGATGGGGCCACCGCACCTGCCCTGCTGCTGTGCCTATGGAGGGAGGAAGAGGTGGAGCTGGGGGTTCCCCGGGGCCCACGCGGAGTCGTATTGCCCGGTACTTTTTGAATTTTTAATATTACACTTGCTTACTCAGGAAGGCCTCGATGAGTCTCAAGACACCTTTTCAGGAGAGTGCTGCTAAGTTTTTTGCAGGAAGGGGCGGCAATTGCTATGCGTTTCTGAATTGAGTAACTTTCGGGGTCATTTTTTTTATCGTAATGCCGGCACCCAATCGCCTATTCTTCAAATGGCATCACGGCATCTTTAACATCCACCATGAGCGAAGGAGGCGGCGCTTTGTACTTTACGGTTAATACGCCTGCAGTATTAACCAGGGCTGCCAACCGGAATCGACTCGTGGAACTGTGCAACAAATGTCAAAGGTGCTACGACTCGGCCATGTCACCGACCTAGTGGTCGCTCGCAGAAACAAACGGTTATAATTTGTCCAGTTTAGTAGCAGCAGCGGACATTTAGCTTCATTTGCCGAGTTTGGTTACAGGTTGGTTGTAATTTTACAACAGTGTACAGTTATTTTCGCTCTGATACCGGGAGAGTTGCCGAGTTGTGCGGTGTGCGCCGTCTGACTTGGATGGTGCCTCCACGCTGCAGGGCCACAGCTGCCGCTGGTGGATGCGGCGAGAGCTGAGCAGCCAGTGGTTCCTGTCGCAGGTCGCCAGCCCAGCCAGGCCGTGCTCAACATCACAGAGAACAACTGGGTCAAGATCTACATAATCTTTAGCAAGATCGGTAATGAGCACATGAGCCTGTGGAAACAGGTAACATGCTCACTGTAACAGTAGCTACGACTCAAGAGTGAGTGGTGGTGGTTACATTACCACAGCACGTGTCGCAAACTAGGTGGAGTAGCTACGTAAAGCGATGAAAGTTTGGAGTGGTCAGCAGATTGACCATGATGTTGTGGGTGAACTGGATTGGGTGACTGACAGATGCACCACCCGCCACTATGCTCATTATTCATAATTGATTTTTGTGTTAGACCACGTAATGATGCTACCCTCCACCATCCGATATAGCCAAGCAAATAAAATGGTCACCTCTACAAGCGTTTAACACATTAAAATTAAAGTTGCTTCAGCTTATCAGTATGTCAGGACAATTCTGAGTACCATTATTAACCATATTAACCATTCTGACTCCTGGTTTAATTGCTGCAGGTCCTGTACCACATCAGACTGTGTCTCTTCTAGCCCATGCCACGCTTGCTTGACCCCTGGTATCAAGAAGAAGTAGCCAAAATGGGGTAGAAGTTGCTTGGGCATGTGGTGGCTGAGTGTTTAGTTGGAATGCAATATTCGCCCCTTTGTGTACAGTGGTCCCTCGTTTATCGCGGGGGATACGTTCTAAAAATAACCCGCAATAGACGAAATCCGCGAAGTAATCAGCTTTATTTTTTACACTTTTCTCAGACAGGCATTAACATTTTTTCACATTTCTCTCTTATTTAAACACTCTCAAAGTTCAAACTTTCGCAGATTAAAAAAAATAAGTACAATATTAGTAAATGAAACCAAAGATCAAAACCTGTTTTCAAGCCCAAACATTTTTGTAAATCTGGCTAGCCGAACGCATTCTGTACTCCCTTAGCTAATCAGGACGCAGAACACATGTGCGGTTCTCCCTTAGCCAATCAGGACGCCGAACACAATGCGCGTTCATACTGTACGCAGGAAAAAAAAGCATGCAAAATTACACTAAAAAAAATCCGCGAAACAGCGAGGCCGCGAAAGGTGAACCGCGTTATAGTGAGGGACAACTGTATCTGTTAAAAGAGGTTTACTAGCCTGCTATCTCAGCGGTAGAGGGAACAATTCGCAATTAGAAAGTTGAGAATTTAAATCTTAGTTTAGGGTTAACTCGGCCCATCATCCATCTGGAGTTGATCAAATGAGTACCATTTTGTGTTCGTCGCCTGATGACGATTGCTTGCGTTGCGATCGAAACGTCGTGATCTATTATTTTTTCTACCTACATGACTTTACCGAAAGAACCAAAGAGAGTAATTTAAGAGTGGTTGTTCTGTGGATGACTTATCCCAGTCATAGAAATTTCCACCATTGCCTCAGGGCTGTCAATGAGAGATGAGCACCACCTCCATGCTCATTTGAGCATCAAATCACTTTTTTTTACTTTAATATCACACCCACAAACGGCGCACTGCTCAAAACAACACCAGTGCCATTGAAACTGTGTGATGCAATCTATCCCTCTTCAGGCTTCCAGGGCCTTCCAGGCCTAAGCCCCGAGGACCAGGTTACATTGGCCATTGTGGAACGCTACATGGACTTCAAGGTAAGGAATTAGTGTGGGTAATGTACACGTGGCACCGATTGGTCTGCACGTTGCACCGATTACAATGTGTGAATTGTACGTTGTGTGGTGCGGTGGTGTTGTACCCCTGTGTGTGTAGGTGGGCGAGGTGTGGCAGGAGATGGAGGCAGAGCTCCGCGAGGAGGGTGTGCGCCCCACCACCCCTGATCGCGATGCCCTGGAGACGATCGCCCGGGCAACTGGTGAGGTTGTAGCCGGAGTGGCCCGAATACAGGCCGCCATCTTGGAGGAGAGTCAGGAGCAGGAGCTGCAAGATGAAAGACAATTCTATGCCGAGGTTGGTTCACCGCAGGGAGGCGACGCAGGGAGTGAGGACAGCTGCCTTTGCACACATTTTTTTTCCGGTCCGAGTGAGTGCTGTTAATTATGAACCATGTTGTTACTTTACAGATCAAAGCAAACCATCAGCAAGAGGAGGCCGCAATCAAATCATGGAATCACTACGTGGCAAGGACATCCAACTATGAAATGCTCAAGGTCTTGTTAATGATCTTTATTACTACGAGTTGCTGGCAGTTCATTTTGCAGACTAACAGTCCCAGTGGCTCAGCGGTAGAGCGAACGGCTCGCTATTGAAACGTTACGAGTTCAAATCCTGGTTGGGGGTTGACTCAGTCCATCATCCGTCCAGGGGAAGCCAATAATGGTTCTCCAATGGATAGATTCGCCCACATTACAGGAACGTGCAATTTCTACCACTTGCCTTTGGGGTTGTAAACAGGAGATGAGTGCAGTTTATGTTCATTTGAGCAGGGAATCACTTTGACTTTTGACTTCTTCTAAAACTGCATTTTTTACATTTTCAATATTGCTTTCATGAATGATGTGTGAAACCATCAGAGTATTACCGTGGACTTGACACACATGTGCTATGCGTCCGCAGGAGGCACAGCGGGAGCTAAAGCAGTCCATAGACTCATCCCGGCCAGGAGAGGACCAGCCAGGGCCCAAACCCCACAGCACTACAGTACCAGGGCTCACCACCACGGTACTCCCACACTACATTGTCTCAGTACATTACATTTACTCAAGAATGCATTTCTCTATCCAGCCAGGTCAATTCATCCAGCACACTCACTGATTTATTACAGTCACTGGCTCATTCACTGGCAGCCACTGACTCGCCTCCTTATCACTCTAATATCGCTTCTACCATGGTTACTCTTCCTGTGAGTTTCACTCGTTGATTCCTCCACCCATGATGAGGACTCTACCAGACACCGACTGCTTTGTCTTACCGACGCTGTGTTAAACCACCACACTGCAGGACCCAACAACATGCTCACGCACCACTTAAGCACCACACTGCAGGTCGAAACACTTCTCTGTTTGCTTCTTCCCTCGTACTGCTGCACTTTGGAATTACCTTCTATCGTCTTTTTTCCAAGGCTACTATAATAACTGTGCTTCATTCAAGACACGTGTTCACACTACCTACTACAACTTGATGGTGCTGTTTGTTGATGACTGCTCGGCATACTGCGCCTTTGGGCCTGTGCTCAGCAACTGTGTTAATAAAAAAAAGAATGCATGCAGAAAATGCGATGACTTGAACTCTATAATGTACCTGTGCGTGCTTGTGCATGTTCCGTGCGTTCAGACGTTCGCTGGGCGACGCGTTTTGGTGGAGAGCACGCCGGCGGAGTTGACGGGCGGCCCCCTGGCTGCCACCGAGCTGGCGCTGCAGAAGCTGGCGGTGAAAGGCGGCGCACTCACTCGCACAGGCCTCGCTGTGGAGCAGGAGCGCCAGCAGATGTCGGCTCGCTGAGTCCCACCACGATCCTCGTGGAGCCACCTCACTGACTCCATTTAGTGGGCCAGAGCCGAATTGACCTCTTAGCAGTTTTCGGTGGTACTAATTCATTGCCATGTGCTGTATACGTTTTTTTCCCTTTGCAGTGGAATCTTCTGTCATTCAGTCGGGACCTGTTGTGTACATAAGTTGTTTTCAGGCCACATTACATGGTCTCGGATGATTTTGAATTCACATTGTTAGAGTGTGGTCGAATTTTGCCGGTACACAACGGTATGCCATCCCGGGACTTCTCCGAACAGCAAACACACATCCCGGCACTTCTCAGAGCACCAAATATGCATCCTGGCACTTCTCATTATGGTTCCTATTCCTACGCCGCGTTGTTTTTGCCGAGGGGAAACGACATCGAATATGGGCCAATGCAGAGTGAACGGGTTCTACATTTCTATATTCACATTTCAGCCACAGCAACAGCTGCTGTGCAACCACTGAGTGTAACTGATGATGCTGGTTCCTAACTTTGCGTGCTGCAATGTACGCCCGGAGTGAAGTTTATTCAGCACTTGGGCCCTTTGGGGAGCAGAGGTACTCATGTGCAGTGCAATTCAACCCTCAAGCTTCCAGTGAGAATTGTACATCGTTTTAGTGTAACATCTGACGTGTTGAATCAAATCGAGCAAATAATCCGTGAATACGATGCAAGTCTAGTGTTGAATGCATCAGAGTAGTTATTTCATCGTAAAAGATCACAATCAAAATTATTCTCAATGTTGAGGTATAACGAGGACTTGGTTCTCCAAGCATATTCTTCCAGTGAGAGCGGGGCCCCGAGGTCGTGCTCTTCAAGCAGAGGCAGCACCAGTGTACGCTGTCGCCCACCCCGGGGTTGGAGCGGAGGTGGTAATCACTATTAAGTGACACCAGTTTCTGTGTATGGCTCAAACGTGGATGATGTGATAGGATGCGTTTTTTATAAATAAGGCATAATTCACTTTGATTTCCAATATATGTTTGCACAACCCAAGTGTTGCCGTCTCTTGAGTGGTACCAACAAGTCAAATGTTGGACCTGGACCCATGGACGCATGTATGTGAGGGAGGCAGTACCATGCACGGCTTGGGATACAAAAAAAAAGTTTTCCCAACATCCAGCCAATACGTTAATTAAATTGCCTCGACTAAGCGCATTTGAATCCCGTGAGTGAAGGTGGAATTGATGGGGTCACAAACATTAAGCCGCCACGTGGTGCGAGATCCTAGCCGTGATGTGAAATGTGCGGCGTGCTAGAATTGAATTCAAATGTAAAAATACATACGCGTAAAAATAAAGCTGGTACACGTTAGATTATCAGTGTCGCGCATATCTAATGGCAATCACGGCCACCCTGGGTGTGGGTTACCCCTGTGTACACGGCGCCCTACCAAGAGTGCACTGGCATTCGCGTTAAAAGCGCCCAATGACTGTTTACATAAGACATCTGCAATGTCCCTTGGTGGTGCAGTCACACGCGGGCGCCACGAGCCTCACGGCCCCGATGAATTGGGGCCTCCCAACGCCAAGGGGCGGATCATTGGCCCCTCTCATCCTCTCTCCCACCGAACCCGCGGGGGACTCTTTCTGTCCCTCTTCCCAGGCCCCCCCCCCCATCTCTTCGATGAGCCAACGCCCTACGCGACACTCTACACCCGGCGGCGCGCCGCGTTATATTTAGTCCGTGGCCGGGGTCCCAATCCCCGAGCCGGCGGACACGGGGTGTGCACCGCTCCGGGGAGAGAGTCCCGGGTACCGGGGCAGAGCCTCGCACCGCCTCCCCACCTCTCGATCACCACCCGCAGTCACTGCCGCTGGGCCCACACAGGTGGGCATGCCGTGAGGGTCGGGGTGGGGTGGTCGTCAACGGGGGCCGTCAACGGGGGCATGGTGCGCGTGGCCTCTCGAGGCGGCCCTCGCAGGGCCCTGCGATTCGTCTGCTGTGCAGGGGCAGCTCTCCTCGTGCTGCTGCTCCACCTGGCGCCCCGCGCGCGCCCCACGAGGTGAGTGGCTTCCCGGGGGGGGGGGGGGGGGGGGGGGGGGGGGGGGGGGCGCCGCCAGGTGGTGAGCGGCGGGGACTTCGCAGGTGGAGTGTGCCGGGTCACGGTTGTTGGTGCCGAAACGACGGTGGAGAGAGGCAGTCGCCCACGCCTGTGCTACTGGCCGTGGCTATGACCCTTGCCACCATTGGGTCACGAGGAATCGCGAGCGGGGTTCGCGGGCCCTACCAACCCCTCGTGAGACCACCGCGTCCCAACTCTGACCTCGTTTATCCTTAAGAGGCAGGGAGGTGCTGGGGCGGGCGCACGTGGGGACCGGAGCCCCGGCGGGAGCGAGGAAGGACCGGGCCCTGGCGGCCGTAACCAGGTGAGGCTGCGTCACCCGCCGTGGCATCACGGACACACACACACAGCCTTCACACAATGTGGTACACACACACACAGCCTTCACACAATGTGGTACACACACACACACAGCCTTCACACAATGTGGTACACACACACACAGCCTTCACACAATGTAGTACACACACACAGCCTTCACACAATGTGCTACACACACAGCCTTCACACAATGTGGTACACACACACACAGCCTTCACACAATGTGGTACACACACACACAGCCTTCACACAATGTGGTACACACACACACAGCCTTCACACAATGTGGTACACACACACACACACAGCCTTCACACAATGTGGTACACACACACACAGCCTTCACACAATGTAGTACACACACACAGCCTTCACACAATGTGCTACACACACAGCCTTCACACAATGTGGTACACACACACACAGCCTTCACACAATGTGGTACACACACACACAGCCTTCACACAATGTGGTACACACACACACAGCCTTCACACAATGTGGTACACACACACACACACAGCCTTCACACAATGTGGTACACACACACACAGCCTTCACACAATGTAGTACACACACACAGCCTTCACACAATGTGCTACACACACAGCCTTCACACAATGTGGTACACACACACACAGCCTTCACACAATGTGGTACACACACACAGCCTTCACACAATGTGGTACATACACACAGCCTTCACACAATGTGGTACACACACACAGCCTTCACACAATGTGGTACACACACACACAGCCTTCACACAATGTGGTACACACACAGCCTTCACACAATCTGGTACACACACACAGCCTTCACACAATGTAGTACACACACACAGCCTTCACACAATGTGGTACACACACATACAGCCTTCACACAATGTGGTACACACACACACAGCCTTCACACAATGTGGTATACACACACACACAGCCTTCACACAATGTGGTACACACACACACACAGCCTTCACACAATGTGGTACACACACACAGCCTTCACACAATGTGGTACACACACACAGCCTTCACACAATGTGGTACACACACACACAGCCTTCACACAATGTGGTACACACACACACAGCCTTCACACAATGTGGTACACACACACAGCCTTCACACAATGTGGTACACATACACACACACATAGCCTTCACACAATGTGGTACACACAGCCTTCACACAATGTGGTACACACACAAACACTTCACACAATGTGGTACACATACACAACACACAGCCTTCACACAATGTGGTACACACACACAGCCTTCACACAATGTGGTACACACACAGCCTTCACACAATGTGGTACACACACAGCCTTCACACAATGTGGTACACACACACAGCCTTCACACAACGTGGTACACACACACACAGCCTTCACACAATGTGGTACACACACAGCCTTCACACAATGTGGTACACACACACAGCCTTCACACAATGTGGTACACACACACAGCCTTCACACAATGTGGTACACACACACACAGCCTTCACACAATGTGGTACACACACACACAGCCTTCACACAATGTGGTACACACACACACAGCCTTCACACAATGTAGTACACACACACAGCCTTCACACAATGTGGTACACACACACACAGCCTTCACACAATGTGGTACACACACACACAGCCTTCACACAATGTGGTACACACACACACAGCCTTCACACAATGTGGTACATACACACAGCCTTCACACAATGTGGTACACACACACAGCCTTCACACAACGTGGTACACACACACACAGCCTTCACACAATGTGGTACACACACAGCCTTCACACAATGTGGTACACACACACAGCCTTCACACAATGTGGTACACACACACAGCCTTCACACAATGTGGTACACACACACACAGCCTTCACACAATGTGGTACACACACACACAGCCTTCACACAATGTGGTACACACACACACAGCCTTCACACAATGTAGTACACACACACAGCCTTCACACAATGTGGCACACACACACACAGCCTTCACACAATGTGGTACACACACACACAGCCTTCACACAATGTGGTACACACACACACAGCCTTCACACAATGTGGTACATACACACAGCCTTCACACAATGTGGTACACACACACACAGCCTTCACACAATGTGGTACACACACATACAGCCTTCACACAATGTGGTACACACACACACAGCCTTCACACAATCTGGTACACACACACAGCCTTCACACAATGTAGTACACACACAGCCTTCACACAATGTGGTACACACACACAGCCTTCACACAATGTGGTACACACACACACAGCCTTCACACAATGTGGTACACACACACACAGCCTTCACACAATGTGGTACACACACACACACAGCCTTCACACAATGTGGTACACACACACAGCCTTCACACAATGTGGTACACATACACACAGCCTTCACACAATGTGGTACACACACACAGCCTTCACACAATGTGGTACACATACACACACACATAGCCTTCACACAATGTGGTACACACACACAGCCTTCACACAATGTGGTACACACACAAACACTTCACACAATGTGGTACACATACACAACACACAGCCTTCACACAATGTGGTACACACACACAGCCTTCACACAATGTGGTACACACACAGCCTTCACACAATGTGGTACACACACACAGCCTTCACACAATGTGGTACACACACACAGCCTTCACACAACGTGGTACACACACACACAGCCTTCACACAATGTGGTACACACACAGCCTTCACACAATGTGGTACACATACACACACAGCCTTCGCACAATGTGGTACACACACACACAGCCTTCACACAATGTGGTACACACACACAGCCTTCACACAATGTGGTACACACACACAGCCTTCACACAATGTGGTACACACACACAGCCTTCACACAATGTGGTACACACACACACAGCCTTCACACAATGTGGTACACATACACAACACACAGCCTTCACACAATGTGGTACACACACACAGCCTTCACACAATGTAGTACACACACACAGCCTTCACACAATGTGGTACACACAGCCTTCACACAATGTGGTACACACACACACAGCCTTCACACAATGTGGTACACACACACACAGCCTTCACACAATGTAGTACACACACACAGCCTTCACACAATGTGGTACACACACACACAGCCTTCACACAATGTGGTACACACACACACACAGCCTTCACACAATGTGGTACACACACACACAGCCTTTACACAATGTGGTACACACACACAGCCTTCACACAATGTGGTACACACACACAGCCTTCACACAACGTGGTACACACACACACAGCCTTCACATAATGTGGTACACACACAGCCTTCACACAATGTGGTACACATACACACACACAGCCTTCACACAATGTGGTACACACACACACAGCCTTCACACAATGTGGTACACACACAGCCTTCACACAATGTGGTACACACACACACAGCCTTCACACAATGTGGTACACACACACAGCCTTCACACAATGTCGTACACACACACACAGCCTTCACACAATGTGGTACACACACACACAGCCTTCACACAATGTGGTACACACACACAGCCTTCACACAATGTAGTACACACACACAGCCTTCACACAATGTGGTACACACACACACACAGCCTTCACACAATGTGGTACACACACACAGCCTTCACACAATGTGGTACACACACACACACAGCCTTCACACAATGTGGTACACACACACACACAGCCTTCACACAATGTGGTACACACACACAGCCTTCACACAATGTGGTACACACACACACACAGCCTTCACACAATGTGGTACACACACACACACAGCCTTCACACAATGTGGTACACACACACAGCCTTCACACAATGTGGTACACACACACACACAGCCTTCACACAATGTGGTACACACACACACACAGCCTTTACACAATGTGGTACACACACACACAGCCTTTACACAATGTGGTACACACACACACAGCCTTCACACAATGTGGTACACACACACACAGCCTTTACACAATGTAGTACACACACACACACAGCCTTCACACAATGTGGTACACACACACACACAGCCTTCACACAATGTGGTACACACACACACAGCCTTCACACAATGTGGTACACACACACACAGCCTTCACACAATGTGGTACACACACACACAGCGGGACGCGCAATGATGACCAGCGGTGGCTCGAGTCACGGCGTGTTCTTCCTCCTGCCGTGTGCAGCGCGAACGTGACGGCGGCTACGGCGGCGGCGTTGTGCCGGGACGCGGTCGCGGTGCCCCATGACCGGTGAGCGCCTTTTGGCGAGATGTTAACCACCTCGCCTGGGGTACAGGAGGTCGTGGGTTCCATCCCGACCCTGACGCCTGCTGCTGCTGCTGCTGTATATTTGTAGGTTGCGTGTCTCCCTCCCTCTCTCTCTCTCTCTCCCCGTGGTCGCGTGGATTTGTCTCCGGGTCCTCCGGTTTTTCCCTCCGCATTTAAAGTCAAGCCGCGTTGAGAGATCATCTGGCTGCTAGAAAGTTCCACGTGCTAAGCCACTCGGTTGAGCTATCATCTGTGGCCTGGTCGCTTCTGAAAAAAAAAAGCTATACAGTATAGCTCAGTGGACCCTCGGCTGGTAAAATAAAATACAAAGCAGTGTAGTTGTTAGCTTGTAAAGTGAAAGGGACCACGCTTTGGACACGGCGAGGTTGCCGAGCAGCTGGTGGGGCCGGCGAGAAATGAATGACGGCGCCAACCATCGGGGCAGCTGGAGACCCCGCAGAGCTGCCTCGTCGCCAAAAGCACATCACTCATCACATGGCCACGGGAATGCCGCTTCTTCCACAGGTCCTAAACCCGGAGATTTCGCAGTCACCGCTCGGTCCGTTACCAACGATCTGTGTGCATTATCCTGTGATTTAAAAAAAATGCAGTTCCACACAATATCGAGAAAGGTCCGGTACGAATCAATTTCCTGCCACCCGAACACAGATGCCAAATTCGTAGACTGTCCGGGGCAAATCGGAGAGGTGGCAATCGCTCCAAGAGCACCCAGCTGCTGCTGCTGCAAGGGTCTCTGCTACCCGTGGCGCCCGCTTGTATGGTTATGTCTTAGTAGGCCTACGGATCTCTATATAGGAGCGGTACTTGTGGGTAACAGCAGTGTCGTGGCTAGCATACTGCGCTGCTACACATATGTAGCTACGACAATCCGGCACTGAGAGGTGGCCGTGAGCAGGAATGGAACCATGGTCGCAGGGGTTCGCAGCGCAGTATGCTAGCCACGACACTGCTGTTACCCACAAGTACCGCTCCATATGTGTAGCTACTACATGTATAGCTACTATATGTGTAGCTACTACTTGTGTAGCTACACATATAGTAGTAGCTACGCATGTAGTAGCTACACAAGTAGTAGCTACACAAGTAGTAGCTACACATGTGTAGCTACTACATGTATAGCTACTACATGTATAGCTACACAAGTAGTAGCTACATGTAGTAGCTACACAAGTAGTAGCTACACATGCTACGAACCCCGCACTTTCAAGGGCCCCGCGCTAAATGCTTTCAAGCTATCAATTCCGGTTCAGTGATTCTGCACTTGCTCTATTACTATAGTACTATACTGCCTTCACCTTTTATGAACGACTGGGTGTTTAAGGTTAGCGATTTGTCATATTACCTGGCTGTATAGCAAATTAAAAATTACAATTACTTTACTATGCATGTAAAAAATAGTGTTTTAATATTTCTAAATATATTTTTATTTAGGGCCCCTTTATAAGATATGCTACAGGCCCTGCACTCGCTTAATCCGGCACTGCCACCACCGGTGACATCTGAACCGTTCCTGGGCCTCCCCTAGGCCGACTCAGTCTTAAAAATGGTTACTTGGTGGGACGTGTAAACATCGCCACTGGGGAGACAAAGGTGGCCCGGGCGTGGTGCTGGCCACCTACCCCCTCATGTGCCATTCCTGCCTTCATGGGTGCTCGCTAACAGCACTTGTCCAAACAGTCTGTTGAGGCTACACGGGGGATCTTCCTCTTGACGTTTGGTGGATGTGCCGGGACACTCATCTCTCTCCACCGTCTCGTCCCGGCCTCGCAGGGAGCGCGCCCAGCAGCTGGCAGCCGCCGCACGCCTCCTGGGAGAGTGCCGCTGGGAGTGGAGCGAGGAGGCAGCGCGGGACCTCAGGTTGAACACGAGTCCTCCTCCTCCTCCTCTTCTCCATCCACAACCTCCCTCTTCCACCCCTCACAACGCTCGTGGAGCACACGGCGCGTGTGGAGTTCCGCCTTTGCGTTTGCGGGGATCAAGTTTAGGAGGGCAGGGCTGCTGAACTCGGCCACCCGATTTAGATTCCCGCTCACGGGCAACGTAATTGACTAATATCTGGACTGGTCCTGGGCCTCCACTAGGTCGACTCGGCCTCAATTGAGTACCTGCTGTGGTGGGTAAACATCAGTACTGAGGAGACAAAGGCGGCCGCGCATGGGGCTGGCCACCCACCCCCTCGTGTCCCGTGCCAGCCTTCATAGGTGCTCGCTGAGAGTGATTGCCCCAACAGTCTGTTCATGCTATATGGGCGGTCTTTGTCTTTGGCCCAGGTGATGACCCCTCCCCTGCTCGTCAGGGCCACCTTTTTTTTAAATCACAGCTACTGAGCATGAGGAACCGGTAACTCTTTCCCGTGGATGTTCCTAACGAACGCGCCGATCGCCCTTTTCCCTCAGTTAGGAGGTAAAGTTGGACTCATTCGCACCACTGGGTGGACATAGGGGTGAGGACGAATTTAAGAAATGTTCCCCGTTGGTTCAACTGCTGCACCAGGAGATTCAATCGAATATACGAGCTCTGGATTAATTCTCAGTGTGCTGACCATGGCACCACTGAGGCAGCTCCCTTCGTTTCTCAGTTTAAAAACGTAAACCTGCTTCTCGCGAGACATTGCAACATGTGCAGTAAACCAGTCTGTTTTTTTTCCATTATTTTCATGCAATTACCGGTCACAAAAAAACCGGGTATAAATAACCCTGGTATTAATGATGTGCTATGAAGAAGAGAGCCATTGCCTGAAACATCACCTATTCGCTACGTTTCCTTGACGAGCGCGTTGAGTTCTCTGGCGGTAATGGAGCCGTGCGGCGTGCGCAGGGCGATGCTGCGATCGTGCTGCGATGCGCGCACCGGCCTGGTGCTCACGCGGGGAGACGCGGCGGAGCGCCCGGGACTCGCGTTCGAGGCCGCCACCAAGACTCTGCACGTCACCCCGCAGCTCCTGTCCGTGCTGCCGGAGGTGGGGCCCACCCAGGGTCACCGGCCCCACGTGCCAAACCCGCACGACTTTCTCACTCGGCTTCGGTCCATTCTCAGAACCGCGCAGTGTCCTGCAATACAGTCCCAAACACAGAAATTTCCGGTAGTAGATCTCGGCACAAATTGGTTCCTGCCACCCGAGCACAGACTCCTCAGTTTTTCTGGGACAGGCCAGGACAGCAAGCTCAGGTGTGAGGTCCAGACGCGGAGCTCCACCGAGGGCCTCCCAGTGTTATGTGGAGCTTGGCCATGTGACGCAGCATGTCTCACGTCTCTGTGCATCGCTACTCCTGGGCAGATTATGTGCACTGGGTGAGAGATGCCTACAGTAGGTGGTGTTGTCAAAGTGTTGGTGAATGTGGGGTTTAAAGTTGATGGTGGCGTATGTGGGGTGTTGGTGTGCGATTGGTGGTGGGGTGTTGGCGATGTGTATGGTGTTTGGTTTGTAGTTGATGATGTATATGGGGTGTTGCTGGGGTGTGTGATGTTCGTGTATGGTTGGTAGCATATGCTGGCTACACGATTTATATTGGTGGCTACGTGCAGGGGCATCGATTGTTGTTGGTGTTGTGTGTGTGCTGCGCGTCGTGTGGGTTCTACCGTGTGCCAGAGCTCTCCTCTGGCCGGCGAGTTGCACGGTCGCTGTGCCGTGGTGGGGAACAGTGGGGCGCTGCTGGGGAGCCGGTGTGGTAGGAGCATCGACAACGCTGACTTTGTAATCAGGTGAGAGACCGTGAATTCTAGCGGAGTCCATTGGCTATCGTGCGTTAAGCTCCGCAGTGTGTGCAGCTCGGTTATAATGGAGTTTTCCGTCACTCTCAGAATGATTCAGAGGCGCTGGAAACCACAGAAAAGCGGGAAGGCAGCCACGACCGCTGACAACAATTGTCCGAGCTCTGTGGTCCTATATTAAGATTTTTTTGGCCAACTCCATCAACACGTGTTTATGCACGCGGGAGGAAAACGATTACCCATAGAAAACCTACGCGTGTGATAAAGATCGAAATTAACCCAGCTGCTGGTGAGGAGGGAGGGGGAATTCACAAATGTGACCCCTTGCTCCACAGTGCTGCATCACAGGCCAAGTGTAGCATAGCCACCTGCGCCAGGCTGTAATCATGCAAAACATTTGAAGACAGACTTTTTATTATAACGTCGGTAAGTTGTGAAGCTGAACCGTTGAGACGACTGTGAAGGGGGTGCTCGAAGCAGCCGCGTCGCTTCACCGGCCGGGTCGCAACCATCCCGCGTTGTGTGCGGCCGCGCAGGTGCAACCTCCCTCCGGTGTCGGGAAACTTCACGCGGGACGTAGGCAACCGCAGCCACATGGTGACGCTCAACCCCAGCATCATCAAGGAGCGGTGAGTGCGGCACAGGAGTGGGCCACAGGGACCGCTTCGCGTTGCGGGGCTCGGGGCGGTCTCGACAAGGCTTTTGCCCCCCAGGGCCTCGCTCACGCGCGAACGTCGCTCCGTCGCATCTTCAACCCACCCAGGTAGCCGCTCGGTGGTGGAGCGAGCAGATCGCAATCGCAAGGTTCAATGCCTACATGTGGGTTGACTTGGCCCATCATCCTTCTGGGGTCGATAAAATCGGTACCACTTTGTGGGGAAGTTACCAGTGATTGTCCTATGAATATTCGCTCCCGTCATTTACACCAACGAGCTCAGCACTGCCTTTATGCTCATTTGAGCAGAAAATCACCAAATTTTGAGTCGAGTATTGTCGCTACACTTATTGGACTTGGAAATCATATTTGAAATTTGAAACCTTCAATAAGGCTGTTTGTTGCTAGCTGCTTAGTGTTTTGGGCCTTTTCTTCAGCAACTGTGCTATTGAAGATAAATCTCCGGTAACTGAGGTTTACACAATGAGCCTGCAGTCTCAAATCCCTACTGGTTGGCTTGTCACCAATTAAAACTATGTGCTGCTCAATGCTCACTCATCTTGAATTCACAAACTGTGCCCATGTGCCAAGGTGGGCCCCCCATCATCCATGCAGCACTGTAGGGGTACTGCACCCAGTGACACTTACTGTGGCAAGATGTGAACTACCTCGCATGGTATGCAGCAGGTCGAGGGTTCGATCTCGACGCCGATGCCTACATATTTGGAGTTTGCATGATCTCTCTCCCCGTGGTCGTGTGGATTTCTCTCCGGATCCTCCGGTTTTTCTATCCACATTTCTAAACACGTGTTTGGAGTATTTGGCTGCGATACATTTCCACGCAAAAAGCCACTTCGTTGAGCTTTCATTTGTGACCAGATTGCTTCTGAAAAGGAGCTACATAGCTCAGTGGGCCTTACCTGGTCAAATAAAAAGTTTAACAAAACATTATAAATCGTTCATTTGCTTGCTTACCAGGAAAGCCTCGCCGAGTTTCAATATTTTACAGGAGGGTCCTGCTACGTTTTTTGCAGAAGGGGCGACGATTACTATGTTTCAAATTTAAGTCATTTGCGAGTATTTTTTCTAATTCATAAAAATTTGGACCACAACTCGGCCAACACATTGGCGTATTCGTCCTCGAATGACGTCACAACATTTGCAAGGTCCACTGTCGGTGAAGCACACCGCGCATAGCATTTTACGGATAATGTACCGGCAGCATTTACCAGGGCGGCCTGCCCGATCGAGCCACGAACCTCTGCAATAAGTGGAATATATATTTCACGTAATTGTCATAGTAACTACTATAATAATAGTATGGGCGATTTTTCATCACACATTTCTGTACGCAAATTACAACGCTCCAACCTAACGAAATACAGCACGCATGGCCCTCCTTGCCGTGAGGTGCGACCAACACCGCTGCCCGCTGGATCCATGCCCTGGCAGGTATGGGGGGCTCCACAGCAGCGAGAGCCGGAGCCGCTTCGTGTCGGACGTCACGGATTACGGGGACGCTCTGCTTCTCGTGCCCGCCCTCGCCTACGTGCACAACCTGCTGCCGGCCCTGAGGGCGCACCGTGCCCTGGAGGCGGCGGGTGCTCGCCAGAAGGCCGTGTTCTTCCACCCCGACTACCTGCGACGTCTCGCTCGCCTCTGGGCGGCCAGAGGGCTGCGTCCGCAGCGCCTCTCCACGGGTCTCATGCTTGCGAGCGCCTCCCTCACCCTGTGCCGCCAAGTTCACCTGTACGGATTCTGGCCCTTGGAACGAGGGCCCGACGGGGCCTCTCTGCCACATCACTACTTTGACGACAGACCGCCTCGGCCAGGCGCGCACGACATGCCCCAGGAGTTCAGCCACTACCTCCTGCTGCACAGCCAGGGAGCAATACGGCTGCACATGGGCGCGTGCACATAATGCTACTCACAGCACCACGCCCACATACCCCAGCCACCTACCGCTCCCCACCTACAGTGAGGGAAAAAAAGTATTTGATCCCCTGTTGATTTTGTACGTTTGCCCACTGACAAAGAAATGATCAGTCTATAATTTTAATGGTAGGTTTATTTGAACAGTGAGAGACAGAATGACAACAAAAAAATCCAGAAAAACGCAGCCCTCAGGCACTGCGCTGACCAGCTGTCTCCGGTGTTCACCAACATCTTTAACACCTCCCTGGAGACATGCCATGTACCAGCCTGTCTCAAGTCCTCCACCATCATCCCTGTGCCCAAAAAGCTAAGGCCAACAGGACTAAATGATTACAGACATCTGTGGTAATGAAGTCTTTTGAGTGCCTGGTCCTGGCACACCTCAAAGCCATCACAGACCCTCTCCTGGACCCCCTTCAGTTTGCCTACAGAGCCAACAGGTCTGTGGACGACGCAGTTAACATGGCCCTCCACTTCACCCTACAGCATCTGGACGCACCAGCATCCTACGCTAGGATCCTGTTTGTGGACTTCAGCTCTGCCTTCAACACCATCATCCCTGCCCTGCTTCAGGACAAGCTCTTCCAGCTGAATGTGCCCTACTCCAACTTAGAGCTAAATGCTCTAAAGACAGTTGAGATTGTTGTGGACTTCAGGAAGAATACAGCCCCACTCACCCCCATCACCCTGTTAGACTCCCCAGTCAAGATTGTAGAGTCCTTCCACTTCCTGGGCACTATTCTCTCCCGGGACCTCAAGTGGGAACTGAACATCAGCTCCCTCACCAAGAGAGCTCAACAGAGGATGTACTTTCTACGGCAGCTGAAGAAATTCAACCTGCCAAAAAGACAATGATGGTGCAATTATATACAGCAATCAATCCATCCTCACCTCCTCCATAACCGTCTGGTACGGTGCTGCCACTGCCAAGGACAAGAGCAGACTGCAGCCTTATCATCCACACTGCTGAGAAGGTGATTTCTTGCAATCTAACAACCCTCGAGGACCTGCACACGACAAGGACCATGAGGCGAGCGAGAAAGATTATGGACGATTCCTCCCACCCTGGACACTCTCTGTTTCAGCTACTCTCCTCCGGCAGAAGGCTTCGGTCCATCAGGACCAAAACCTCACGCCATAAAAAGTTTCTTCCCATCTGCTGCTGGCCTGTTAAACAAGGCCAAGGGCTTACACTGATTTTAACATTTTATCCACATAATGACACCTTGCCGATATTAACTATGTTAACCTATTTGTATTTTTTATTTTTAAATTATATCTTAAAACTATTTTATATTCGATATTTATTCAATTTTATATACATCAGCCCCTTGGTGTTAGTTAGACTTTTAACCCTTATTATAGTAAGACTTGTTTAAAACTTATTTAAGATTTTAGATTCCTAAATGTTGAATGTATGCACCATCCTGCCAAATTAAATTCCGTGTCGGTGTGAACTTTCATGGCGAATAAAACCCTTTCTGATTCTGATTCAAAAATGTTATAAATTGATTTGCATTTTCATGAGGGAAATAAGTATTTGACCCCCTCTCAATCAGAAAGATTTCTGGCTCCCAGGTGTCTTTTATACAGGTAACGAGCTGAGATTAGGAGCACACTCTTAAAGGGAGGGCTCCTAATCTCAGCTTGTTACCTGTATAAAAGACACCTGTCCACAGAAGCAATCAATCAATCAGATTCCAAACTCTCCACCATGGCCAAGACCAAAGAGCTCTCCAAGGATGTCAGGGACAAGATTGTAGACCTACACAAGGCTGGAATGGGCTACAAGACCATTGCCAAGCAGCTTGGTGAGAAGGTGACAACAGTTGGTGCGATTATTCGCAAATGGAAGAAACACAAAATAACTGTCAATCTCCCTCGGCCTGGGGCTCCATGCAAGATCTCACCTCGTGGCGTTGCAATGATCATGAGAACGGTGAGGAATCAGCCCAGAACTATACGGGAGGATCTTGTCAATGATCTCAAGGCAGCTGGGACCATAGTCACCAAGAAAACAATTGGTAACACACTACACCATGAAGGACTGAAATGCTGCAGCGCCCGCAAGGTCCCCCTGCTCAAGAAAGCACATATACATGCCCGTCTGAAGTTTGCCAATGAACATCTGAATGATTCAGAGGACAACTGGTGAAAGTGTTGTGGTTAGATGAGACCAAAATGGAGCTCTTTGGCATGAACTCAACTCGCTGTGTTTGAAGGAGGAATGCTACCTATGACCCCAAGAACACCATCCTCACCGTCAAACATGGAGGTGGAAACATGCTTTGGGGGTGTTTTTCTGCTAAGGGGACAAGACAACTTCACCGCATCAAAGGGACGATGGACGGGGCCATGTACCGTCAAATCTTGGGTGAGAACCTCCTTCCCTCAGCCAGGGCATTGAAAATGGGTCGTGGATGGGTATTCCAGCATGACAATGACCCAAAACACACGGCCAAGGCAACAAAGGAGTGGCTCAAGTAGAAGCACATTAAGGTCCTGGAGTGGCCTAACCAGTCTCCAGACCTCAATCCCATAGAAAATCTGTGGAGGGAGCTGAAGGTTCGAGTTGCCAAACGTCAGCCTCGAAACCTTAATGACTTGGAGGTCTGCAAAGAGGAGTGGGACAAAATCCCTCCTGAGATGTGTGCAAACCTGGTGGCCAACTACAAGAAACGTCTGGCCTCTGTGATTGCCAACAAGGGTTTTGCCACCAAGTACTAAGTCATGTTTTGCAGAGGGGTCAAATACTTATTTCCATCATTAAAATACAAATAAATTAATAAAAATTTTGACATGCGTTTTTCTGGATTTTCTTGTTGTTATTCTGTCTCTCACTGTTCAAATAAACCTACCATTAAAATTATAGACTGATCATTTCTTTGTCAGTGGGCAAACGTACAAAATCAGCAGGGGATCAAATACTTTTTCCCTCACTGTACACACACCGACACCGCAACACCTTGGCTGCCTGATTTTAAAAGTTTCAGCTCTCGAGGCTACGTTGGCAGCAGTGGGACCTGTGCCTTTTTAAGATGTGTAAGTTACCTGGTGAATATAGTTTCTATGATAAAAAAACACACACAATGGTCTCCTGATTGCATTTTATTTTCAGTGTATGTCACTTCACAAGTACAGTTTAAAATTACCTTAAAATCAGAGGCTGCATGGCCAGAGATCACTAAAATTATAGAAAACATAAATGCTGGTGAAATTCACCCTCCTACAGAAACTGAGGAATACCTTGGCAGCAATCAGACACTACAATTACAAACTAGTGCCAGAAGGAACATAAAACAAGGACATGTTATGCAGTGGTATTCAATGGTCACGTGCTAAGTGCATTGTTGCATTTTTTGCATTAAAGTGTAATCAGTTATCCAGTGTAATTCTGACACCGATACGGCTTGACAGATATATTTTGTTGTGGCTCAGAATTCATTTTGTGTGACTGTGCAAACGTTCCCAGCGTACGCGTGGCACCGTGGATTCTCCTGGTACGAGACTTGAGCAGCCCTGGCACTACTACTACGCGCGTGCACACACGCACGCCCCTGCACAGCGACACCTTTGAACCCGCACGCGCACCGCGGGTTCTCAGAGGCGTGCCGCACGTGTCAGGGCAAGGCACTGCATCTCGTGTAGAGCGGCGGCGAATGCGTGGTAGAGTCTCTCCCCGTCTGTCTGTGGGCACGAGCGCCACGCCGTCACCGAAACCACGAGGCTGTCTCAGCGACACACAGACACACGAGGACACAATATTACACACGCCATTCGCCACTTTGTGACGGTAACGTCCCCACGGCACCTGTCTCAGGCCAGGTGCACTTTGAGGCCACGTGAAGCGTTGAAGGCTCGCTGACAGGTCACGTGACAGACCCACGTGGCAAGGATTGACTGACAGATGACTGGCAGATGCACCATCTGTGCCCTACATGCGGACATACACGTGGACTCACGGACACAACATGGACACACACGGCCACAACACAGACACATGGACGCGCGAACACACGTGGACACACACAGACAAACGCAGACGTGAAAGCGTTATAGTGCAGGCTTGTTTCAGGTTTAATATTTGTCAGGATACGCGGCAAGCTATAAACGAGGCGGCACAGCGGCGAGCGGGACGCACCGGTCGTCGCGGATGCGGTAGAAGAAGCCGTAGCCGTGTGGCACCATGGGAGCGACGGCGCCCAGGGTGTTGGTGTACCCCACCAGGCTCGTTGACAGCACAAAGTTCCCTCCGCCACCACTGTCACGCGCAAAGCAGTGTGAACAAACATGCGGCGTGAAAAACCACGCAGGGGGCTGTGGAATGTCACATAATCACCGAGGATTCTAACACCCTGATGCCTGATGGCAACAGAGGCTGCCTCCTGCCCCCAGCATCCACACATCCAGTCGCCCCCACCTCTTGGTGAAGGAAGGGTCGCGGAACAGCTCTGGTACGGGGAGGCCCTCATCCTCCGCCAGCAGCAGCAGGCCCAGGAGGTGCCGGTCGCAGCCTGCGCACACAGCAAAGATCGCCTGTGTAGCCTACACAGGCTGTTGGGGCAGGTGCTGTTCGTGAACCCCTATGAAGGCTGACATGGTACACCAATGAGGGGGTGGTGTGGCTCGAACCAAACCCAGCCACCTTTGTCTCACCAGTGGCTGAACCACACGAGGTACTCATTAAAAGCGGAGTCAACCTAGGGGAGGCCCAGGAAAGGTTCAGATTTTTTATCATTGACGCTGGCCATGAGCAGGAATTGAATTCGGGTGGCCAGGTTCGCAGTGCACTAAATACTTTGCCACGGCTCCCCTACACACACGCACACGTGCATGCGAACCACACTCACTGAAGTATGGGCCGCATGCCGAGCATTCACATGCATTGCAGGGAAAAGTCACATTCAAATTCAGTTTCCCATTAAATCGCTTAATCTGTTCTCACAACTGAAGGCACCATAATTACTTTTCACATGGAGGGACAAATAGGTGAAGGACGCATATTGTCTGCTTCATTATTTTATTTAAATTCTCTACAAAGACACTTGTATCGTGTATTATATTGATTTGCGTCGAGAAAAGCT